CCTTGTAGGGTTCTTCCACTTTGCTTTTTCTTGACTGCTTGTTACAAAAACGACATATTACGTCGCCAGTAACTCAGGATACGAGAGTCGAAAGATAAACCAACACAGGTGACTAATTTCCATTGTCCTACGTCAATTTTAGTCAATTGTCCATCCTTCATAGCAAACCGTCTGTTAGATGTATGAATAATGAACCGCCAGACTCTGGTATCATGGGCTCATTAGAGGTCACTGGTCATCTACAAAATCAGCCTTAAAAAAGAAACTGTTACATGGACTTCAATTAGCATTTAATACAAGAGGTCCATGGGCCTTAATTGTCATCTGACAATCAAATCATTTCAGCAAATTATAGCGATTTCCCAAGTTGTGTTTCAACCAGAATTGGATTGAAATCCACCTCGGCATTTAGGAATACTAGCACTGTACAGCAAAAAAATACAGCTAAATTCCCTATTTGTCCCTCACATCCCTCCCAGCCCACAACTAGCCCCCTGTTGCACTTTTCTGAATTTATGATATGGCTTATCTACCTGAAGTGATATAACAGAAATAAGGTCAGTCGCTAGGTAAGAGAAACATTTTAAACCCAAATTCCAGCTAAATTTACCCGGATGATTCGCTGCTCTATCCCTCAATTCCCTGAGTCGTATAAACGTTCTGAAATGACTTGGTTGACAATACAGAGGTGTTAAGGAAAAGTAAGGTTTTAAAGCGAAATATTACCTCAGCTCCCCATGCGGCGGTCACGTCCCGCGGTGGTCGTGCAACTTTCTGATTTTCGGAAACTATTGCCCACCTCTTATTATCTTTTGATACGGTAAGATAAAAAGAGGTAAAAAGGAAACAGAAGTATCTGTTTGCGGAAGATATTACCAACAGAACACTGGTCACGTTGACGGAATAGTATATTTTTTTATATCATGCCATGCAAGAAGTAAAATAAAAACAAAATATGGTTAATAACTGTGTTTAATTAATATTAATTAATATTAGCTTTAAGCTTGTTTCCCCATCCCATAAGATTAAATGTACCTGTCTGTATTAAAATGCTACTTATTGAATAAAATATTGTTTAAACTAACATCTGTGTTGTCTTGTCAATGGTGCAGTGTGTAATAAGTGGCTGCTACACCTGACCTAGTAGATATATCATAAAAATGTTATGAAAAAGGTGAAACGTGCACATTTGTCGAAAAGTATGGAAGAGACCTGACTAAAACATTTTTCATATAATTTGCAAGTATTAGTGTTGAAGTTTGGCGTTTTAATAACCGAAATCGATAGAACCGGTTATAAATTGCTGATCCGATATTACATCATATCTCGTCATCAGTTAAGATTTAAAAACGGTTTAAATGTTAACATTAATAAAAGAATTAAATTGAGACAGAATTTGTACACGGCATTTAAGTTATGCTAAGAGTATGGGAGTTATCTCCCTTCCGTTATGATGAGGTTACAGCTACATATTTTGGTAAATCCCTTGTGCGTATCACCAGTCCTCCCAGTTTCACCAAGTCCCAGCTATAGAATTTCTTTACAACACCCCGACCACCAATATCTACTTGTCAATAATTCCGTTCCTCGACATCGTCATCCCTGTCATTGATTCTGACCTGTGGTCAGTGTTACTGGGTAACGACATGCCAAAGATAAACTGACCTCTCAATGTATCTTTATAATGTTATCACCCTAAATTGTCTATTCTCACTGGCCTGCAAAGTGACTCTGGTCAAGCCGGTCAGTGCTTAGTCCATGCTAACAACATCATAGAGGCACAGGTAGATAACAGTAGATAACAGCAGTTTGAAGAGGGGACTTCAAGATTTCACGGCTTCTCGGCTCGCTGAACAAACACAAAAAATAACGCCAAAGTTGTCACCACTGGCCTAGTTTCTATATATCATGTCCCTGTCTTGGCGTTGTTCTTAGATTATCAGAAATTAAGAAACCATTTTGAATCATAGGTTTAGAAGACCTCACCATCAACATTTTGACATTTCCTATCTATCTATGATTTGTTTTTCTTGCAAACTACAAACTTGACAATTTCCATTTATTTAAATAAAATTCATCTGTCATCAATACACATTGGTCTCGCATGAGAACGTGACATAACTTATTTGGATTGACCAAGGTTAACATGGCGGGTGTCGCCGATGAAGCAGAAGACGCTTACTCTTCCTGAACACCTGATCATATTCCCCCTCAAACTTTTTCAGGAATCTTTCTTTTGCTATTATTTTGCCTTGGTTGTATTAAATTTGAGTTTGGATTGTGATTATATTCACATGTTGGCATTTTCTTTTTTACGCATTTTGTTTTATTTTTAAACATTTCAAAATCTGTAAAACGACACAATATGTCTATGCTTTGATATATATTATGGAGTAGCGATAACAAAACATTAAAATTAATTGTTTCCTGAATGCATGTATGTAAACACAGCGTAGATGCAGAAATTTGTTTCTCTTACCATAGTCAGTGACCATTTTATATATATAAGTAAAATGTCATTGAATGCAAAATAGGGCGTGTGCATTCATGCGTGAAATGGCTTTATGGAATACATTCAGCGGATATGTATCTGTATCTTCAAATGCATTCCAATGTAGACAACTAGTCGTAAAATCTTTATAAAGATACGGTTTTAAATTCGGGATATTTGAGTCATACATTGAAACTGCATCAAATGCTATGGAGACATATTAGTTTTTGCACAAATTTTTCATAAAAGCCATGCTCATGAACCATAACCAAAACTTATAGCACACATGTCCATATTATTTCATTGAAAGCAGTATTCAGCACGTTGCCTTGATATCAGTTTAAAAAACCTTCTTCCGTATATCTAAGTTTTCGAAACAAATTTGATTAAGAGCATCTTAAGGGAGGAAGTGGGGAGGGTGTCATGTGGTGAACGTCAGCATTTTTAATTTCCTACAGGAAAATCTGTTTTGATAGAATGTACAGAGTTTATACTCGTTTCCATAGAAGTAGTGCCAGTTCCCACATGTAATTTTACCCGTATTCAAATACTTATATTATTTGCATCTTTCATTTTCTTGATTTAATAGTTAATGACATTTTCGTTTAAATATGAATACGTTTCGTAAATATAATTTGATTAATTCATCAGATTTTAAATAATTGATTATTAGTAATTCTACAATGTTTTAAATATAATAGTAGGTAGATTACTTTACATAGATGTGTAAAGATAAATAATTTTTCATTAATTTCATTATCTTTGGCCATATAATCCCATTCCTTCCTCGGATATCTTCCGGACATATTCCGCAATTTCATAAATTCTAATATATAATATTTGTTTACATATATATACTCATATACTTCATTTTACATCATATCATGAAAGACAAGTATTTTAAAACAATTGTTTTGATAAATTCATAGTTATTTAAACTTAATTGCATTTGAAAGTATGTAACGGTGTTTTGATATTTTTCTTTTGTTCAGCTGATGACGGACTTTCAACTTTCTACTTGATCTATTTCATTCTCATTAAAATATTCAATGTATACTGATGACAAATTGTGGGGTTTTTTTTACAGGAGTGTGGTGAGTTTCCATAAAGTGCTTAAATATTGACATTGTTAGAATTATGTAAACTTAATAATATCTGGAAAAGTATAACAATATTTATCAATATAGATATAAAGGGCACTGTAATAGATAAGGAAATTCATCGACTATGTTGTTAGTGTCGACAATCCGAATTTGGTATCCGACATTATTCCACCTGCCATTATCCCCCTGACGATTTATTTTAACTTGTTCTAAATACAAAATAAAATTATTGCGTTATTATTTAATTTATCAAAGTATCATTTTTTCAATATATATATATAAAGCAAATTGATATTTAATAATTAAACATATCACTATTCCATTTTCTATCATGTAATATCTGCTTAACAATACGTTTTATCCATTGTGGATTAAAACTTTTCGAAATTGAGAATTCTATATACATCAAACCAGATTTATTTAAATCATTTTGTATTACAGTGAAGTATGGCACTACACTATTTTTAATATGTCTAGTTTCAAATACATTACAATAGCATGTTTTCTCTTCTTCGACTATGATATCCTTCACCAATAATTTATCATTATTGTGTTCATATCAATTAAAAGTGGGCTTGCTGGTGTGTAGTTCATGATAAACCATGTAACTTGGCGTATTTTTAAAAAATAAATCTTGAAATAATGTTAAGATTTTGTCTTGATACTCGGTATTATTATCGGTATTATGTGTTCCTATCCTACAAAATTCTCTTTATTCCAGACAAAAAATTATTTCAGTTTACAGTCTTATCCGTGTTGTATAGTGCTAAATCATCCAATATAATATCTTGTATTTATTCAAATTAACACTATTCCTTGTAATATTTCACGTGATAGGCAAAAGACTTCTAGTGACGTCTGTGGGTGTGGGAACGAAATTTTGAGAATTTCAACATTCAGCTGTCAATTTTACCTGTCTTAACCAAGTTATTTTTGTTTTGTTTGTTCTGTTTTTTATCACACAGTGTGTTTTGCCTCGTTTTGTTTTTATTTTGTTTTGTTTTCCTCAGTTACATATCACATATACAAAATCCAAGAAATGACAAACGGCCTGTTTATAAGACAGTCATAGAAAATTACGTCACATGTTATGTTATGTAATGATATAACAAAAATATTTTGGGTCCTTGATTTTATTGATGTCCATATCACAAGCATGACTGGTCTACGGGAGGTAACTCTAGTTGAAGACGCACCTGCACAATGGGGGCGTACCAAATTCTTTAAATTCCTGAAGTGGGTATGTGTACAGATATAAATTGACATCCTTGATATGTAAGGCGCTTACGTATAAACTCAATTGCCAACTAGCATTACAAGAGAAGGCACTTTGCGAACATCCGCAGGGAAGAGGTTGACCGGATCTGACGTCACACATCCTTCTGTTCCATAAAAGGAGTTTGTTTGCATCGGGGAAAGTGACAGAACACAGACACAGTGACATTTACTAGCTTACCGTTGGAAGGACGGACGACTCCCTGTCAGCTCTCATCCTTTGACATAACGTGAGTTTTGACATGAATGAAAAATTGACAAGAGTGTGAGAAATATTGGTTTTGAAAATAGAATTAATCACACATTGTACTGCACGTTACATGCAAGACACATGTCTGAATGAACACAGCAATGATAACGATGTACCTTAAAGGTGAAGGCTTAGATGACCAGGGCGAGGCTATGGATAACGAGAGGAGTGGTTCCTCGGAGAGTTCAGAATAGTATGCGGGATGTAAAGTGTTATATTGACCCGTGTACATCGCTGACCACAGTGACTCTTGGGAATCAGATATTTTAGTCGTGGACTCGTGTGCTTTTACTGTGGGACTCGCTCAAATGTTTTGTACCCATCTGTATCTCCTACTAATTGGACTTATCAATGTTTTGGAATTGGTGTTCTGGACTTGCCTGAAACAAAGCCGGGCTAACTTTGCCTAATTATCCAGCATGACACTGCCCCTAAATGTTTGTAGGGTCATTTGTATCTTCACAGAAGTTTGACTGTTCCTGAAAATAATCATAGCCGTATTCTCACAATGATTTTTTATGGGCCTGTATCCGTGATCTAATGATAAATAGGCATATGTATGAAAAATCTGAGTTCAGAAAAATACCTATCTTCCTTGTCCTGACCTAAGACCAATAATTCAGACACTAAAATGAGTACCTGCCCCTCTGATTTCATATGTAAACTCAGGTGCAAAGATCACCTTTGATGTTGAGTACAACATGGAAAATAGGGCCCTGGATGGCTTCCAAAGTTATCAGTACAGTAAAGGGTTGATGTAGGTCTTGCTTCTATTGCTGATATCAGAATAAATGTAAATGTCAGGTTATTGATGGTAATGAGGATTTTTGTAATTAGTACACAGGTACCCAAAGCCTTGCCTGTCTGTATACACCAATATACTAATGAAAGTAACTCAATCGCCTTGTGAAACAACCCATTTTCCGGAAACTTGGGATTATGATTCAAGCCATTCCAAATGTCTTAACAGGAATGGTCAGAATGGACAGATAGATAATTTTTTTTCTTTGGTTTTGCATATGATTCATTATATGCCCTTACATTGTCACAATCAATCTACAATTTCATAAGTCCTATTCAACTTTATTGCTTAAAACGGGAGAACCACAAATGTGTAAAATTGAAGTATTTCAAAAATTCTAAGAGTCACATCAAAATTCTAGGAGTACAGATCTTGGATATCTCATGTAAATTTATCACTGTTGTTGCCAGACTTCATTGCATATTATTAGACAGCAATATGGTGATAGTGAATTAAGATGCTGCATCCCTATAAATTAGGTTAAGAACACCTGACATTTATACAATTCAACTTCAATGCAGTGTTACAGTGATCATTTAACCGACTAGCTCGTAGACTTTTCCTTATGTTAACTTGTCACTCATTGTAGCTCAGATTTAAGACTCCCATTTCTGAAAGGTCAAGATATGTGAATTAAAAAAAGACATGTTCCTTAAAACTTAAGGAGATTTTCCTTTTGGGAGTCAGAAACATAAAACTGCCTTCGGAAAATCTCGAAAGATCAATAAAGAATGTTTTATTAAGATATGCAGGTTGATGAAGATTACCAGAAAATTTTACGGATCGTTGTCATAATGAATTCAATGAGAATTATCATTTTTCTTTGTGTGATACGAAGCTTAATCTGTTTGATGCTCATTAGTTTGTCTGTTGGTTCGGTTGTTGTAGACCTTGTTTCAGAATGTGACATTACTTACTTGGGTTGATCAAAATTTACATTGCAGATGTTTTGAAGCAGGAGATGCTTTCTTCTCAGGTACACCTGGTCGTATTCTCCTTGTACTTTGGCTGAAATCTTAATGTATATTTTTCTCTTGTTCATATTTGTCCTAGTTTATTAAATATGTGCTTACTGAATCTTCAGCGATGTTAAGTATACTGCTGTTGGAGAGTATGTCATGATAAAATGTTATTGCATTCCCTTGTATGTAAAATGTTGATACATCGATGTACAAATGTAGTCCTGTACCATGTTCTGTCACAAAATATTACACATCACTGAATTTGGTCTCCTACATTCGTAATGTGCAGCATCATTAAATTTTGTAGTTGTTACATGCACAGTGAAATACTTTGATGTTTAAGTGTATGATGGAATGTTTTACAGACTTGAGGTTATAAAACTTGATGTGAAACTAAAACTGTCGTCCTCATTATGTTAAACATAACTTATTGTAAACTTAATCGACAATGGCTGCAAAGTTTTAAAGATCCTAACTTCATCTCCAATAAAGGACCACAATAGCTCATTCAGTAGAGCATTAGATATTTATCCTCAGTTGAGATATGAGTTGAATGGTTAGACATTCCTATCTGTGGTGGTGTAAAGGTGGTGTGAGTTCCTTGGCATGTTGAGAAATAGACCAGTGTGCAGACATGGTTGTGTCTATGTGCAAAACCCTTACTCCTAATTGCTCATGGCCTCCCCTATGTTGTTCATTGTGGTAGGAATCAACTACTACAAGAAGATCCTACTGACTGTTTATAGTGTCATAGTTCCTTTATTTCTTAACTCTCCCACTGATTTTGATACTGCAGTGTTCAGGTTAGTAAAAGGCACATTAAGAATACTACTGACCCATATTTATCTATCAGTTTGTTTGATGCTGTGTGTGTACCTTAGAACAAAAAAATTGGGGCCTCCCACTCACCATATTGATATATAGCTGTAATGCCTTTATTTACATGCTGGTGGAATTGTGTATATTATAATGAAAACTGGCGATTTCATAAGTGCAGATTGTCTGTTCAGAAGTCCAGTATCCTAGTTAGTACGAGGTCTTCTGGCATTCTTTCAGCATTTTAGTATCATCTGGTTCAGAGTCGATGACCATCCAATCCAGACATTCATTAACTCCAGACCGACATAAAAGTCAGTAAAACGTCTGAAGGATTCAGACTATTTCCCCACTGTCGTTTTTTGTATATCATCATATTTAGTGTTCTTACAAAATGAAATTTAAAAAATTACTATTCTGATTATCTGGGCAAGGCATCAACACACAAACAAAATAGAAAAAATACATACTATAGCAAGATATAAAATTTACAGGGGAAGATATGTCCTAAGTATGCAATGATAGGGTAGCTTTATTTCATTTACAAATTTTTAACATACATGTATGCATACACTTTTGACTATATGATATTGACAGGTGATATATCTATGTGAACAATTTCAGATACTGATGTACATTTCACTCAAGGTACCCAAATGTATTAAGTAAGAAATTTTGTACCAATTTTGTATCTAAATAATTGATGTATTAAGTAACAAATTTTGTATCAATTTTGTATCTAAATAATCAATGTATTAAGTAACAAATTTTGTATCAATTTTGTATCTAAATAATCAATGTATTAAGTAACAAATTTTGTATCAAGTTGTATCTAAATAATTGATGTATTAAGTAACAAATTTTGTATCAATTTTGTATCTAAATAATCAATGTATTAAGTAAGAAATTTTGTACCAATTTTGTATCTAAATAATTGATGTATTAAGTAACAAATTTTGTATCAAGTTGTATCTAAATAATCAATGTGTTAAGAAACAAATTTTGTATCAATTTTGTATCTAAATAATTGATGTATTAAGTAACAAATTTTATATCAATTTTGTATCTAAATAATTGATGTATTAAGTAACAAATTTTATATCAGTTTTGTATCAGAATAATTGATGTATTTAGTATCAAATTTTGTATAAAATTTGTATCTAAATAATCAATGTATTAAGTAACAAATTTTATATCAATTTTGTATCTAAATAATTGATGTATTAAGTAACAAATTTTATATCAGTTTTGTTCCTGAATAATTGATGTATTAAGTAACAAATTTTATATCGATTTTGTTTCTGAATAATCAATGTATTAAGTAACAAATTTTGTATCAGAATAATTGATGTATTAAGTAACAAATTTTGTATCAATTTTGTATGTAAATAGTCAGGTAGATTTGACACATGAAGACACTTTGTCATTGCTTAATGCCCTGTCTAACAGCCATGGTCATTTAAGGGGTTTGGGATGGGATTTTTTTTTACTGGTTTGGAAATTCTATTGACTATCTTGCAAATTCTGAGAATTTGGTTTAATAAATAATTTCAATTTGGATCAAGCCCATTATTGGTGCCAAAAGTCTTCGTAAAATAGAAAAGTGCTTACAAGGAAACTCATTTAATGGTTCTGATACTGAATCTGTTGACATATTTTGATGCCATATTTATCCAGCAATACACTCATGGGTCAAACACATTGCCTTCGACTCGAAAGTATAGTGTGGGCTTACTACAGGACAATGAATATGTTTGTAATTCTTCTTATCAGCAATAGGTGTGGGTGGGCTTATTATTACACATGGGAGTATTGCTGGATAAATATGGTATAATGTGAAATCTTCTAAAAACTAATGACGAAATGAGATTTGAGCTCATGAGACTTACATGTGTATAATAACATAAACTGTCTTATTCCATAACTTGAGTTAATGCTGATACATACATCAACATGTGTAAGATGTAGATAAATCTATTTACATACATGTATACAGGTACTGTTAGAACACAATGTATCCATGTCTGTGTGTATGTAATTTTTGCCTGCAGTTTTTTTATCATGATCTCAGCAATTAACTTGAAAAGATATTTCTATCTTTGAAAGTAAAACTGATTTATATATAGCTCACTGCATTTATTTTTGGCCTAAAGATGATGTAAATGTTGGTGATTTACAGGACTGTAGATACTTGATTTTTATGTAAAAACGAAATCTAAAAAAGAGTTTGTGTGTAGTAATGTGATATACAGTTGTATACACCCACACAATCTCTTTCTTAATTGACTTAGCTTTAGTTGGCATCGGTTTCTTCTCCTTGGCATGCAAGTAAGATCTATCATTCGCAATACTTCAGGCAGTAACATGATACACAGTACAAGTAAAATTAAAAGTGTATATCAGGCTGGAATTATGTTATGTTGAAAAATGAAATCAAAACTTTTTAAACACTGTTTTTATTGATATAAATTTAATACTAGCATGATTGATGATGTTAATTGGTTTGTAGTTTTTCTGAAAAATCTTATGTGGCGACATTGCTGACTGTATTAGAAGATGTATAAGTTCCCTCCTTGTGTTTTTCAAAGAGTCTCCAAGGTCATCAGTGCTTTTTGCAGCTCTGCAGTTGATTAAAGAGTTCTCTGGCCTACGTTCTGTCAATGTAGAAATCTATTACTGGAGATCCCAGTGCACTAGGTATATTTCGTCTGCTGTTAGAGGCTTTAAGGTCATTTCAGGAACCTCCAGTCTGTAAGGCCAATCCTTGTTAGTGTATATTTACAAGTGTACTCCACCAGACTTTTTGTGTGTTTAACAATTGCTGCTGATATTTCATCATTATGCGGATACTGTGTTACGATGGATGTTAAGTATGACACACAGTTAAATCTAAAGCCCCAGAAATTTTACACATGCTTCTACTTCTGGACACATTCACATTTTGAGAACCTTCTTTATATTGTTGTGACTGGACTTGTTAGAATTTTTGAAATAGTATTCTGGTCTTGCCAAAAAAAAATCCTACAAAAATTGCATAGCTTAATTAGATATATTGTTTGTGTTCCAGATTAACTGGCAATATGCAACAGGAACTGGAATACAACTTTGGCCAGATGGGTTTATATGACCAGTCTTCTGTGAAGAAGCTGCCGCCAGCAGTAGCCCCCAAACCGCGAAGGAACAATGATGCACCAGCTCCATTTAAACCAGGTATTACACATAGCTCTACTATCTAGCATAAATAAGGACAGGCTAACCATTTTCTACAGAGTGTAAACTTTAACCAGGACAGACTTACCTTTTATTGATTTCTATTGATTTGTGACATTGTATCTAAATAAGAAAGCAATCTTTTTAAATTGATACAAAACATCTGTTAGTCTCATCAGCTTTGATATCATTATAACAAATTTTTAAAAAGTTAAAATTTACATGTACAGTGTAGTTCAGTTTCAATTCAGTCATAAAATTATTTGAGGTCAACTATATCTAACTTGGTTATGGGTTTCAGGAGCCAATACATACCGACAGTTCAATCCGCCAGACCAACGGTTCAACCCACCAGATGATGATTTTCCTCCCCCTCCTCCACCTCAGATGGCTTACACAGATGACACCCACGGATACCTTCCGCCTCCTCCGCCTCCTCCCCCTCCAGATACAGGGAAAGGATATGACAGCCAGGAAGATTATTTTCCACCTCCTCCACAGGTTCCTCAGGGCCAGTCTGGCCTGTATGGACGTCAGTCACCAGTCAGCGTAGGATACAGCGCGGGAACATCACCAGTAAACACAGGGTACAACTCTGCAACATCAACGTCTCCTGGATACAGTGGTCAGACTTCTCCAAGGTATGGTGGCCACTCAGCGCCTAGGTACGCCCCACAGTCTCCTGACCGGTCATCTGGACGTACCCCATCACCTGCCTACAACACCTCTTCATACAGCCCTCCAAATAGGGGTACAGAGGGACAGACTGAGTACACCACAGTATTCCAGGGTGGTAAACAGTCCCCACAACCCTACTCTCTTAGATCATCTTCCCCTGCCGGGCGTACATCACCATATGGCTCCAGCAACTATGCCAACCTGCCTGGATACTCCCCAATGGCACCCCAGCAACAACCTGATCAACATATATATGCCAGACCCAACAGTACCAGCTCTGAGGGGTTCACACCATCATATCATCAGGTATTATTTTAAAATAACCAGAATTTGGGCAATTCTTCAAAGATTAAATAAGTGTCAATTAAACAATGCAAATCCCCTAGCTCCCATTTATAATGAAGTGTGTTAAAGAACACATCCTTGTGTAGCGTCTAACAGTTTCTAGTTAAATCACACATCAGCAACTTCATCCTTAGAAAATTGATATAATTGCGTCTTAAATATTATCAATGCACATGTAAGCTATAAATAGTGGTAACCTTGACATTGACCCTGGCAAACAGAAACATCTAGTTCAAGGTATTATAATACTTGACCAATTTGTGAAGTCTGATCAAAATCTGTTGAGAAATAAAGTGAATTAAGCGATGACACAGATTTTCTATGAAAAGTAAAAGTGACCTTTATGTTGACCCTGGCACACTGAAAAGCGTACTCCTTCAAAGAAATGTGTTACTTGACCAATGGGTGAAGTTTGATCAAAACTGGTTGAGAAATGAAGTTACTAGAGAGATGACAAATAGTGAACATATGTATGAACGGAATGCTATATCCCCTATGAGGTCAAGGGTTAAAAATGTTAAAATCTAGATAACAAGGTGCACTAGCCTCATGATTTTATAAATTTCTTAATTTCCATATATCTGATCATTTAGAACAACCTTAAGTATGTGTAATCTGAACTGTTACTATTTGAATGAATCAAAACATTATTATAACCTTTATATGGCAGCTTGTAGAAGATGATCGACCGCTGCCCGGCCCCCAAGTTCCAGCAGGAAAGAGTCCCTTGTTAGAACCAGTAAGTCCAACTCAGCCCTCAAGTGGAAAGGAAGCTGAAGTGGATGCTTTGACTAACCTCCTCATGGCTAACATGGAGTCTACCAAAGAACCAGACTACTTCGGTGGGTATCATACATAGTGAGGAGAACATTTCTTAAACTTTGAAAAAATGTCATTTCAGATAGGTAGAACAGCAAATTTTTTTCCAAATTTTCTGTTATTTTCAGTATTAAATAAATGGAAAGAAAGTAATAAATAGATGATATGAACAATTTGTGTATACATGTAATTGAAAAAACATTGGGCAATAAATTGAGCTATACTCTGATAATCAAATTGGATATTGTGATTTTGGTTATAGCATGTCAATACATGTATATAGGATATTTTTCCTATAGAAATAAATAAAGTTCAGGTTTAAGAAGTCTTTGTATGGTGTCACATATTTCTAATCCCTTTTTTTGATGGAAGACTGTGATTAGACAGATGTGTTGATACTGATGGTTTGATAGATCAGTAGTGTGTTTGATTTTCTAGGTATGTGCAGTAGGTGTGGCAAGAAAGTGATGGGTGAGAACAATGCCTGTACCACCAACGACCAAGTATATCACATTGCATGTTTTGCCTGTCTAAGTTGTGGTGAGTATCTGTGTAGAGTTGCGTCCCCTTGATCTAATAACATTGTAACATTACCATAAAACAGAGGTTGTAGTGTTATATCCATATTGAGACAGTTATTTGTAAAGGTATGTCCCCTGAAACAATTGCATTAGGATTAGCTTTGTCCTCTGGACCAGTTGCCAAACAGGTTCCAGAGTTATGGCCCCTTGGCTGGTAACATTAGAAAACATAGTGATGGCCACTGAATCAGTTACAGTGGGAATACTAGATACATAGAAGATGTTGTGTTTTAGCCACAATAATAGCTACAGCTTTATATAGCTCTGCTATATGTTGAGTGATGTCCCTTGGACCAGTTATATGTATTTTGTCCAAGTAGGATGCAGGGCTCTCACACCCCATTTTGGGACTGGGGCCCTGGGCCCTTAGAATTTGGAAAAATAATGGTGTTTTTCTTAGAATTGGGAAAAATTGGGGTCTAAATTGGGAAAAAATGATACTATTTTGCATTGGGAATGGGGCCGAATATCGGCCCCAAATATGGCAGATCAAGAGCCCTGGAATGATGGTATAATAACAGTAGGATTGACCTGTAACATTACCAAACACATTGAGAATGAAGATGTTTACTCCTTGACAAAGTTACTGCCATTATATAGAGTTATCTCCCCTGGACATTGACATATGACAGTTCATCCACAAAATTGATTACTGCTGTACATAGAGTCATGTCCCCTGGACCAGTAATATGAGGGCCCTCACTCTGTTGTATTCCCTCTCTGTGTTTGATATATTAGTACTTAGTTTTTTTAGTATTTCTTGTAAAAAATGTTATATTGAGTTAATTGTATTTGGTAGGAACAATGCTGAGAGGGAAATCTTTCTATTCCATGGACAGTAAACCCTACTGTGAGACTTGTTATCTGGTAAGTATGTCTACATTGATTTTACAGCGTGAACAAGTTTTAGTTTGTTGCCTTTTGTGTCAGTCTCGGCCATATTTCTAGGCCTCAGAGTTTGTTAACAGGCATGGCGGCAAGTCATCTTTCAATTAAGCCTCAGTGGTTGTTATATGTTGTGTCAGGCACAGCCATATTTCTAAGCCACAGAGCTTGCTACTTGTTGTGTCAGCTTTGGTCATGTTTCATGGCTGTTGAGTCTAATAGTTTGTTGTATGACATTTCAGTGTCAATTTTATTTCTTGCCACCAAATTGATCAATAAATCATTATTACATATTTTGTTTCAGAACACACTAGAGAGATGTTCTGTTTGTTCTAAGCCTATTACAGACCGGGTAAGTAATCCATTTAATCCATTTTATCATTCCTGATAGTACCTAATCACATAGGACATGGTTTTTCACTTTTTCAAAAAATGTCTTGTATGTCACATTTGAAAATGAGCTTCATCAGTGACTGAAATGCTAGTTAAGTTATTGATATTGAATTAAAAATAAAAGTGATGATAAGGTTTAAAAATTGATGATAAGTTACAAAACAAGTGTAATATATAAAATATGTCATTACATGGTAATGATGTTGTATTTTAGTTGCTGCGAGCCACAGGAAAGCCATACCACCCTGGCTGTTTTACCTGTGTAGTGTGTGGCAAAAGTCTGGATGGAATACCTTTTACTGTGGATGCCACCAACCAAATACATTGCATAGAAGATTTCCACAAGTAAGTTATTACCATTGAAACCAACTCCTTCTATAAGTACCATTTTTCTGGATTATAAGACTCGCCTCTTTTATATACTGAATGCAGTTATATGTTGAGAAAGAAAATAATCTGCAGGATGAATAAAAAACAAAACAAAACAGGAAGTGTCCCAGTACACCAGTATGAGACGGTACTGTGCTTTTTTTACAAGCACCTGTCCATCACTTGTTTGTGACTGAAACAGATTGTCTAAAACCTTCATATTCAATCATATACAGGATGAATTGAAGATCAAAGTAAAAATAACATTCTCATGGATTTAATTAATCATACCTTTTAATATGAAACATAGTAATATCTTCGGGACATACGTGGTTACTTTGAAGCCGTTATTGAAGTTTACAATAGCCTTTTGCATCCTTGGATTCATAGGTCATCGGAATATAGGTCAAATTCTAGAATAACTGCCATGCTTGTTTATGATATGAATGGCTTCATATAACTTACAAGAAGATGATATAGAACTATAAAAATTTGGTCAGCATGCAAGGGCCTTCATTAATGTTTAACAGTACAGACACATTTGGGAAGAGAGGGTGTGTTACATCTTTTGTCGTGACTTATATGTGGATGCAGTCCCCAAAATCTGTAAAAATTGGTTCTACGGCTTATATACTGAAAATGTGATTTTTGGTGTCGGTAATGTGGCCCCAGTCCTAATTTAAGTTATTTCAAATTCAAGTCAAATTCCCAAAATTTGCAATTTACTCCTGAAAATTTCATTTCCAACATGAGGCAAAAGACTTCATCCTAAAGTAGTGAAAATCAGCCATGCTTTCTTGTTCAAATTCAGTTTTCAGATGTTTTATTTAGTTTCCATGTCAAGTATCACATTGTATATAATAATGCAACTTTAGGTGAACATTCAAGATATGTAGGTGGTCCCAGTCTGGGATGGTTTTTGTTTCACCAGATACTGAAGTCATGGACAATCCATGCTGTCTTGGTTGTGTGAGGGTTTGGAGCAGATAAACATTACACAAATACATTTGATAGTTACGTTTCAAATAAACCATGACTCTGTTTCATTTCCTTATGCAGAAAATTTGCTCCCCGCTGCTGTGTTTGTCAGCTACCTATAATGCCTGATGTGGGATTAGAAGAGACTGTGAGAGTTGTTGCTATGGACAGAAGTTTCCATGTCCAGTGTTATCGTTGTGAGGTAGGTAATGGTTGCTATGGACAGAAGTTTCCACGTCCAGTGTTACCGTTGTGAGGTAGGTAATGGTCTCTATGGACAGAAGTTTCCACGCACAGTGTTATCGTTGTGAGGTAGGTAATGGTTGCTATGGACAGAAGTATCCACGTCCAGTCTTACAGTTGTGAGGTAGGTAATGGTTGCCATGTCTTACAGTTGTGAGGTAGGTAAGTGTTAGTGTTACCGTTGTGAGGTAGGTAATGGTCTCTATGGACAGAAGTTTCCATGTCCAGTGTTACCGTTGTGAGGTAGGTAATGGTCTCTATGGACAGAAGTTTCCACGTCCAGTGTTACCGTTGTGAGGTAGGTAATGGTTGCTATGGACAGAAGTTTCCATGTCCAGTGTTATCGTTGTGAGGTAGGTAATGGTTGCTATGGACAGAAGTTTACTCGTCCAGTGTTACCGTTGTGAGGTAGTAATTATACAGAAGTTTCCACGACAGAAGTTTCCACATCCAGTGTTACCGTTGTGAGGTAGGTAATGGTTGCTATGGACAGAAGTTTCCATGTCCAGTGTTACCGTTGTGAGGTAGGTAATGGTTGCTATGGACAGAAGTTTCCACGTCCAGTGTTACCGTTGTGATGTAGGTAATGGTTGCTATGGACAGAAGTTTCCACGTCCAGTGTTACCGTTGTGAGGTAGGTAATGGTCTCTATGGACAAAAGTTTCCACGTCCAATGTTACCGTTGTGAGGTAGGTAATGGTTGCTAGGGACAGAAATTTCCACGTCCAGTGTTACCGTTGTGAGGTAGGTAATGGTTGCTATAGACTGGAGTTTACTCGTCCAGTCTTACAGTTGTGAGGTAGGTAATGGTTGCTATAGACTGGAGTTTACTCGTCCAGTCTTACAGTTGTGAGGTAGGTAATGGTTGCTATAGACTGGAGTTTACTCGTCCAGTCTTACAGTTGTGAGGTAGGTAATGGTTGCTATGGACAGAAGTTTCCACGTCCAGTGTTACCGTTGTGAGGTAGGTAATGGTTGCTATAGACTGGAGTTTACTCGTCCAGTCTTACAGTTGTGAGGTAGGTAATGGTTGCTATAGACTGCAGTTTACTCGTCCAGTCTTACCGTTGTGAGGTAGGATTTGGTCCCTTTGGAAAGGAGTTTATTTGGACTATTTCAGCAGAGCAATTTGGTGAACTCAATTTCCATGTGAACCTAGAATGTATGATAATCTCTTAATTGTCTCTCCTTTGAAAATTAAATTGTAATTATGAATGTGATTCAAAATGCAGTTTACAGGTGATATAAATGCCTATTACATGCTAATTCGTGTTAAATAGGTTTAACATTAAGATAGTAAGTAAATGCTCCATATGAAGAAATAAGGAATGTTTTAAAATGGTTAACATAGACATGTTGCTAAAGCAGGTTTGATTCTATCAAAATGGAACACTGGTGTCCTGGCATTATGTAGTATTTCTTTATATTTGAAGGACTGTGGTTTGTTGTTGTCATCGGAGGCGGAGGGGCGGGGATGCTATCCACTGGACGAACACATTCTGTGTAAGAATTGCAATGCCAAGAGGATACAGAGCATGACAACAAAGATGACCACAGAGTTATAACTGTGTATCGTCACCTTGACGGCCTGTAAGTGGAAGAGGATATGCTTGACAGTGAATGAACAAAATTGATATCAGCAGATGAAAGGCTGATATTGATCTTAGATCACCTTGACGGCAAATGTGTAATATTTTACAGCAAATATATGATATTTTTATAACAGGAATAAGGCAGGACACTGAGTTTGTCCTGATGACCAGGATGATCAATATATGGACAGATTTCATATAGTTCAGATGGAAGTTGGAACTTTTGAGAAGAACACATGCAATATACAAATTATTCTGAGACAGACAACTTTTATGTTGAACATATATATGATATGTAATCAAAGCCAGTATTTGTTCCATAACATTAAGGCAGGGTGATTACTAGTATTATACATGTATATGAATTTACTATAAAAAACCCCTTGAAACTAATGATTCCAGGAGATAAAGATTTGTACTTTAATATGTGTACATTTTCAGTGTTTTTGTCTAACTCTGGGGTTTCTTTTATATATAGTCAAACATAAAAACTATAACTTCAGCCTTTTATTTATGCTTATTTATAAACTATTTAAAATACAATAATTAATATGGCTGAACCTAAACTGACATTTATATACATGTATATGCACTAGTATAAGAATCTGTTCATCATATAAAACTGAACTTAAATATGGTAATATTCAGATACTCACTAGTTTGAGATTTTGTTTATCATAATAAGGATAAAATTAACATGACAATATTTCAATATTCACGAGTTTAAGAATTTGTTTATCATAATAAGGATTGAAATCAAACATGAAAATATTCCGATAATCATGAGTTTAAGAATTTGTTTATCATAATCAGGATTGAAATCAAACATGAAAATATTCCGATAATCATTAGTTTAAGAATTTGTTTATCATAATCAGGATTGAAATTAAACATGACAATATTCCGATAATCATGAGTTTAAGATTTGTTTATCATAATCAGGATTGAAATCAAACATGACAATATTCGAATATTCATGCATTTGAGATTTTGTTTTCATGATTTAAAGTAATGGAAGATTCTATTTATCCTATGAGAATGAACTCAGGAAAGTTGTTTTACATCTAGACTAGTTTAAGAATCTGTTTATTACTATCAATAGAGCACTACACAGAACCTTTAGACCTACTCAAGAATGAACACAAGCTATACAAATTGCGTTTGTCATACCCCTTGCATAGCTAAATTGGAATGTAAGGTTTGTTTGTCTCGTCTGACTTTTCATCTGTCATGATTCTTTGATATCAGTGTAGAAACTAGTTGTTTTACAGATTTTGTTTCAAACTTAACCCACATTTATCTTACAATCATTGGTGCTTGTTTAACATTGGAGGAGAAAGTGAAATATTTAGAACAATATCCTGATGGCGTTATACATGTACATATGCATTTATTAATTGATGTGAAGCAAATTTATCAAGAAGTGCTACATATCCTTTAGGATTTAATTATTTGATTGAATAACTGTTAACCTGTTGTTGAGACAGATAGTGCTTTATACAGGTACAATAACTAGGCTGATTTAAAATGTGATGTATACTAAGAAATGTATTGTACTATGTGTACTATATATTTATCTTTCATAAAGCCCAAGGACAAATACATTCACTCAAATCCCATCCATGGACATATTGCAGAGCAATGAAATAGTATATGGGTGGGCTTATTACCAGAAAAAGGCTTATTGCAAGATAGATATTGTAATATGTCAGTAGGTAGTCACTTGTCGTCAGTGCAATGCTTTGTGTAGAATTCCTTCTAGCAGACCGCTATTAGACATGTCTTTTTTTGATGGCCAAACACTTTCAGCTTGACATGTTTCATTAAAATAGCAAAACACCCGCTGCCTGACATGTCTCATTAAGATGGCCAAACACCTACCACTTATTTCTTTTAGATGTCCGAAATTTCTAGACCTTTTTGAATAGTAAGGATTTAGATTGTGCTCACAAGTCCTGTACAGAATTCACTTTTTTGTTATTTTTATTTTTGTGTAACAATTACGTATTCATGGCAGGTGATACCTGGCTTTTGATATTGTACTTGATATCACATATCTTAACCCTTTTACTTGCCTATTTGAAGAATATTTGAAATGGAGAGCAGGTGCTCATCATCATATCAAGGTCAGTAAAGTTTTGGAACACTACTGATATTAGTTACTATGTTCCTTTGGAAATGGCAGCTTTAGTTGTCCACACCAGGACCTCAAGTATTAGATCTTATTATTTGATTGTTGAAATTTATGTTTTTGATGGGTGTTCCGTTAGAGTACAAAGGTGATTTTGAAAGTGTTGAAACTAATTTTTTTAGTGTTTGTTTAATGGAGGTTATTTGGAGTCCAATATCATTATGAAGAGGTCATAATTTTACCTGTTTATTTATTCCTGAGAAGATTCTGGAATATCCTTAACTCCAGATGAAATATATTTTCACCTGCAGCTGAGGATGATACTTTTTTGAATTAGAGGTAATGTTGATTAATATCCAAATATTTTTCAAATAGGTGAACTTTGTACCCTCACATTTTTTACAGTTGACTCTTGGCACAGTATCCAAGCCCAATGGTCCATCTATGCACATTATAATATTTACTTGTAAGTTATATACAGACTGTGATCCTTGGAATTAGTGACCATTTCCTGTCTATTGTAGTGTTTTCCAATCTGTATACTTTACCTTGTGTCAACATGTACCTGTACATACATGCTTATGTATTCTTTGTGTTTATGAAACAAAAGTATGATCTGACAATGTTATTTTACTTCAAAATTAATATATGTATAATTTCCTGGCAATATTTTTACATCAAATTATGTGCAAAGTACTAAAGAACTTGTAGACATTCACCTGGTCCTTCTGTAAAAGTGCTGTAATAAAAACAGATTTAATGTGTGTAAGAATAGACTAGCAGATTAACAGGTTTAGTGTTTGTACAGAATAGATAGGTGGTCCAATTAAACAGGTTTAATGTCTATATAGAATAGACATTTGATCTGATTAAACAGGTTAAATGTCTGAAGAAAATTAGACAGGTGATCCAAGCACAGAGTGGAAAGGTGTTATTGTTAATCATGTTTTGTATCTGTAGAGAATAGACAGGTGGTCTGATTAGACAGGTTTAATATTTGTACTGGGAAAACAGGTGTCTGATGAAACAGGTGTGCATTTACTGATACAACAGGTGTTTTGATGAACAGGTTTATTATCAGTGCTGAATAGACATGTTAGATCGGATGACTGAAGTGAAGTGAACAATTTCATATATTTACAATTTTGATTTTAAGGTAAAATAATGAATAATTAATGTGCTATAAATATTAATACTGAATCTCTAATTAACTTACCTATTTTTTCATTTCATTGTATTCAGTTTTTCCCCATTTTTTTTTCTTTTCTCGTTTCTTTGATTATCCAAATAAGAACTCTTTGCAATTTTAAATCTGCATATGGTGTATATTTTTCAAATGTGCATGTCCTTTTTCAATCAACTGTGCCGTTAGCTTTGCTATTCATTATTGGAATTACAATTGGAAATTAAAGTTTTTCCTATGTTTTAAAATATATACAAAATTTAGTACATATCTTACCAGCAATGTTTAATGTCTGAAAGTCTAATCATGAAAATCTGACAATCATTTATTGTAATTTATCTTTTAAAATTGACATACAACATATTTATAAGTAACCCTGTACATGAACGGCTAAGATACGCATAGATGTTTAAATTGATTTTGTAAAAGATTGTTGAAGCAAAAGTGAGAGAGGCTGGTATGTTGAATTCTGACAGTTGTAGTTTGTTATGGCTATTTTTTGAAAAGCACAGAAAGGATATTTCTCAAATTTGATGTGTATGTTCTCCATGGCCCTTTGTTTTGCCCATTAAATTTTAAGACTGATGAGAAAAGGATTCAGAAAGGAAAAGTAAGAAAAGATCAGTCTTGCATAGAACCAATAAATCATTCAATGCTGGCTGCCACAATACCTGAAGGATCTCGTTTGTTTTGAGGATACAACAAGTTCCAATACTTAATACCACTGTTTTTGTTTGTCCTGAATTATCTCCCCTAATACAATATCACATGGACAACATTGAAATATAAAAGTCCACGATTGCAGTATACTTCCTTAACAGTGTTCGAGAGTGCATATAGGGATGACAACCATTCCAATCACAATTGTAAATGGCATAAGTTTATTACATTGTACTGTGCTGAGGGATTGAAACAGATGTCAGTATGATAGAGTACAGTCAGTGCAGAAAAGAAACAACAAAGAAGTAACATTATGTATTTGTTAAAATATGAAGTGAAGTAAAGCTTTAAATATAAATGAACTGATTAAGTATTAAAAAGTAATACCATGTATTTTATTTACTGCATATCATATTAGCTTTGTACCACATCACATCATTTAATCACTGGAGATCTGCCACAACGAGCTGTTAACTTTATGTTGTCAATAAATAGCATTAATAATAATATCTCTGTTTTGTCTTCTCTGTCTGCTGTTACAGTGAACATATGTATTGCTGTGTTTATCTTCCTAAAAAGACGCTGGAAGTACCAGCACAACAGGTACTAAAAAAACATTATAAATGAAATGAATGAAAAAAATACTGAGACTACACTACGTGGATGAGATAGACAACAAAAGTCCAGTCCTGTGTTTAATTGTTACAAAAAAAATGTCCTTCTCTTAGGTAAGGACAGTTAAGGTCGTGCAAATCGTGCAAAAGTTATGACATCACTGTATTTGATGTAACCATGTCACAATTTGACAATTTCATCAATTTCAACACATCATGAGCCATTTATTGTTTATGTGACATAAAGTTCACAACTTACAATATATTTTTATAAAAAATTGAGAGAAAAATCAAAACCTGGTTACACACAGGTGAAAGACTTTTAATCTAAAGAATATTCATGTACATGAATGTAGCTGTGTGGATTAATTAATTCATACAGAAAATGATCAGAGGGTGTAAAACTTTCTGATGTACACATGGCATGTGATATCTTGACGAGTGAAAATATCCTTTCAAAGTATCCCTTCAACCTGATCTATGTTGGTCATTTTCATTTTTGGTTCTCCAGCCTAACAGTCTGTGGGTCACATTTTCTATGCCATACATACCGGGTATACATACTTTGTCACATACAGGTTTGACAGGAGTGTTGTACAATATACTTATACAGAGTTATAGCCCCTTGATCACTGAATCACTTATTACAAAGCACAGACGTCTTTTTTTCCAATTTTGTACAAATATTATTATGGGATATCATTGAAAGCTATCAGCCAATCTGACTACTTTACTCTCTCGGATAGCATTCCCTATGTAGGAAAAATATTTCAAAGGCTTATAGAAAGCGGTCAACAAAATTTGATGAAATTTGAAATGGCATTTAATACATAAATTAATTAACAAAACAAGAACCATCAAAAGTGACTGAAGTATAAATTTACACCAGTTTCGTGAGCAGGAAACTGCCTAGATATTTGAAACAATTGAAGAGGAGAAACAGAAAATTCTTCAAAATCCTACTTCTCCTGTAGAAATGACGGTATTTGATTTAGTCCTCCATATTTTCACTTAAAAAAACTGTGAAAAGGTAACTTTTCTGTGTTATGTGAAAAGAATATCTTCAATTTGATTTCATTTTATGTTAAGTCTTATGAAATTCACCTCAAAATTTCAACTTTTTCTTGCAAAGGCTTACATTCATAAAAACATGTAGGACTTGTTTCATATAATCTCATATGAAATGAAAACTCTTTTAAGATCCTATATGTATCCTCGCCAATAAAAAAAAACAGCATTGAAAACTGTAAACTTACAAAAATATTTAATACAAAAATATTATAATCTTCAAATTGTCTTTAGATATGATGTCTTACAGTAGTATCACAATATTCTTGTATCTGATGAAACAACATCACAGCTTGCTGTAAAGTTTGATTTGATTTCTTGATTATTTATATACCTTGATCCAGTTATATATAATGTGTGGAATGTTTGATATGTTGGGATCAGCTGTAGAAGAGTTTGGAAAACATGATATCATGTGTATTCTGGAAAACATCCACCAGGGGATTCAGAAGGCAGGCGTCATCTGTGCTACGATTTCTGTGCCTGTGAATGAAATATGATACATCTTCAGAAAAATCTCTATACTTTTTGAAATTTTCAAGTCCAAAGGTACTGTGACACAGGTAAGCATTTTCCTATTGAAGTGAAATTGTCAATTCTAGACACATTAACCTCAAAATTACCATAATTGTGTCAAATGCTGAAAATAGTATAACAGCATTTTCCTTTATTTGATTCTTTTTAACTTCACATTTTTCAATATCTTTTTTTATTTTATTTAAACCTTTCTGGAGAGATGTTTGACATTTATATATATTTTTGCTTCATCTGATGTTTTATTTATAAAAAGTCTGACAATAATTTTTACCTCTCAAGGATTTCCTGAATTCTTGACTGCAGTTCCGATTGTACAACTTGTGCCTGAAATAAATTCATAAATCTATGTATCTGTATCTACAAAGTACTCAACACTATTACTTAAAACAAGAGGCCCATGGGCCTTAACGGTCATCTGACAAAAAGCAAGCCAAACCTAGAAAGTGGGTTGAGGTCATTCATTTGAACAAACTTGGTAGCCTCTCCTCCAAGCATCTTACAGGCCCAATATCAGCACTCATGGACTTTTGCTTGTTGAGAAGAAGTCGTTTGTATATTTTAACATATTTGACCCCTGTGACCTTGAAAGTGGGTTGAGGTCATTCATTTGAATAAACTTGGTAGCCTTTCCTCCCAGCATGCTACAGACCCAATATCGGCACTCATAGACTTTTGCTTATTGAGATGAAGTCCTTTGTATATTTTAACATATTTGACCCCTGTGACCTTGAAAGTGGGCCAAGGTCATTCATTTGAACAAACTTTGTAGGGCTCCATGCCAGCATGCTATGGGCCAAGTATTAGCCCCCTAGGCCTTCTAGTATTTGAGAAGAAGTTATTTAAAGATTTTGACATATTTGACCCCTGCGACCTTGAAAGTTGTTCAAGGTCATTCATTTAAATAAACTTGGTAGCCTTTCCTCCCAGCATGCTACAGACCCAATATCGGCACTCATAGACTTTTGCTTATTGAGATGAAGTCCTTTGTATATTTTAACATATTTGACCCCTGTGACCTTGGAAGTGGGCCAAGGTCATTCATTTGAACAAACTTTGTAGGGCTCCATGCCAGCATGCTATGGGCCAAGTATTAGCCCCCTAGGCCTTCTAGTATTTGAGAAGAAGTTATTTAAAGATTTTGACATATTTGACCCCTGCGACCTTGAAAGTTGTTCAAGGTCATTCATTTAAATAAACTTGGTAGCCTTTCCTCCCAGCATGCTACAGACCCAATATCGGCACTCATAGACTTTTGCTTATTGAGATGAAGTCCTTTGTATATTTTAACATATTTGACCCCTGTGACCTTGGAAGTGGGCCAAGGTCATTCATTTGAACAAACTTTGTAGGGCTCCATGCCAACATGCTATGGGCCAAGTATTAGCCCCCTAGGCCTTCTAGTATTTGAGAAGAAGTTATTTAAAGATTTTGACATATTTGACCCCTGTGACCTTGAAAGTTGTTCAAGGTCATTCATTTAAACAAACTTGATAGCCCTTCATCCCAGCATGCCACAGGCACAATATCAGCAATCTGAGCCTTTTGGTTATTGAGAAGAAGTTGTTTAAAGATTTTAACATATTTGACCCCTGTGACCTTTAAAGTGGGTCAAGGTCATTCATTTGAACAAACTTGGTAGTCCTTCATCCCAGCATGTCACAGGCCCAATATCTACACTCTGAGCCTTTTGGTTAATGAGAAGAAGTTGTTTAAAGATTTTAACATATTTGACCCCTGTGACCTTTAAAGTGGGTCAAGGTCATTCATTTGAACAAACTTGGTAGAGCTCCATGCCAGTATCCTCTGTGCCAAGTATTAGCCCCCTAGACCTTCTAGTATTTGAGAAGAAGTCGTTTGAATGAAAATTTACGGACGGCGCACGGCGCACGGCGCACGGCGGACGACGACGGACGAAGCATGATGACTATAGGTCATCGGACCCTTCGGGTCAGATGACCTAAAAACACATAGCTTTTGAAATTCTGATTTATACACACTATCATGAGAGTATCAATAACTGAATTTTTTTGACAAATCTTGTTTGTAATACAAAATTAAGTTATATACATAATAACATGGTAGGACACAGTTAAGTTTTGGGAACAAATCCAAAATGACTTTTATCATAGGTAATAAGACCGTATGACAGATTTAAATTCCAGGTATTGTTAAGAAAATTATTTTTGTAAGGATTTTCTCAGAAAAGATGCCAGTATTTAGCTTTTGATACATGTAGTTCTAGGAATATTTTGTATTTTAAGTACACTACCTGAATTGCTCCAAATTGATCTAGTCTGACAGCTGCAGCTACAATAGTGCGTAGAGAGTTGAACAGATATGCGGTAAGCGTGGTAAGTTGATCAATACCCATGGCTCCACACACAAAGCCAAACACCACCGGGTGATGACAGTACTCAAGCAAACCCTTTAACTCCAGAATCTGCTCTACACGGAAAGCCTGGCTACTGGTGTCCAACAGCGATCTTCCCTGTAGTCAGGAGGTGAAGCAAGTTATACAATAAGAATTTGTTTTGTACAGTCAGAGCTATCAAGTGGTCCTTCTGTATCCAGTATATTTTTCTATGTTAGCTGTGTTGATTTAAAATAAGAAAAAGAGGCCTTGCGGTAATTTCTTTATCAAAACTGAAGAAAAAATAATTCCTGAGGTTTGTATCTATTTCCTCATTGGCTCCCACCCTTTTGCCCTCAGGGGGTCAGTGAAACCATTTCTACAAATGTCTCCTTCACCAAAGAAAGGAATTTTAAGAATTTGTTTTATTTCCCATTTTTGTCCTGCACCTCCCATCCAGAAGAAGGGACCCAATGTGTGTACAAAATTTACTCTCCTTCCTCCAAGGATACTTCAGACCAGATTGGGATAGAATCCACACCTTCCCACTGATCTTTTTAACAAATTCGCTCGATTTCCCATATTACATACTGCCCCTCCTGCCTCATGGCTAAGACCCACCATCTATACAATGTTGATTCCTCTTCACTCTTGCCCCTAAGGCCCAAGAACCACCCTTTTCTTTAATTGATTCCTTTTACCTTAGGACGCTTCAGATCAAATTGAGATAGAATTCTGACATTCCTACAAAGCGTGAGGGATATTGCAGAGTTTGTTTTATTTCCCCTATTGGCCACGCCCCTTCTGTCCCAAGGGGGAATACCCCCAACTGATACAAAATTGATTCCCTTTCACCCTAGGATGTTTCAAACCAAATTGGGACAGAATCCTCACATTCCTATTTTCCCTATTGAGCTCTGCTGCTCTTGCCCTATGATGCCAGGATCAACTGTTCATACAAATTAAGTTCACTTTGCCTAAAAATACTTCATACAAAATTTGGTCAAAATCCAATCATTCTTCACAAAAAAAGGGATTTTCAATATGTTGCAAAATTTCCCCCTTTCTGCCTGCCCTTCAAGCCCCAGGGGGTCAGTCCCCTCCCTCAAGTATGCTTCTAACCAAATTTGATCAAAATCCACTAGTCATTCATAACTAGTAGTGTTTTTAAGAAAATGTCAATGAATGACAGACAGGCGATGGGTGATACCACTGGGTTTGATTTATTCCTACAGTAATACCCCTCACACACATCCATTCTGGCCAACAACAGATATCAGTCCAATTTGGATAACTTGTTTCATAACCGCTGTCAAATAACTAAAATCTATACTTATAGAAAGGAGATAGTCCTGTATTTCAACTGAAATCTAAAACTAAACATCATACAATACACCATAATGATCCTGTTACAGATTAATGGCAGTAAGTAAAATGTAATTGATGCAGGCTAATGCCTCTAACACTTTTCCAGACTTCCTCACGAGCAAACATGCCCCCTTTCCTTTTCCAGTCTTTTACTTTCTACCTATCTAAATACACATCTTCTAAATACCATGACTTGTAAATACCACATAATTTACCTGCCTAACACTGGCCCTGTTAGCCACATGGTTCGTAGTGCAGGCTTCACACAAATTGTCCAGCTCTACCAACTTCTCACTATCCCAGCATGCATCATGAGCCTCTCTCACAAATGGTAGGCAAAATGATCCTATACAATTGAAATTCAAGATAATTGCTTTACTTCAATTATAAAAACAAAATCTAAGCATTAAAGAATCATAATTATCAAGAAGAATATTTACAGATTACTTAAATGAGACATAAATTATATTGAAAAATCAGTCAATTAAGACATATTATCAAAACAAGTAAAAATAAAAAGGATTCAGGGCACAAGATATTCTTCAATAAAATATTTGCTTTTAATTTTTCACCATGATATATAATATGAATGTATTACCACATGTTAACTTACCTGAGTTTTCCAAAGAACACATAATGTAATCTTTAATCTCTCCTGTAAAGACAGAGATAGGCTTGAGTTTAGCATAACATGATATTTGTTTATAAGCAATACTTTATATTGAAGATCTAACATAAGTTTCAATATAATGTGAAATTTATTAGACAAGTTCAGTAGTTATATCATGAGCCAGTAGATCAGTCGATGATTTAATATGTCATGAGCCAGCAGACAAGTTCAATAATTTGACATGTCATGAGCCAGTAGAAAAGTTCAATAATTTGACATGTCATGAGTCAGTAGATAAGTTCAATAATTTGACATGTCATGAGCCAGTAGATAAGTTCAATAATTTGACATGTCATGAGCCAGTAGATAAGTTCAATAATTTGACAAGTCATGAGCCAGTAGACAAGTTCAATAATTTGATATGTCATGAGCCAGTAGATAAGTTCAATAATTCAATATGTCATGAGCCAGAAGATTAGTTCAATAATTTGACATGTCATGAGGCAGCAGATAAGTTCAATAATTTAACATGTCATGAGCCAGTAGATAAGTTCAATAATTTGACACATCATGGGCCAGTAGATAAGTTCAATAATTTGACACATCATGAGCCAGTAGATAAGTTCAATAATTTGACATGTCATGAGCCATTAAGCAAATGACATATCATTGAACAAATGTAAAGTTCATATTGTCTAATTAGTCCCTATATCTCAAAATAAGTGAAAATATTCAAAATCATTTTTGCTTTTAAGACAGACTAATGCTGATATGGACGGAACAATTTTTGTTACAAAACCAATTGTGTAATGTCATCAACACGTTACTTACATATCACAACAGTATTATTACACATGTCTGACAATATGCCTATGACAATGTTCAATGACATGACAAAACAGTTAAAGATGTCAACTGGAAGATCCATCTTGATGGTGAGCTTGATGTCCATGCCAACAAATGACATGGTAATACAGTCAACAACTGACATAGGTATCTAAACGTATATATAAGTAAACATGTGGCACCTGGAATATATACAGAAGATATATATACAGTAGTCATTTCAACAAAAGAGTATAGTTTGTAATGAAATACATATACCTTGTGTCTGTAATATTTTCTGTCGTACAGCTGCTTCTAGTCCCAAACTATGAGCAAATCCACCTGTTGGGAAAACTGCCGAAACAAAACATACTTTAGAGGATTTTGATAAAAATGATACCTTTAAAAATGTTAATTGCCATAAATTATTGGAATGTATAACAAGAACATTACTTCAGTATAGAAAAACCAATTAAAAGGTAAAATTCATCAGAAAACATTCCTTTCAATGTTGTCCGTTCTTTCGTTGAGAATACAAGAGGCCTAACGATCCTGTTTCATTCACCCAAGATATTCAATTCTTTTCACAAATACACAAAGTGCATCAAAATCTAATAAATTTAAACCCATTTCAAGAACAAGCAAGCCTGACATTATTCATCTGTGATTCCTGAATCCTTTTCTGGACATTTGATACCAGTAACCTTGACTATGGGTCAAGGTCATTTCTGTATACAAACTTTCTCATGCTTCATCGAAGAAACCCGTCAACTAAATATATAAAAAAAATTGTATGTGTATCTCAATTAATCTGGCCCATGTGACTTCAAAGGAAAATCAAGGTCAGTTCTGCTGCAAACTTTGTCAGATTCACCCAGATATAAATATATCCTATCCTGTACCTTTGCCCATTTTTAGGATTATTATCAATTTGATGTGAAGTTCATTTACCTTTAGCAAACTTTGTCAGATTCACCAAAATCTTAAATATGTGCAATCATGTACCAGCTTGGCCAATTTTGAAAGTTACTATTACTTTTACATAATCTTAATAAACCACAGCTGATTTTTTTAAGAATCTCCTTCTTGATAAATGTTATTTTGTGTAAACTGTAAATAGCCATTTTAAACAGGTTTGGCACAACACCAAAAAGTGGTAATACTTGTGCATTTGAGGGATAGTTACTGCTTTGAGTGATCAATTAGCTACCCAAATGCAGGATCATTTGATATAGAAACAGTTTCTATAAACATTTGCACTAATCCAGGATGTCATATTTGAGGCATGGCCAAATAATAAATGCAACCATGGACTTAGAACTGAATCTTTATCCAAGTCCTTAGTGCAAAATTGTAAATTTTTACCCAAACAGTGAATCATTCAGTCTCTCACTTTTTTTAAAAGTCACAAACTTCAGTTTATCACCTCTGTTGTTTACACCTAATATTGTGGCTAAAAATAGAATAAATGAAAATTTCTGCTCACTTTGGACATTTGCACTAAATGCTCATGTGACTATAAAGATGTAGTCAATGGAAAACAAAGTCAGTGGTATAAATTGTCATTATATTACAAAGTTAGATAACGGAGTTTAATATTTCTTATGCAAATATAGAAAGTGACACATTGGCTAATGTGCCATATTAAAATGATGACGCCATTTTCTGTAACATACATTTGAAAGAATTTTGAGTTCTATTTCAAATTATCATGCATTTTGGCAGAGACGTATATATATATATATACGTCTCTGATTTTGGGTAGCTAACTGCTTACTCAAAGCAGCAACATTCCCTCAAATGCACGTGCACACGGCATAGACCTACCAACCGGGCCATTTATCTGATAATGTTGTCCCAATTCTTCCGCCCCTGTGATAAGAGATATGTGTTCATATTAAATTAGTTGCACATTTTTAACATTAATAGTATGTTATAAATCCAGAAACGTATTCTCAGGGGTGTATTTCTCATGATCAGGTCCCTGTTGGCACAACCCATGAACTGTCAGACGTCTCCACTATCACCTACTTCTCATCCAGACAACTATGCAAGCGCATATTCAATCGCTCTGCCTTTTTAAAGATATACTCACTACTGTCGGAAACTTGCAACACGGTTAGCAGAGCAGAAGTTGGTAAAGTCATTTTTGTGGTGTTCCTGTTGCGTATGTTGAGCTTGAGTCGACTGGAATATTGACCCAAAAAGTCTACTATCAATTATTTTGAACCCTCTATGACATGAAGGTAGCGTGGCCGAGCGGTCTAAGGCGCTGGTTTAAGGCACCAGTCTCTTCGGAGGCGTGGGTTCGAATCCCACCGCTGCCACTTGATTTTTTACTTTTATTAATATTTTCTGTTGGAATATTCTTTCGGTGTTGCAAAATATCAAAGAGACACCAGCAGCTGAATGGAAGAGGTGGTGTAGATAATATTCAACCGTAGCACACACTTAAAACTGATATGCAATCTCTACGCTGATCTTGACGTGTGTTGGAGATTTACTTAGATATTCTTGGTCAAGTTCATGAATGTCCGATGATATTTCTGGTGTGTTATAATTATTTTGAAATGTTATGTTGATAGAATATAAAGACACCCCCACCCCTCTCCCACACACACGAACACACAGAGGGAGGGAGAGACAGAGAAAGAAAGAGGAAGAGGGATGGAGAAAGCGAGATGGAGAAAGAATTCAGAAGTAACATATTTAAATAGAATACCGTCGAGTATGTGTCACTTTTTACTGTGTAAAGATGTAATTAGTTTAATCGGCCCTTTATTATATTGTCTGTTCATTATAACAGCATAACAAATTTAAGATAAGCCGATTACTAAAGAAACGCACCACTTAACACATCCGTAATATATAATTCTTAAGACAAATATTGTCAGATCAGAGATATATACGTCTCTGGTCAGATCAGATAGTCAGAATTCCTCCGTATGTAAAACCACCAAATTTTAGCGACCCCTGCAAGGGTCATTGTGATCTTCTGGGTTACTGCCATCGTTTTCACTCTGCCAGATGTTATAGCGATCAGCATAGTGGCGGATGTTGTAAATATGCGGGAGAAAAGTAATAAAAAAAAATAATAAAATCGAGGTAGAGAGAAAGAATCTTTCGGACTATAGATTCTACTACACGTTAACTTCTAGTATGATCAGGTTCAGGTTCACCTCTTGTGTCATGAGAAAAAAGCTTGATTTTTCACAACTTTGGTGCTAGATTGTCTTTTCTAAATACATCTACATACAATCATCAATTTTCGGAGTATTGGATCTTCGGTGTAACGAGCATACTGAGTATTGGGTTTTAATTAATTATAATGTATCTTCTGTAAATTCCGGTTTACAGTCGCCTGTTCCTAACTTATATATTACAAGCGTGCGACTGACGCTGTCTTCCTGTTTGTATAGTGTACCGTGAACTCTGCAACGTTAAACTGAAACTAAAGGTAAATTATCTAGACCTATTGTTATTTTGATAACGCCATATGACAGAAAAACGTGTGTTTGTCCAAAATCTAATGACAGTTGCAGTAACACGTACAACCATCTCATTCATCTTCAACGACAGCTGTAACAGGTTGTGCTTTAACAGAAGTAATCATAAGAACCTCCCTTGTCCGATGAATACACGTTTTGGTAGGTAGACATGTAGTAACTTTCTGAATAGACCATGGACATGTTAGGTCTATCTTCATGTAGATAGTAACCGTTAATTTTAGTATTCATCAGGTCCCTATGAAAAAAAATCCATTTCTAAAGTTTTCTCTGATCGTTGGAAACTTTGCAGCTGATAAGACTATCCCTGTATATCGTTTGTTGTCCAACATTTTTATTTAATTATTAAACGTTAAGTGCTTCATTTCACGTAACTGTCAGGCACGACAAAAGCATCAAAGTTTAGTAGTACTGTAGTGTATATGTATGAAGCTGAGACAACTCCAAACATGACTGTCCCATTAAATTGATATAACAGTACATGTGTAGAACTTGAGAGAATATGTCACTTTATTAGACATGGCTAGTGTAAATTTTCCTCTTATCTGGTGGTAGAGTGTCCATTTTGAGTTAGAGGTCACTAGTTCAAACCCCACCAGTGGCAGGGTAGTTGTCATTACTCATTCCTACATGTTCAAAACCAGTCTAGCCTTTCAATGTTATATATGTCCAACTTCAATGCAGCCTTTGCATTAATATCAGTCATATGTTCTATTCAGTCTGGCACTCCAACTTCATATTTGGGACTCTAGTGATGTCCTATCAAACATTTATATGTTAATGTAATTGAAAATTTAAAATCAAAATAAATTGCAAAAGTGAGACTTTAATTTCTAGTAACAAGAGGATGGAATTACTATCAAGGGATATAATATGAAGTAAATTGGTGTAAACAAAATTTTGCACATTGGGATACAATAGTAACTTATTGCCTTGACTTCTTACTCTTCCACAGGTAGACTTGGAATGATTACTCTGACAAGGTTGTGATAATGTTGCTTAGAACAGGACTCTTCAGCCATCATTCAGGAGACAAATAGCAAATATTTGTAATCAAATTACACAATAATGGTCTAGAAAGTTCCAGTAATAGGAAATGTAAAGAAAGAGTTTCAGAAAACATCTACAAAATCTACAAATATGAGAAGTTCAGGTGCACAGAGACTTGAGAGAAAGTTGAACAAACATGCTGTGACCATTCTGATTGGTGGGATATTCCTGTCCTTTAGTGCACTCATGTTCTTATCTTTCTGCCATATGCCATGTGAGGATCGAACATATGCTGTTGCTCATGAAACCTTGAAAGAAGCTCAGAATGAAGCCTACTGGAGTGGGAATATGCTGTCCCCAAGACGAGAAATATCTGTTTTCCTGGCTGTTATCATCCCATCTGCTCCTGGGAATGCTAGACAAAGGGATGTTGTGCGTGAAACTTGGGGCAATGATTTAGGAAAGGATTCAATCTTACGGTTTATGATAGGATATGGAAATGTTAGCTTAGACCAGAAAAAGGAGCTGGAGAGAGAAAATTTACTTCACAATGACCTTGTACTTTTAAAGTTAAATGATTCTTTTGTAGCTTTAACAAAGAAAATGTTAGAATCGTTTAAATGGTTAGATAGTAAAATAGATTTTAAGTTCCTTTTAAAAGTTGATGAAGATACATTTGTTCAAATTAAAAAACTAAAATCAGAATTAAAATTAAAACCTAAGAAAAAGCTTTACTGGGGATTTTTTGATGGACGTGCATCTGTTAAAAAGAAGGGGAAATGGCCGGAAAGTGAATGGAAACTTTGCGACAGATATTTACCTTATGCTCTAGGTGGAGGCTATATTTTATCTAGTGATCTGGTCCATTACATTGCTTCAAATTCAAAAATACTTAAACTTTTCAACAATGAAGATGTGTCTGTAGGTGCTTGGCTTGGGTCCCTAGATATCCTTCGTCAACATGATCCGAGGTTTGATACGGAATATATCTCTAGAGGGTGTAATAATCTATATCTTGTTACGCACAAACACAGTAATATGCAGATGCGAGCATTTAAGCAAAATTTGCAAAATACTGGTAAATTGTGTATGAATGAGTTCCAGAAAAGGACATCTTACATATATGATTGGAATGAACTACCCTCCAGGTGTTGTCAAAGAATTGATAAATCCATTCCATAGACATCTACAATATTACCTGACACTAAGAAGCTTTGATGGCTAATTTGGGAATATTCAGTATTTTACATCTCTACTCAGGTGCTGTATCTGTATTAATACACAGTATTCAAATTGGTATTGTGTCAACTCTGCTATGATGGAGACTACTTTCATTTCACTCATTAATTACTGTTACAAAAAGTAATATTCATAATGATTCATCTTCCAGCATGTTGATGATTATGAGTTTAAATTCATAGTAAAGAAGAGTAATAATATATTAAGTGAGTGTAAATTATTGAACACAAAAGTGAAATAATTGTTATGCAATAGATGCTATAGTTCCCTGGTTCATAATTTCTGTAATAAGGATGGTTAGCTTAATGAACTGGTCATCATTTTATCTCCAAAGTGTGCAAATGTTAAAGGGAAATATTTTGCTATTGTTCTTAATTTTCGCAAGTAATCTCTGCTTTCTAAGTGTAGCCATCAGACCTTCACTCAACATAGAACTTTCTAACTTGTTTTGACAGAGCTTATGAAACTCCTCTGTCTATATGTATTTACATATTTACTTACCAACTCGAAGGAAATATTTAATGATTTTAAAATGAATGTCTAAATATACCGGTAATAGCAACTGTAGTGATGTAATTTATGTACAGCAACTGTGAGCCCAATATAAATTATTGGTGAGTTAAAAATATAAAAGGTTTTGGAAGAGTAGTAGCCCTTTGTTATTACCAGCTTTATAAACTTCTCCCTCAGTTTAACACCTTTCTTCAAACTTCTTCAGTATGATTATAATGACATGATACTGTGCTTTTTCTGTGACATTTTAACTTTTTTTTCTGTATTTATATTTATTTCAGTACAATAATTTTTTGGAGGGGGGCAGGCATATAGTGTTTTGCCCTGTGGTAATCTAGTTGTAATATGTAGCTTGCTTGTGGGTTTTTTGTAACATATATGTACATTGTAAGTGTTTTACTATAGGCATTGTCAAGTACCAAATTAGTGGCTACTTTATTGTCTTATTTGTATCTGAAATACAATTAAACCAAAGGTTTCTGTCAATCATTCATCTGTTTAAAAATGTCAAATTATTCTTAAGTTTGTCCCGGCTATTTTCATACATAATTTTCATTGTAGTGCAATTGTTCTGTCTTAATTGATGCAAACATAAATATAGGGTAATTCTAAAATCAATATGATCTTTCAAGTCTCTTTTTGAAAAATGCTGATAGATTTCTCAAGGTTTACCAGACTTCAGTTAATTGTGGTTAACATGTGTTAACATGTGTGTAATCATGTGATGCTACTGTATAATAATGAAATATTACAGATTAATCAAAATTTGGAAAAAAATCCTCTAATAGCCATGATAAAAATTGATTTACGACAGATAAATTAAGATCTTTTTGAGGTTTCTGGGTTTTTTTCCCCCCAAATACTTTGTAATCAAGTGGCTTTTCCACAGAATGTGAGTCTTTTCTTTTAAAAAAAATCTGAGCAAAATTTTATGAATGTATGCTTCATTAAGACATGAACTATGTTAGTATTGCCCAATACTCTATTTTTATGCCAGAATTTGGCTGAATGTAATTGGTATTTAAGATCACAATTATAATATGTATCTGCTTTTATTTTGGATCATCTGAGTAATGTACAGACATTGGCCAGACCAAGTGTCAAATGATTTGGATACTTTTTCATTTATAATTATTAACTTGTTATAAATTGTTATATTTATACAAATTGTTGATTGTATACAAAATAAAACTAGCCTCATTTTGGTGACTAAGATGTAATTTCATGGTGTTCTTTTTTTATATTATGTATTATATTATAGCTGTACAACACACATCTTATATTACAGCTATACAACACACATCTTATATTACAGCTGTACAAAACACATCTTATATTACAGCTGTACAACACACATTTTATATTACAGCTGTACAACACACATCTTATATTACAGCTGTACAACACACATCTTATATTACAGCTGTACAACACACATCTTATATTACAGCTGTACAACACACATCTTATATTACAGCTGTACAACACACATCTTATATTACATCTATACAACACACATCTTATATCACAGCTGTTCAACACATATATTACAGCTGTACAACACACGTTATATTACATCTGTACAACACACATCTTATATTACAGCTGTACAACATGCAGTACAACACACATCTTATATTACAGCTGTACAACATGCATCGTCCATTACAGGTAGGTTATTGGTCAAAGGTCACACGACTTGATAAAACTACTACTCGCTTAATGTGTTTTTATGTTATTGAAGTCCTTTTGCTAATGGATCAAAGTATCATAGATTCTTCAAAGTTTATTGTGCATTTATGTCATGGGGAGCCACCAGCTTTAATTTTACATTATGTTCTTGGCCAATGGATTCTGAACTCCATAGAAATTATTTGCCAATCTTCTCTTCGGAGTAATATTTTCAAGATTTAGCCACAATAAAGATCAATCTAAAGTTAGTCATGGAAATAAGTGTACAGCAATTTAAAATTCTTTATTGAAAATGGTTTTATTTTGCTGGGATTATTGCAGTGATTTGGGTAAGGTGTCTTGATGAAGGATACAACCTCAACAAGGAATGGTCCTGGGGTGATTTGTACTTCTCAAGAAGTTAAAATCACCCCAGGTAGTGATCAAACACACACCTTGTATCTTCACATGAAAAACACAAACCAGTATGGGTAGGGATTGAACCACCACACCTCAGATCTTCACCTGAGAAACACAAACCAGTATGGGTAGGGATTGAAACACACACCTCAGATCTTCACCTGAGAAACACAAACCAGTATGAGTAGGAATTGAATCGCACACCTTATATCTTCACATGAGAAACACAAACCAGTATGGGTAGGGATTGAAACACACACCTCAGATCTTCACCTGAGAAACACAAGCCACCCAAGGTAGGGATCGAACCACACACCTCAGATCTTCACCTGAGAAACACGAACTACCATAGGTAGGGATTAAACCACACACCTCAGATCTTCACCTGAGAAACTCATACCAGTATGGATGGGGATCAAACCACACACCTCAGATCTTCACCTGAGAAACTCATACCAGTATGGATGGGGATCAAACCACACACCTCAGATCTTCACCTGAGAAACTCATACCAGTATGGATGGGGATCAAACCACACACCTTAGATCTTCACCTGAGAAACTCATACCAGTATGGATGGGGATCAAACCACACACCTCAGATCTTCACCTGAGAAACTCATACCAGTATGGATGGGGATCAAACCACACACCTCAGATCTTCACCTGAGAAAATCAAGAAAATACCAAAATATTAACACACACACTACCCGGGGAAGGGATTAATGCACACATATCATATCTTTACCTGAGAACCACAAACCGCACTGAGTAAAAAATCAAACCATGTGATAATCTCTTTGATATAAAGTAAAGGAGTTTATGCAGCATTGTAGCCATCAACTTGTACAGTTCCTCTTAGTTGTAGCTTCTGATCTTATCTTCAAAGTATAGACCCTGTACAAGTCTTATGATTTGATTTTATATGTCTGAATTGAATCAAACTGCCAGCTGTAAGTCAGGTGTGTTGGAAACATCAAAATGTCGGGTAACCTTTGTCTTAATGAGAAGTTATTTTAATGTTTAATGTATTCATCCCTGTGGTATTGAATGTTAAAGGTTATTTTTCTCACAATCTTTGTCAGGTTTCTTCTCCGAAGTCTTCAAGATGTCATGACCTTAGACCTTTTGGTTAATCAGAATATTTCATTTGAAGATCTTAAACCTACTTGATCGCTGTGACATTGAATATGGATAAACCTTGTTATCGGGAAGAAAAAAAAAATTTAAAGGTTTTAACAAATTCGATTCCAGCGACCTTCAATATAAATCAAAGTTATTTCTTTCTACAAACTTCAAATCGACTTTGTTGAAGAAACCTTTTTTAGTCAAATGTTATGGTCTAGGCCTTTTAGTTATTGAGCTGATTTCATTAAAGGGAAAAGTTAACTCTGTACAGCTGTCCAGATGTCATAATCCAGGGAATTGGTATAGAAAAATTTGAAATATTAAAGGGATTAAATGGTTAGATATTCATTTCTTATAAAAAGTATTATCACATGTAAATATCTGTGTGTTTTCTGATAATTATAATATTTTAAAGTTTGCATAACCATTTTATTAACAATATCAAGAAACTAAAATAAAATGGGAGCGACACTAATTCAGATCTTTTTGTTTGTAAAGTGTAAACAATGTCTTTGCACATGCAATTTTAGATTCAGATTAATTCAAATTCATTTATTTTGCTCTGTCACGCATATAAAGTGAAACAAGAGGTAATATTACAAAGTAAGAATTGAAACATATATAGCTGGCAAATTAAGTTTTGGCTAATTACAGAGTTATACATATGAAACAATATCAAAATATCAAGTAAAAATGAGGATCCGAAAAGTCATATGAAGGTGATAATCTTTATCAATTTCTCTCAGAGAGTGTTATATTTTTGTGAAGAGTTTAATTTTGAGTATTAGAATGCTTGCCCGAAATCAAACACATGGGGGAAAAAACCAAATTCCAACCATTTAGTCTCTTTAAAGAAAACTTTTTTGTATAAGGAAACTGACTGGTGAACCTGCATCTTGACTTGCCTGTTTTCAAGACTTAAAGACAAATAAAATTAAAGCTGGCTCAGAACATTTGATTACGATTAATGTAACAACACACAAGATCACTGGACCCACAGAATCATTAACCACACTTGTATTTCACTGATTTGCAACGGGTTGCTTACAACAGAGACCTAAATATTCAGGTCTGTAGGAAGCAGTTTTCTGTCTCTGACTATTGCATGGTTGCAATTATTCTAGTCTCTGGGTACAATATTTCTGTAATTCTATTGCATGGTTGCAACCATTCAGGTCTGTGGGTACATGATTTCTGTCTGTGATTCTAATTATTCTAGTCTCTGGGTACAATATTTCTGTAATTCTATTGCATGGTTGCAACCATTCAGGTCTGTGGGTACATGTTTTCTGTCTGTGATTCTAATTATTCTAGTCTCTGGGTACAATATTTCTGTAATTCTATTGCATGGTTGCAACCATTCAGGTCTGTGGGTACATGTTTTCTGTCTGTGATTCTAATTATTCTAGTCTCTGTACAATATTTCTGTAATTCTATTGCATGGTTGCAACCATTCAGGTCTGTGGGTACATGATTTCTGTCTGTGATTCTAATTATTCTAGTCTCTGGGTACAATATTTCTGTAATTCTATTGCATGGTTGCAACCATTCAGGTCTGTGGGTACATGATTTCTGTCTGTGATTCTAATTATTCTAGTCTCTGGGTACAATATTTCTGTAATTCTATTGCATGGTTGCAACCATTCAGGTCTGTGGGTACATGTTTTCTGTGATTCTAATTATTCTAGTCTCTGGGTACAATATTTCTGTAATTCTATTGCATGGTTGCAACCATTCAGGTCTGTGGGTACATGTTTTCTGTCTGTGATTCTAATTATTCTAGTCTCTGGGTACAATATTTCTGTAATTCTATTGCATGGTTGCAACCATTCAGGTCTGTGGGTACATGATTTCTGTCTGTGATTCTAATTATTCTAGTCTCTGGGTACAATATTTCTGTAATTCTATTGCATGGTTGCAACCATTCAGGTCTGTGGGTACATGTTTTCTGTCTGTGATTCTAATTATTCTAGTCTCTGGGTACAATATTTCTGTAATTCTATTGCATGGTTGCAACCATTCAGGTCTGTGGGTACATGATTTCTGTCTGTGATTCTAACGCATACTTGAAATTATTTGATTACCACAGAGACTTAATTATTCAAGTGTCTGGGTACAAGTTTTCTGTCCATGTGACTCTCGCATGGTTGCAATCATTCAGGTCTGTGGGTACAAGTTATTCAGTGCATGTGATTTTAACCTTGATTGCAATATGTATTTAGTTATCAGAGACCAAAATATTCAGGTCTGTGGGTACAAAATTTCTGTCTCTGACTCCATGGCTAGATGTTGTCTCACCACTGAACATCACTGTGACGTGTCCAGCTGTATATAAATAATCTCAATCCAAAGTAAGCTATGTACACAGATGCCTTTATTTCCTCAATACAGATCCATTACAGAAACAGTGGAAACATTCTGGTGAATACTAATACATTAAGTTGGAATCACAAGATCTGAACAGAACCATAACACAAAAAAACATCACCTTTTTACACTACGTAGCTTTAAAAGGCTTCAGTTACTGGCAGAAAATTCACAAATATATACATTATAATGTAACTTTCAACTAGAGGATTAACCAATTAATACAGAATGTTCATTCAGTAACTCATTTAAATCCTCTCCTGAATATGGTGTTTGACAAGGTGCTCTAATCTCAACAATCTTATTTTTGTGAATTTTCTGCAAACATGTTTCAGTTATTATTTAAGATCACATAAATAAAATATACAAGATAATTATAAATGTACCCACACTGTTTGTCACATACATAACATTTCAGTTTAGTCTCATTATACACCAATCAGAAGATTTCTTGATACACAAACTAAAATTTTCTCTTGTGGCCATGCATCTTCAGTGGGTTTATACTGGTAAAAATCATATAAAGATATACCCAGTCTGCCAATAGAATTGTTCAGATATCTGAAAAATGTCTATCATCTTTCATGTTTTTGTTAAGTTTAAAGCTTGACGATGAAGCCTGTTGCATTTTTATTGATTGGTTCTCATTTCACATACTTTTTCACTTTTTTTTTGGTGCGATTTAGAGAGTGAACTGAACAGGGTGGTCAGTATGCTGTTTTCCTGATCTATGTTGGATGATGACCAGACCAATGTAACGGGTACAATAACAATAGTGCACAATCTCTCTCACCTGTGGTCTAAGATTCGTTACACATATCACTAACTCACAATGATCTATAACACATACTTTACACAGCATCAACAAGATTCTTATATATATAACTAAATAGTATATTATGTACAAACACATATATAAATATGTGTTGATAAATATCAACAAATTTCAAAAACAAACGTAAATTTTAAACAATTTGCATGACGGGCGTGCTAAGCTACAACAAAATCAAGACGGGTCCTTATATTTCCAGCAGCAATATTTCCAAGGGTATCAATGTATCTCTAACTCTGTTTACACATTGTTAATCATACATGCCAATTGAATATTGCACAATGATTTGTACTAAGCTACAGTAGGAAGAAGCTGTCGGATTTAATTTATTTGTGACTGGGACATCTTTGTATTAAATGGTAAAAAGTATGTATGATGCTTATTTTTTGGCAATTTGAATTATTTTTTAATTTTAAAGTCTTCAATCTTAAATTCTGATTTATACTCTTAAGTAGAATGCATAGAATTCTTTATTAATATTGTTAGAAACCTTCAACACTAGCTTATCAAACTGTAAAATATCATAACTATGATGTATTGTTGGAACAGGCTTTTCTGCGTTATGACTTCTTAAACTGCTGATAGTGGCAATATGTTTGCAACACCAAATCTCATTGTCTATTGGTATGTTTACGCTTCGAGCTTAAAAGAAAAATGGAGAATCTCTCCACTATAACAATGCCAGTTCCTGTATTACTATGAGTGTTGACGGGTCAACTTACAAGTGATTATGAACTGGAGGTTTACTGATGCTACACAGAAACCTATGAACTACAGAATTTAATACATAAGAACAACTGTAGGTACAAACTATTATTGACATGTTATGGAATGTTCGGGAGCCGGTCACAGGCTGATTATCATTGAAATAGTCAATAGTATATGCTTTCAGTTGATACCAATTTCTTGACAAATCTTGACAAATACAGCTGAACAGATAAAAAAAAGGAAATCTGCATTAATGATGATTGAGAAAATGTGAAATCATGTCAGACACAGATTCTTATATGGGGTATATGTAAGTATAATCAACCTTAGACACATCATGATGAAGAACTATGACTTGATTAACTAACTAACTGACACTCAACATAACACTGGAATGATTTATCTTTAGTGTTCTGGACATCTTGTTAAATATTGGGTTTAACAACACTTGGCTATATCATTTAACGTATGAAATATTAACCTTTAACCTCAACAACTCATGGTTTTGAAGATGACATATTTTGCCTGGTACATGAATGAAATGTTAAATCCACATGAATGTTTGTTATATCCTCTCTTTTGAAAGACTTTTAGCTCTAATCATGTGTTAGCGAAGTTTTATTCAAAGTAATGCAGGTACATAAACATGATCAAAGACTTCCGTAACTCCGTAAGAATCTCATTCATTTGCTGAAAAATTAGAGGAAAAAGAAATTGTTTAGGACTGATTCAGTGCAATTTATGGAATCTGTCAGGAGATGGTCATTTGATAAGCCTCCATAACTACTTAATTTTGTCAGAATGAAAGCCAAATGTAGAATTTCCTTTATACACAATATCTCCTTTGTTAAAACAGAGCTCCCTTTTTTAAACAAACAAAGGAGGTAGGATCTCACCACAAGTGAAACTGTATAACAAACACAGGAATTAGGATATCATCGCAAGTGTATCTCCGGCCAACATACACATGTAACTCTTAAACAAACATGACAGGAACAACTCCTAAAGCCAGTTTACCAATTAGTATATACTACTTTCTTCTACAGCTGTTCGAAGATATAATTTAGTTTTGTCAGGCTTTCATCAGGGCACTTATTTTACGTTTTAAAAATTAAGCTAACTTTGTTTAAGAGGGCCCTGATTACACCAGGTATCATTCTGTAATATAGCCCATGAACCACAACACAAATGAACTTGTTAGGATTTATTTCTCCAACTAGAGATTTTTTTTTCTCATCTAGATTTATAATTACACACAAGGTTCATTTGTTTCCTCCTTGTGTTTCTACTTCGTACCCAGGAACAGCCTCTACTACAATATACAGTATCTACTGCAAACAGTAGAAAAAAAAACGTGGCACACACACTGTTAACAGTAAACATACAGGGACTAAAACAAGGGAAAAATAAAGTTTATAATCAAATCAATATATTATATCTTGTACATTGAAACATCAATGTTAACCAATTCTAACATGAAATCATTAACAGTGGCAGAGATTTATCTTTGATTCCGAGAACATTTACTTCGGCTATCACAATATCTGTATGGAGTTCTGAAAGCATATACAACTATATAAGTTTGAACCCTGACCTGTTCTACCATTTAATTATCTGCTATTTCTTTTAAGCTAGCATCTTTATAGAAAGGGTATATGATTATAAAGGTCTATATAGAATGAACTTGAATCTGAAAACGACCAGATGACAGGATGATAGAGATTCTGGTTATTTATTTACAATTGAGAAATAAATAAAGAATGAAACTGTAAAACATCTAGATTTGCGTATCTTTAGCACTTATGAATATAACACTGTTTAACATTGTAGGAATTTTAAAGATTGACCTTTGACCTATATATATTGTCAACATCACAACCATATTAATCAGGCTACATGTGTACTTAGCTGAAACTGAAGCTTAATTTATAATTGTTGGCAAAGTCACATCTAAAGAGTGTTGGTTCTGTTATATAACAGATTATCTCAATCTCACAGCATATTTCATCCTGGTTCATTTTTCCAATACAATCTAGGACATTACCCTAATTATCACACAATGGGAATAACCGCAATTTCACTACAACTTTCATCAAATTTCACTTTTTTCAAATGTAATCAAAATATTTGAAATTGTGAACTAAAAAGACATACCAGACTGGTAATAACTTGCTTACTTCAAATTTCCAAAGATACACAAAATTCAAGAAAGACCGTGAAGAGTGTGTTTAATTTCATTGCCTGAAAAACTATCATCATCATCATTAATGACTGTGTGCTACCACAACTGTCGTGTTTCAGAACTATCCTCATTCATTAGTATGGTATATACAGTATAACAATAAATATGACTGAAATGTACTACTTCTCTCTCTACACCGTACACCCAACATTGTGGCATCTATCTAGTTGTCTCCCCTTACTTCTACAGAATGATCTCCCCTAACAACATGCTGTATCCTGCAAAGCGGGACAGCATGTCAAATTTCCCCACTTGACTACACTATTTCACATTAATATTGTAAATACTAGTTTTATTTCAAGATCAATAGAAACACTCCTGTCCTTATCAAACGAAAACAAACATGTAAATGATGCAGATGCCACACCCAGAATGTCAATGATATGCATGTCAATGACACAAAAGCCACACCAAGCATATCAATGACACTGATGCAACACTAAACATGCCAATGACACAGATGCAACACTAAACATGTCAATGACACTGATGCAACACTAAACATGTCAATGACACAGATGTAATTTTTAACCAAACATATCAGTGACACAGATGTAACACCAAACATGTCAATGACACAGATGTTACAAAACATGTTAATGACACAGATGAACACCAAATATGCCAATGACACAGATGAACCGCCAAACATTGCCAACGGCATATGTGTAAATATGCCATATAAACATGTGAAATGCCATATTGCATCTGTACAATATAGTTGTTCATGACATATATCCCAGAAGGATGTTAACAAACCAGCTTAGAATCATACACAAGCAAATCATTAGAGTCATGTCAAATACACATCTTTATAAAAATATGTAAATGACATCAATCTTAAATGAAAAAGGAAGTGTTCCCATTGTTCTTTTGGAGAGTAAAGAAGACACTGGTCAGTGATAACACACTGACCAGCAAGACAGAGTTTTTAGTGTTTGCACCAGAAGTCTGCAGTCCAGAAGATCAAGGTTTAGGAGTGGTATCTGGTGAACTGTTTCCTCCTTGACTTGTCGCCACCCAAACTGTAACAGAAAACAAGTAACTTAAGTGTCTTTAAAACAGGCAAGATTAAAGTAATGACAGACAGAAACAGCTTTAATGTTACATTTACTCTTACATAAGATTAGATCAGATGGACTGTGTCAAATACTTTGGTTAATATTAAATAAAGCAGTATTTTTTATTAGTAGTCCACAGTGAGTTTACTATGTAAAGGTCCTTGCTTCTGGAAATAACCAGAAATAAGACAATTAAATATAAATTTCTCACTAGTTACTATGAGCATTAATATTACAATTTGAAAAACATAAATACGACAACTTATATGCAAGTTGCTGTAATATCTAAATTAATTTCTGTGAATGAGGTGACCCTGACCTGTGTTTTCTCATATATAGTCACATTTATACTAAACTAATTGTATAGAATTTTGATCAAGATGACAATATTACTGATGTTACAAATATGTCTGTAGTCTTAGACCATGTCTTTTTAAAAAACTATGAAATTATAGATTATGAAAATTATACTGAAATTGAGATTATTATAGATATCCATCTCACATTTGAATTTTTGTTAACAAACATTTATGGTGAAGATAAGTTTGTTGCGATACTGACTCTAGATAGTGGTCTATTCATGAACATCACTGTTAAAAAAACTAGACTAAGTCCTAAACATGCAGTGATTCAATAGTTCAATTGTTCTTGTGCAATCAAACAACAGATACACACATCTTTGTCAACCACTACCATGCTAATATGACTCAACTACAAATGTTTAATCAAACAGGATCAACACTGACGAGGTAATATCAAAGAAATAAAGTAACCATGGCAACATCAAGATAAAAAGTTAAACCTGAATAACATTAGTGTCGCATCTCATCAGTATCACAGTAAGGTCACAACACAGTCACAGCACGGTCACGTCATTGTCACAATAAGGTCAAAGCAAGGTCACACCACTTCCACAATAAAGTCACCCCACTTTCACAGTAAGGTCATTACAATGGCACACCATGGCTACATCAAGTTAACGTCACTGTCACAACAAGATCACCTCATAGTAAATTGCATTTGTCCAAGAGTCACATGTATAGCCATTTCAATGAAATGAAATAAAATAAAATTTTGTACAACCAACACTTCATCTGCATATCTACTTTCTACTTGCAAAGAAATACCTGGAAGGCCTTATTAAAAGTAATACAAGATGTGATTAGCAATGCTTCCTTAACTGTATAGCAATACAACTATCTAATGATCGGCACAAGGTAAAATCTCAAAAACAAAGGTAATGTCATTGAAAACAAGGTCACAAGTTGTATAAACTAACTAGGATGACAAGGTCAAATTAAAGAAAGGTCAAATAATATACATCTAGAATATTTGCATCATTTGACTGTATTTTACTAAATGGTCAGATCACTTAAATGTCATATATAAGGGCATATCTATTCTGCAATAAGCCCATAATTGGTAATAAGCCCATGTATTTATATCTAATTTTGCACTTCAGTAAATATGCTTTAAAATACATTTTATTGTCTTCTAATCAGCATATCTCTTACCGTGCATCTTGAGTTTTTGCATTGTCCCCTCCCCGGGCTTATTACTGGATTAATAAAGGCTTATTGCTTGATAAATAAGGCAACAGGTTTTTCCTTTGCATGCTTTCTCTCAAAACTAACAAATAACTAATGTGCAGCTATCACATCTGGTCTAGGGTGGAACTATTCAAAATACATGTCTTGTTGTATAGTTACTTTAAGCAATTTTGCCGAGTGTGTGTTCAAGTAATTCTGTACCAAGAGTTCAGAATGATCAAGACCCTTCCTATTCAACACAGGCTTAAAACGAGTATGAAACTAAACCTCTGAAACTATTTTCTTTGTTAATGGAAGTCAAAGATCAAAATATATGTCATTGTGACCTACATCTTGGTACATTAGTGTATCAAGTCAAATGAACTACATGAAACAAATGACAAAAAAATTGTCATCGCTAAAGCATAATTCAGTAAATTTCCTTGACCATCAATTGAAATTTTTGTGTGAAAATTTCAGTGAATATGTTCAAATTAATCAAAGAACATCCTTTCTGAATAGAGAGTGATAAAATGCGTGTGAGGTGATCATGATCAATACAAGATCACGTGTGTAAGCATGGAGATCATTACTTACTTAATGTACTTTCAATGTTATATTACCAAGAAGTACCTTAGGATACTTCAATTGTAAAATTAAATTTTTTAATCAATGGCTAAATATACATGTGATGTAAACAAGAAAAAAATATATTAAGAGAAAGAATGTAACAATCATGCCAAAAACAAGATGCCGACACTGGTGATAGAGAAAGGAAAGCTCACCAGTGTTAGCCGGCGTATTTGGAGTAAGCCCAAACTGTGTGCAGCGTAGGAGAAAGACAGATAAGTTTAATCCATATTATAAATACCACAACCATAAAAAAAAGGTAACGGACACTTGTAAAACATTTTGTTGTTGTCATCACACAGATGAAGTTTTTAAGTCCATCTATTTCCATGTCACTGAATTGTTAAAGCAACACTTTTACAATGAAGATGTTCATCACACAGATGAAGTTTTTAAGTCCATCTATTTCCATGTCACTGAATTGTTAAAGCAACATTTTTACAATGAAGATGTTCATTGCTGTAGTGAAAATCCCTTTATTTGACAGGGTTGTGATTTGATTTAGGGTCAACCATATTAAAAGATTATAACTGTATTACAAAAAAACAACCTCCATATGACTGAGGACTATAGCTATATACACACCACATAACCTCCATATGACTGAGGACCATGCCTATATACACAACACATAACCTCCATATGACTGAGGACCATACCTATATACACAACACATAACCTCCATATGACTGAGGACCATAGCTATATACACAACACATTAACCTCCATATGACTGAGGACCATACCTATATACACAACACATTAACCTCCATATGACTGAGGACCATAGCTATATACACAACACATAACCTCCATATGACTGAGGACCATACCTATATACACAACACATAACCTCCATATGAACACATAACCTCCATATGACTGAAGATTGTAGCTATATACAAAACATATTAACCTCCATATGACTGAAAACCATAGCTATATACACAACACATAACCTCCATATGAACAAATAACCTCCACATGAACGAAGATTGTAGCTATATACAACACATTAACCTCCATATGAACACATAACCTCCATATGAACACATAACCTCCATATGACTGAAGATTGTAGCTATATACAACACATTAACCTCCATATGAACACATTAACCTCCATATGACTGAGGACCATAGCTATATACACAACACATTAACCTCCATATGACTGAGGACCATAGCTATATACACAACACATTAACCTCCATATGACTGAGGACCATAGCTATATACACAACACATAACCTCCATATGACTGAGGACCATAGCTATATACACAACACATTAACCTCCATATGACTGAGGACCATAGCTATATACACAACACATAACCTCCATATGACTGAGGACCATACCTATATACACAACACATAACCTCCATATGACTGAGGACCATACCTATATATACAACACATAACCTCCATATGAACACATAACCTCCATATGACTGAGGACCATACCTATATACACAACACATAACCTCCATATGAACACATAACCTCCATATGACTAAAGATTGACCATAGCTATATACACAAACATATTAACTAACCTCCATATGACTGACAACCATAGCTATATACACAACACATAACCTCCATATGAACAACCATAGCTATATACACAACACCTCCACTATATGAATCCAAGACTGAGGACCATAGCTATATACAAAACACATTAACCTCCACATGACTGACAACCATAGCTATATATACAACACATTAACCTCCATATGACTGACAACCATAGCTATATACACAACACATAACCTCCATATGAACAAATAACCTCCACATGAATGAAGATTGTAGCTATATACAAAACACATTAACCTCCACATGACTGACAACCATAGCTATATATACAACACATTAACCTTCATATGACTGACAACCATAGCTATATATACAACACATTAACCTATATACAAAACACATTAACCTCCATATGACTGAGGACTATTGCTATATGCACAACATATTACCTCCACATGACTGGAGGATTATAGCCATATACAAAATGCATTATCCTCCGTATAAACTGTGACCTCCATATGACTTCCGATTATAGCTCTAGGTTTAGTTAATTATTGTTGGCAGTAACATCAAGCTCAACACTGATTTCTTTTGCAAGAACTTATGCAAACCTTTATTTAAAAAGGTTTCAAAATGCAATGAATTGTGTAACCAATTACTATTAATGCTAATTAAGGATCTCCTAGTTCTTGCCATACCCATGATTACTGCTTATATTAGACACATGTACAGCTTCAGCAAAGATTTTGAAAATAGAACAGTAAATTATTCTGGGTATCATCTAAAAGAATAAAATGGGTCTAGAATTCTGCAAGGTTTTAAAACAATTATTCTTTTTTCTGTACATTACATCAATAAACCCTTATATGGTCAATTTAGTGGATCAATTTTAGTTCCTAATAAAATATCATGATTCGTACTAGAATTTTCTGATAATCATTTTCTAAATTTAAGGTAACCACTTCTCAAATATCCTTCCAATGTTGATGATACCAGGTAGTTCCCCAGAGTAGTAGCGTTTGGCATTTATCAATGTTAACTCACATCAGTAGCTGAGTATGACCGTGACCTTTAGCCTGCTTCAACAATGGTTGGGAACAAAACATCTAAATATAGGTCAGATACCAAGGGGAAACAATCATTCAGTATACACAACTATTCACACTTACATACATCAGACATAATGCTGTGTACTGAACATGTTTGTGTGTAAACAGATACTGTATATAAATACTTAGACATGTGAGGCCAAAATATACTTATTAAGTATATAAACAAAGGTTTGCTCTCTCACATATTAAGTTTAATGTGTTAAGAGTTATCTCCCTCAGGCTGAATATTTGTGTCAAGGTTACATGTAGCCTTTTACATAACAGTGTCAGAATTACAGGCTTCTGTACACATAGTACCTGAATTCATTTATGAATGAGTTAAGGCTATATGTCCACTTACAAGTCATAACCAATTCAAATACGGTGTGGTTTGTATTATGCTGCCAATTATATAATAAACCAATACTTGATACTTTGAGTTATTTCCCCTTTAAAAGATGGCAATATATGAATTAATCTCTAAGAGCATTGTAATCAGGTCCATGTTTAGTAACAGATGGACAGACAAATGTAGGGGTCACTGAAGTATAGATTAGGTGCTCACATGTCTAAGTATCTGACTGTCACAACATATACACCAGTATACCTACTCGGATACCTTCCACCGTACCAACAAAACTAAACAAGTTCTGTCAGCATTGGTATGGACAGGTCACAAGGGCCATGTACACATACATTTATATAATCAGGACAGGTACAGCATTCAATTAAGTTTTTGCATTATTCTCCATTATACTATTTTGCTGGCAGTATAACTTGAGATAAACTGGTGTCAATATGTAACAAATTTACACCAAATCCAGAGAGTCACAACAATATGCCAGATACATAAACAGAAGTACATACCTATCACAGCCTATTCTGCTATTGCACACTTATCTACACATCACATGGAAATGCACATAAATTGCATCCTACTCCACTATGGTACATTCATCTATATGTCAAGTATATAAATATTAAATTTTTTTAAGCTTATCAAATCACTCCATGTTATTGTATATATAGCTACATTTGTATCTTTTTTCTTCACTATAATTTATACATTGTGTCTAAATCCAAATGTGTTTTTCAATCAAACAAGGTGTTTATAGGATTCTTGGTTTGAAATAGTATAATTCTTGTTAAAAATATGTATGGTGTTACTATTACTTTCAAGGAAATAGTGCCAAAACAGCAAATTCTGACAAAATATGACGCCTAAACTGTTTTTTTTTTAAATCTTATTGATTGAGAAACTGAACACTACACAAGTGTAACCCAAGTATAACACACTCAGATCACTGAGTCTACATATACCCTAACGGCTATCTGGCTGAGAAATAAAAATATATTTTTATATCACAGAATAAATAGTTGATTTCTAAGAGTGGCACTGGGACATTATTCTGGACTCTGTATATACAGACCACAGGTGGCAATTAAACAAAAATTATCAACATTCTGGACTCTGCATATGTAGATAAGTGGCATTTGTTAGATTAGGATATTACCCCTACCAAAAGACAATGTTTGTATAGACCACTACGAGTGGCACTGCCACTGGCTCAATATTAACACTAAGGACTCTTAATAGTGTATAGACCACTACAAGTGACCTTTGGACAATACTCTTAACAGGACAATGTATGTATAGACCACTACAAGTGACCTTTGGATAATACTCTTAACAGGACAATGTATGTATAGACCACTACGAGTGGCACTGCCATTGGGACAAACTTAACACTCCAAACACTAATTATGTATAGACCACTACGAGTGGCACTGCCATTGGGACAATATTAACACTCCAAACACTAATTATGTATAGACCACTACGAGTGGCACTGCCATTGGGACAATATTAACACTCCAAACACTAATTATGTATAGACCACTACGAGTGGCACTGCCATTGGGACAATATTAACACTCCAAACACTAATTATGTATAGACCACTACGAGTGGCACGGCCATAGGGACAATATTAACACTCCAAACACTAATTATGTATAGACCACTACGAGTGGCACTGCCATTGGGACAATATTTACACTCCAAACACTAATCATGTATAGACCACTACGAGTGGCACGGCCATAGGGACAATATTAACACTCCAAACACTAATTATGTATAGACCACTACGAGTGGCACTAATACAATATCACACTCAGGACACTAAAGGTACTATATTATGTATGTGGCATATTGATAGATATACTGCAAAATAAAAATTTTTGCCCCATTTAGATTTGCTATCACTTTTTGGTTAATCAGCAAATTCCTTACAACAAGAACATTAATCTGCTGTCAATTTGTTTTTTCAAACTGACAGTCTGGATCAGAAGCCTAATACAGCTGAAAAAAAGAACAGTGACAACTCTCACAGGCAAAAATTTTCAGTTCACAGATAATATTAAACAAGCAGGGTTTATAGACAGGGAACCATCTATGTTACATCGAGCTTACTTCTTGCTTAACTATAGGAAGTTCCCACCCACACTGTAAGAGAACAGGAAAATATGACAATTAGTTCAACAACACACACACACAGCTTTTCCAAATCTCCACTCAGGTAAATCCAATAAACAAGCATCAATCCTTTGCCCTATTACAACAATATTATGATATCAATTCTTTAACTAAGCTTCTTTTGTCAAATTTTTAATTTATCTACAATCTATAATCTGTTTTCCCATGTCTTTCTGTTGCTCTAACTTTCATGCTCAATTGAATTACAGAAAAAATATTTTGTAACATACATCAATTGAAGAAAATATAAGATAACTTATATTTTAACCCATACAACTTTAACAAGTAAAAGAAAATAAATGCCAAAATAATTGTAGCAATGCTTAGAAGAACCTGTCTTACTGTATAAATATTATCAATCTGCTCCAATAAAAATTTATCAGGTGCAATTTGAAAGGGTCAAAGGTTTGATAAAGACATACAACTTTTAAACTGTCATAAACATTCAACAACATCTGAAAAGAAACATATAATGCAAATATGATTTAGAAGATTAGTATATGTATAGAACAAAATGCACTGAATACATGTTAGAGATGACTAATGCATAAATACTATACAAAAGAACTTGGTCAAATATGAAAATATTGGACAAAGTAGATCTCGAAGTTATGTCATTATATATATATATATCATCTTCTTCAGATTTTATTCTCTCATCACTTACCTGTACATCGTAATTATCAAACAAACATACATTTTAGCTATCGCTGGCCTCCTCTATTACAAGCCATCCTGACATGTTTTATTACGAAGGACAACTCCTATATATATATGGATTAAGCAGAAATTGATTGCATCTTGACTACAAGGTTATCTCCCTTCCCTGTATCTAGATTACGAAGTACCATATATCTAGACAAGTTTATCTCCCTTCCAGGTATCAAGATTACAAAGGTATCTTCCTTCCCTCAACATAGACATTGAGTTCATATAAACTTTCTGATGTTTTATTTACACTTAAATGTAGCAATAACCTTATAACATTTTCCTGAAAGATATTAAGTCTGACAACAAAATACAAGGTAACCTATGACTTTGACAAGGAGATAATTTGATAGCATCAGATTCACTTAAAAACAAAACAATGCAGTGTACTTTAAACAGTTCTGGTTGTTAGTAAAATTACCATTAATAGATAAACTTATTTTTTAATCACTTTGTTATATAGGTTACTACAGATTCTATATATTAACACAATTAATATATATTGTTAGTTTTCTTCTTGTAACACAAAGCATGCATTATAACATACTGACACATTTCTACCCCAGATGTAACAAAAGGGCTTGTTTCTAACCACAGATTTTACTTCAGGATATGGTCAATACACCATTCAATAATTCAATTTCAATACAATTTAAGGGGTGACTTTGAAATATTTCACTTAATGTAAAGGTATCATTATCATACAATTCAATAACAGAACTTCCTTAACAAATATACTACTAACAATGCAAGTAAATCAGAGAATCTCTTCTGTTGATTACATTCAGATAAAATCAACAAAAGGGATTCCCTCAACTGGAAACACTGGGGTAGAATGTCAGATGTCATGAGCCAACATCCATAATTAACTTACCGGCAATAATGATGATTATTACAACAATAACACTAATCAGTATCAACCACATCTGAAACGGACAACATCAAAAGGCAAATAAAAAATACAAAAAATAAAAGACAATTAAGCCATATTTTACTAATGATAAACCCAAGAGAAAGGATTTAAACTGCTTTCATCTGATTTAGTGTAAAAGGACCCCATCCAAATAAACTCTCCTACATTGTGTGTAGCCAGGTTCTCACCAAAAGCTACAAATTGATTTGTTTAATAGGATTGTTTTACCTTTGCTTAGAATAAGTCTGCATCGTGGACAGTTAAAACATGGACTTGTAAAAAGGAGCAAGACAAGTATAGATATTAAAGAGGAAAACATCTGTTTATGTTGGTATATCAGATATAAAATATGGCAATAACAAATTATAAAATAAACATACAAAATACCATCTACTACAATGCACAAAATAGTCAACACATCCATTGAAAATAAGTTTTTATTTTGAATTTTTTGTCAGTTTTAATTTGTATTATTTTTGTAAAAAGAATCTTTTGTTTGGGTCATCAGAAACTTAACCAAATAGCCCTTTGGGCCAGGTAGGCTAAAAACGGATCAGCCATATTTATAATTTTTTATCATCAACTGGCAGAGTTGAGATTTTAAATATTGATTCATTAAGAATATTATTTCAAAGAAAGATTTTCTAACAGAAAAAATTTGAATAACTTCACTTGTTTTATTTACTTTTTTTCCAAAATTAAGTCAGGAAGATTGGACAAGAAAAATGAAGAAATTCTAGAAAAAAATCCATCAATCAAATAAAAAATTTGAAAACATAATTTGCTAATTAAATTACTTAGAAGCTTGAACAAAGTAAAATGGCACAAGACAATATTCAGGTGTAATACAAAGCTAGTGTGTACGACATGATTACAACAGTCAGCTGACACTCACCAGCAATTATAATTACTATTACAGCAATTATACTCCCAAGAATAATCATCATCTGTAAATCAGTAGAGTTATCTCCCTTGTAACTCATACCACAATATCTAGTGCTTGTTTGTTATCTTACCAATTATGTTTATGCCTTTTCATTTTTGTCACTTTCAGCAATCTGACCAATCATGAATATCGATTACAAGGTCTACTGTAAAATTCTGTATATATTTTTCATGGGGCTCAAATTTTGTGGTTTTGAAAAAAAAAAACTTTTTCTTGGATACTTGATTTTGTGAATAAATGTGGCTCAATAATTTATCAGTTCTTGGATATATGAATTTGTTTACAAAATCTAGAGTACCCACCAAATCAACAAAACTGAAAGTCTTCACCCTTTCATTGTTAATGATTTGAGAGTCTTCATATCTTAGTTCCATTTCATAATCAATTTTCAGTGATAATCATGGATACATTTTTTCATGATGCTAGCAAATATTAATATCTTTTATTTCACTGTACAGATTAAGCACAAAGTACATTTTTCCCCTTCAATAAAACAAGAATGATTAATATATTGATGCCTCTTCTTCCTCCATAACATTGAAAAGTTTGAATAAACCCCTTTACAATCCGAGAGGGCACTACTTATACTTAATAACTACTTGTAACTACTTGTATTAGAATATAGGATCCAAATTAAAATGATATACATGTTCAGGAGACCCTATGATAAATGATTCACTGACAGATTGTTGGAGAAGATGTGACATTTTTTCTGAATAATTTATTTATCAATATTGACTTGTAGAACATACCTTGCAATTCTTCCACCAGAACTTCCTTTTGAGCTTGCCAGCACTGGCCTCAAACTGTGAGGCACCTGCCTGTAGAGCATCTATAACAGATATATATAACACAGATAGTTTGACACCATTACCCTCTTGTTATCAGAGTCAATCTCTTGTACGACTTTCCTCCCAACATCACCTTTTATCTGATGTCTAGTTTAGCAGATGCGTTTTCCTATCAGGTAAAAACTATATGGTCATGATCAATAATATCTAAGGTAGTATTTGAAACTACCAAATTCATTATCTAACAGAGCATTTTTACAAGAAACATCAAAGATGACATTTAAACAGGATATTGACACATGCCATCCTGTTACCTTCCGTGTCTCTTATTATCACCTTAATCTTTCTCTTTTTTCCCCTTTTTTTAACTTCATGTCCAGTTGTGCATTCCATAGTGACAATCATTTCAATTAACATTTAACTAATTATGTTTATACTGGTGCTTTCAAAGTCTGATCATCATTCCAACTAACACCAATAGAACAGTAATGTATCAACTAGAAGATGACAGTATCCTATAGGTGATAGTTGAATTAGGTCCCTTCATTACTTTCTTTATAGCAATCATTTGTAGCTCTCAAATCAAGGGTGGCAATTTTTCAGCCTTGCCTTCTTATTAAATTTTCAAACTGTCTCGAAATCTGCTAAATGTAACCATGGAATTTTCATGTGAAATTTGAGAAAGATTGAGCCTATTTTTATCAAGAAACAGCCATAACAGTGGGTGTATACCATGAAATATTTATTGTGTAGAAATTAATATTTTGTAGTTTTTGTGGTAAAAGACAAACTTCGAAAATAAATTTCAACAAGTAAGATTTAAGAACTGTGTAAATAATTTCAAGTTTCCATGTAAGACTTAACCCTTGAAATGACATATCAGGTATAAAACACAGAGTACCTAGAAACACAGCATACAGAGACAATTTTATTTAGGAGAAATGAGTAAAGGACCAACAATATTAGATGTAAATGACGTAAAGCAAAACAAAGGAGACCATCCTCAATACTACAGGAGTTACGATCACTTTCGCTCTCTAAATCCCACAAACATTTCATGGCAATATTGAAGGTACTATGTTTGACGCTCTGTCGATAAGACAAGAAGACAAGTTTAATCCTCTGATGTACATCAAACAAAGCTCAAAGTCACATAGTGATTTGTTTTACTGACTTTAAAGTTGGGTGTCATTCCTTTACCTTCAAAGGAGCATATCAGTCTGTGATTGGTCAGTTTTTTCTCTCTCCTGAAACCCATCTACACCAATCAAATTATTTTGATTGTGCCCACAATTCTGCCATGAAATTTTTCAAGTGTGCACAGAGCAACACATTGAGCGTAACCTCTAGAGTATAGAGGATGATAGGAGGCATAACAACAATATTAAGACTTTTAAAATATATCAGTAATAAAGATTAAGGTGTCATCGACCTTACTATCTGGAACATATTTATTTACAAACCTGCTCTGTCATCAAGTTCTGAAATTTTCTGATCTCTCTCCAATACCTTGTCCACATTCACTCTCATAATATCCACAACCTGCCGAAATCAAATTTCAAATACAGAACAAAAAGAACCCATTTGTAATTGAGTTTTCCAATATTGTATCCATTTTTTTTCTTTTATCAGATGACAATTTTAAACAAAAATTATAAGAGAGTTTACAACTTATAAGTTAGAATTTCTCATTTGTTGTGTAAGCTGACTGAGATTAAAATGATATAGAAAGAGCAGTGATCAATCTACATTTCATTCTCGTGAGTCCATTTAAACTTTTTTGTTAATAACAACTGGTCCCACAATGGAAAATTGAAGTATGTCCAGAAATTCTGCAAGTCCCATGAAATTCTATGAGAACAGGAGACAGGATTCACATATAGATTTATTACTGAAACAGATCGCTTGTCTTCAGTACAAATCAGGCAATAAATGAAAGCTCAAGTAATTTACTTATAATGTTGACTGTAAAATAATTTACTTATGCGTCACCACAGAACAAAAGACTATAATGGATGTTGATACACTATTCAAGTTTGATGTGATAATTAACCAATGGGAAAATAAATTACAACATGAGGAAATATTAATAGATATTAAGAACAAACTGCATGTGATGAAGTTCCAAATCGCTAACATTTTCAGGCCATACAGCCATTTTCTGAGGATGTCCATTTGCCACCTAATTTTCTAATTGTATTTCTATATATGATATGCACACTGTCTCTCATTTTTCAATTATATATAAATGTACTTTATAACTACGTATTTATTGTTGAGCATCTGAAAATGATTACTGAAAGCGCTAATGCTTAACGAAGATTTCCTCATATATGTACTTTTTAAAATATAGATATTTATACACATGTAAACCCACCTCATCGACTTGTGCCTGTGTTTGCTGTAGACGTTTGCTAGGCTGAGCTGGTGCATTGGGGGGTCCCCCTGGACCTCCAACCGCCGACCTGTAAACAAAATATATACATGTATCATAATAAAACTAATACAGATGTACTATTTACTTGTTTAATAGGATTAGCGTCCACTATCATACTAAATAAGATAAGTCTATAGATATGTTCATTACATGTATCCATGTGTTTATCACATTACTAGGAATGTCACAACCCAAACAAGAGTGCCATGGACACAATATACGCCACCACAAAATATAAAGATCAAGATTGGTCCTTTTAATTATCGCTTTTAACATGTCTGTATCATAAATCTTACAAAATTCAATTAACCCTAAAATCGCCCCTTCATGCACATCGAACCGTTGTATTACTGACATTTAGCAAGTTTTATGAAAATCTGATGATTATTTTAGGAGTTGCGTTTATAAGGCTCCACAATGAGCAAGCTACAGATACAAAGCTGAAAATGAAATAAATCTTACAAAAATCAAAGAACCAAAAAAACACCCCTTCATGCACATCTACTCATTGTAGTAGTGACATTGAGCAAGTTTCATGAAAATCTGATGATTAGTTTAGGAGGAGTTGCTTTCACAAGAAATGGACGTACGGATGGACAGACAGAGAAGATGACGCCAATATATGACCACCTCTGGCAGTGATAAAAATATTTAATATTTTCTGACTGTTAACTAACATAGCTAAGGGTGTATATACAATAGATGCATTTGTATGTTTTAGTAGTATATGGTGTGTTTGTAACAGGAAATAAAGGGGAAGATGATTTGACCATATTTATCACATTACACACAGTTATGTGATTTCCAGTTGATACAACTGCATAAATACACTTTCACTGTAATTCACATGTTTAATTGTAAAACATTACATCAGCAGATAAATATTAACAGAAATGTTTCCTGTTACATCAAAAAATATAAAAAGAAAATTGAAGAAAACTCACAAACTACAATATTTAAATTCATCTATGTACACACGTGCAAATATATATATAAAATGAAAAAAAAGAATTAAACTAGAAATTGTTGACAAGCAATTTGACAAGCTTTTCACCCATATTCTGCCTCTGACCTACAGGTGAATCGTATCCAAAAACTTGATAGCCAACCATTCAAGCAATTTATATTATATATATCTTGACTCTAAACTGTATAGCTTCAGATTACTTATGTAATATTTGTGTTACCCAAAAAAAACATTTTCTTCATAGTCTGTTACTAAAAATAGCATGTATTGTATGAATTTCAAATATAACCCCTATGGAAAACCTGAAAATGACTTAAGTACAATTCTTTTACTTATTACTGTCAATAGTAATTGGTCTCTGTATGCAACTGTCCAAATATTGTCATCCTGTGCCTCTTGGTTGTAACTTAGAGGCCACTTAAACAAAGTTGACCCTTGCAATCTTGATCATTTAAATATTAACTACCCTGCAGTTTGAAAGCAAATGATCACAGTTTCCGATATCTGACATAGCAGAACTTAGAGGTTATCAAAATTTTGTTACCCAAAATATCACTTCTGAACTTTGACCTCTACCTAAAACCTGAGATCACACGTCATACTTTATTTACTAGTTTCTTTGTATAGCAACTGATCACAGTACATTTTCCTGACCCAACTTCATCACCCTGTGCCTCTTTGTTATGGCATAGAAGTCATTTCAAGATTTCAATAAAATTGACCCCTGAGACCTTCAAAGTTAGTCAAAGGTAATTCATATCAACAAACTTGATAGCAAATGGTTATCATGTTGTTACAACTGATCAATCCTGATATGAATTGTGTGATGTATTTCCATTCATCCTTAGCTCCTCATGAAAGAAATGCATTACTAACCTATAAATTCTGATTAATTGATCATGTACATTCAATCTAAATTCTTTTTTTTTAGTTCCACTTGATCAGGAGTCTATGATTTATACAATATAGTAATAAGTTATTCAACATTACAAGGGTGAGAGGGCCAACGCTGAAAGAGAAACAACAGGAAAATCAGGAAAACTTCTTGTCCCATAACACCATACTAATCTTGAAAAGACAACATCCAGTCCTGTAAAATTGAAATAAATATACCAGACAATATCAAGATCTGTAAAACTGAAATAAAGTATGACAACACTCAGCTCTGTAAAATTTGAAAAAAAATACCAGACAACACCTAGCTCTGTAAGTAATGAAGTATGACAATGTCAAGTTCTGTTAAAAAAAAATAAAAATAAAAATAATTGAAAACAAAGAGCAGACAACAAGTAATACACATGCTTTTGTGTTTTACTTACGGAGGTCCACCAGGACCAGCCTGGGGATTCTGGGGATTCGGTTGTGCAGCCCTAATGGTATATATAAATAACCCCATAAATCAAAACAATATCACATAAATAGACAAACTTGCGAGAGTGTGAATATATTTTTTGATTCAACAACGATAAGTACACACACTCTGAATGTTAATTATTATGACAGCCACATGTTATCTATATCAATTATGATGACAATACAATATATTTTCAGCTGTTGTAAATCATATATCATGACAATACCATACTTCAGCTGTTGTGAAATGTATCACAATACCATACTTCAGCTGTTGTAAAATATCTATCATGACAATACCATACTTAAGCTGTTGTGAAATATATCACAATACCATATTTCAGCTATTGTAAAAAATATATGACAATACCATACTTCAGCTGTTGTAAAATACATATCGCATACTATGTTTTAGTCTAGACTATCATCTGTATTCTGTAATAGCTGCACTGATATCGTGAGACTGTTGTTTATATACAGTCTGCTAATTACACAAACTGATCATAAGAAATGAACTAGAGATCCCAAGGGATCTTGACACCACAATTGTTTGAGTTTTAGGAGTTCTTTAAAAGTTGGGCTCTTTTACATTCTTTTCTCTTCTTTACTTTTATTTTGTTCTTTATGAAATTTGAAAATTGTCAAAAGTCAAATGGCATAACTAAGGATTAGGGGGAACCTCAGTCCTAAATATGAAATTTGAGCAAGTGTCATCCAGAGCCTCTCAAGAAAGAGTGATTACAGATTTTTCTTTCTCAAAATCCAAGATGGGCATCTGTCGACCATCTTGTTTTTCTGATCAATTCTAAAATGGATAATGCACAACTAGAGACCATAGCAATCCAACATATGAAATTGGAAAATGAGCCAACAAACACTTCTCCAGAAATAACAAGGACTGTTTAAGGACAGGTAGACAACAGACATATTAAAAGGGCAATTTGTGGTAAAAACCATGCAAGCCAAAGAGAATCTCTGGCAAATGTTCAACAGAAATGGGTAATTTTTTTTATTTCATCATCCATGTTGTTATCCATATATATATAATCCATAGATAGGAGACTTATATGTAACATTCTTGGCACATTTGCATAATGTATATGCTTAACAGACCTGTGGAAAACATCAATGTTCACAATTAAGATTTATTAAAGAGAAAGTAAAACAAATACCAGAACCTAATAGCAGCAGTAAATGTCAAAATTGTTGAAGATTTAAAAAAAAAAAAGATATTATCCAATCAAGCAAATATTTGTCTTGTTGATATTTCCTGTTTATCTGTATTTTGGCATTGTAGCAAAATTGACTCATGCCCTGTCCAGGTCTCCCACTCATAATCTATGGCACCATACATATTGCACTACCGAGAAATTCCAAACAATATGTAACATTTGGACCAGTGTTGGGAGGCCTGCATTAGGTGAAAGTAAAATCCTAACAAATTTTTCCATACAAATTAGTTAACATATATATACTGGTAACAGGTGATTCACTTCACGGTACATTAGACATGAACACTCGAAATGTTACACATTGTGTATAGCTATGTCAGACAAGATTTATCAATCATGCTATAACCTCCAGCCAAATACACCTCCATTCTAACTAAACATGAATAAGTGCACATCACAGACAAATAAAATTTTGTCTATCGTACAATAACAACACTTTTGAACAGTATTATAACTTCAGTTATAATTACATGATCTTCAAAGGTGTGACCATTGTCAGCATAGAAAATTAGTCTGGTACAACTATGTCTTACCACTGTTGTCAAACTTAATATTTCATAACTTGTTGTCTATATTTGGTACTACTGTAACCCTGGTCAAATACTAGACGCAATATACCACTCGGCTAGAGAGAACTTTTCTTTAGATCGATTGGTTGAGCATCAGACTAGTAAGCTGAGGTCCTGGGTTCGATTCCTAGCGCAGGCATTGAGATGAAAAATGACCTCTGTCACACATCTACAACTGGTGAATTGCCACAGAGAGAAACCTAAAACCAGTAGTCAATAACTTACAACTACATCAGTGCCATATATGGTAAATCTTTACAGATATCAAAATGGTAACTGACCTGGTACATCTAAATAATGCTATATCACCCAGAAATCATTAGGTATGAAAAAAAGAAAACAAAAAATACCAACATGTCAACACAATCATTATCCAAACTTCAATTCAATAAAGCTAGGGAGAATATGAATAAAAGGAAGATTTACATGGAGGCTCCTGAATAAGTATGAGGAGGTTAGGCACAAGTATCAAAGTGATTAGAGGAGTTTCATTTCAACTCAAGGAATAATTTAACAAGAATAATTTAAGATGTTAAGATTGTGATAAAACTTTGCCAACAAGTTTATAACAAGACTAGCTTTATGAGGATGAGTGATCAGAGGTTTTGTAAAGACATGAATGATACCACCAGATGGTGATGGATTACCTGGTATCACTAGGATCAATACATATTCTATAAATGGGGTTACATCAACAATAACTTCCTCACTAGTCCAACATGTTCAATAACCAACAAAATAGTAGAAACTGGAAAAGAAATCATCAAAGACCAGGCTATAAAATTCAGGAATAAGATAATGATTTATAATGGATGACATATACCAGGTGCACGTACACAACATGCAACAAGGGTTTACAACAGATCATGTTTTGCTAAAAAATAAATGGTTATTCATACACTATAACATCTTTTTGGGGGGAATATCATATATCAATATGTCCAAATGATTTCAATAAAATAAACAGCTGCTCACATAGATATATCTGTATCCTAATATTACGTCAAAAGCTGTTAAAATGGTGAGGTCAAGTAATAGTGATCTTTTTTATCCTTTACAATGTTGACCAAAAAGAGAGGCAACAATCACTTAAATCTAATCAGAAGATGTAGAACTTGCGGTTATTATCTATTGCCTGGTTGAAGAGATATCTTCAACAATTGATTTTTATTGCAAAAACAGTCAAATTAGGCTTTTGACCCTTAACCTTGACCAATGACCATCAAAATCTAATAAAATATAGATCTGATGTGATAGCATGAATATCAATCAAACCTGTTAAGAAGTTCATCAGAAAATTTAAATTCAAGATTTTGTGCTATGGATACAAGCACACTTAATGCATACAAGCATAAAAGGAATTTACACCTTACTAAATACCCCTCCCCATTATCAATTTTTATATTAAATATATGAGCGAGTGTGCATTGGTGTGAAAGGTTGGAGGGGAAGGGGTGGGTATAACTATTCACTATCAATTATTTACAGACATATGGTTCATCATGACTTGCTGTATTCATGTATGTTTTATCTTCTGATTGCTATAAATTTCAGACAGTGCTGAAATAACTGTGTTATGCTTAGCAAAAACAGACCTATATTATCATTATTTGTCTACTCAAAATTCCATTTGCATTATGTAAATGTATCAAAACACTTCATATGTTTCAAAATGTCTTTATTCAACAACAAACTATCGAATCTAACAAATTTTATAACATTCCTTTGCATAAAATCGGCTGTGCAACTGCACTCAGTTAGTGATCAAAAAGCTAAGCCGGCTTTCATATTATAAATTATACTTGCGTGGGCGGGAGTACTAGATGGGGGTGTAATTTAATTTATCCTGCGAGCATTTCAAATTTTAAAACGTTTTGAGTTAATTGCTACAAGAGTTTAACATAAAACTGCATTAGAAATTTAACGTATAACGTGTAACAATGCTACTCTAGGAAAAATTTTGTATTTGGGCATATATTGCTACGTGGGTTCATCATTCGCTGATTAGTACTGTGCAGTAGAGTGAATATTAGCCTGAACATGTATTTCATCCTGAGCGAATGGTGGTACAATTTCGGTACGCAGACCTACACATAATTCTGCTTGTTCATCATTGGGACCTGTTATGTAAATTAAGTTAAAAATTGTGACAGAGACACCAAACTGTCATTTCTCCAACAATCATGTGAAATGTCAAGAAATCTGGAAATCGATAAACATTGGCTCTGACATAAATTAATTCCCAGCAATCTACAAATTTTGAACAGATAAACCCGATATTGCATACTTACATTATGTTTGTTTATAATATACCGGCTTTTAGCTCAAATGGACAGTTTCTCCTCTCTACTTAGCGGCAACCGATCTACACTGGCTGCAAAAATGTAAATTTTACAGGAAATATGGCGGATGAGGCAGAATTGACGTCATTATCCGGGAACCTGAATCGGGATCACCAGAACTCTTGCATTATACTGCTCGTCCCACTGCTTACGGTTCATGATCAATAATCATGTCTAAATCTGGAATCATTATAGGCACGTGATTACGATTTTTTATCTGTCACTTACTTCCGACTGGTTTTAAACAACATCCAAATGATATAAATACCTGGTCACGAGCTGCCTTTATCTCATACATATCACGAGTTGCTTTCTTCTCGTACATATATATATTTTCTAAAATCCTTACTAGTGCGTAAAATTTCTTCCATACAAATCATATAAATAAAAGCCAGTTATTTACACTTCTTTCTGGTTACCGAAACATAATCATATTGGATTTTTGTTATCATGTCGTTTACATGATAACTCACAGACGTATAATTGAGGGATTTTCAGACTGTCTACGGGTAGTATAATTTTTCTCCAATCGTAACAAATCTCCAAAATAGTAGTAGATTTTTCTATGTTAGAAAAAATACTTTGATAAAAATATATGTAAGATCAGAGACGTATATATCACATATGATATATACGTCTCTGGTAAGATATATGTCCGTGTTAGAAAGCTTCATAAAATTCAAATGGATTGTCTTAACTTTCGTAATGTTTCTGTTACACTTTTTGACATCTTAGCAGAACGATATAACAAGATGTTACTGAGGGAGGAAGGGGTGGTTGGGGTTGCAAAGGATGTTCCACCATCTTTGATACGTAGCAACGAATCCAAGGTAGCAGAACTTCCTTAACAACCCCATAAACCCATGGTTGTTTGCTGCTGTTTTTTTCTACAGTTTGCTGCTGGCTTGCTGTGTTTGCTGGTGTTTTCTGCAGTTTGCTGTTGTTTACTATTGTAGTTGCTCTACATTTCAAAAAAAATTGACCTCAACTCAAAATGTGTATTTTGAACTTCTCTAGTATTCGGTGATATTCAAATGATGTCTGCGTGTTCCCTGGTTATTTACAATTGTCGGGAAACTGTAAAGAACCCGTATTAAACTGGGTATCATCGATGACCAATCGACTCCTTATTGTTGTCCCCCGCTGCATTTTTAAGGTCTATAGAACATTTAAAAAAATAGTGTTATTCCCCTTCAACTTATTGGTCACATCAGATTTTGAACGAAACTAGATAGCTGTTTACATCGAATTTTTTTCTAAGAATTTCCGTCAAGTCAGACAACGACATCACTCTTTCTCTGTGTGCTGACAACATAATAGAGAGTTGAGTTGCCGTACTCGAATAGGGTTAGGTGTCAAAGTTATACACGGTTTGTTTAAAAAGTTCACGAAAGCGTCGTGAAAGGGAGGTAATCCAAACTCTCCGCCTCTTTCTTCGTCTATGTATACGACAATCCAGTATTAACCTTGTTTCGTATGCACTATTAAAAGTTAATATGCATGTTAATTAAATTATTCAAAATTGTGTTCAGTAAGACATTTGTCAGATGTTTCATCATAATGTATCTGCCAGAATGAGACTAGCTTAATTTACTTATTGATTACTATCGATCAGTGGTGAATTATGTATTGACCAGTGGCCACAGACACACTTTTGTTACTTAATCTACTGCAATGGTCAGTGTTATTAATTAATTACCTGATTACATAAGTTATTACCCAAGCCCTATCTAGACAGTTCGCATGAAGGTCAGAGTATACTTATCTTGTGGAAAACGACCTACGACCATTCTCGTGTATAAGTCTATGTCACCTACTCGTGTATTACTCAATATTTCTTAGTCTCTTATCTAATGTATAATATTACTTTACCAGCAGTTCTGTGATATTTTAGTATAAGTATGTATCGGTTCCTGAAGGCATGTGAACATTATCATCTCCACATACCCTACACCACAATAAATATTCAGCAACCTGCCTGGACTTCATCTTTCCACCATTTTACAAAGCTTCATTATACATATTCGGATCGGTATTACAGATTAACGAACATGGAATCGTTAATGCACGAGGCAATCAAACCCTGGTATAGACACCTTTACAATAGGTGATTTCAAAAAAAAAAAAAAAAAAGGGGGGGGGGGGAGTCTATCTCCAAAGGATTAAGGCATCGAAATCAAATAAGACCTTTCAATTCCTGTCTTTTTCTACGATGTTATCGAATTCGGCATACACGATGATGTTGATGGTTTGGGTGAAGGCTTCGCCAAAATGAATTTCCATAGACAGATCTCTCTTTATAAGGTGAAATTTGCCTCAGAAAATGCGGAAAGATCGGGCGTCAGGTCGAATCCAACCTAAGTACAGCTGTTGACATATTCTTCCCTTCATGATGGAAAATTTTGCCTTATGCTCTATTATGTAATTTTTCGCAGTAGCATTCGGTTGCAAAAGCTTTGCCGGAACCTGTTTGCCACCCACGTTCAAGAATCTGTGACGTAATTGATTCTGTAATGTTTGGAACTGAACTTTTTTTTTTTTTTTTTTTGTAAGGACGTCGCTATAGGCACGACCATTCTCTTGGGCATTTGCCCTATGAACAGATTGTCTTTTACGATGTCGAGGTTCCCCCCTCGGAACAGAAGCAGCTTTCATTTCCATTCTGCTGATGGGATATTTGACAGGTGGCTATTCTAAAGCTTTCGTATGTGTCAATCTAAGCGACGAAAAGGTTTCACTTCCCTCATGTTCAGATAAATGTCTTGTATGACCACTTTGAGCCCATCGTCTTCCCCCATCAGACAAGAGAACCTTACTTCTGGTTAACGTTATCCTCACCTTTATGGTGTACATCTCTTGAACGAAAAAATCCGAATGAAATCTTCCCATCTGTTCGACGGTTTGGCTCGTTGTTGTCAGTAAATTCCTTTTGACGTAATCGTGATTTTCGACTCCGGTCGCGCCCATTTTCGTACTCATGGTTTTATACCACATACTTCCCGTCAACTAAGATTCTTTGGCCGCAGGACCGTAGCATACAGGTTGTTCGGTGGAGAAACAAGTTTTTCGTTCAGACATCCGAAAAAAAATCTTGGTAACTAAACATTTGTAGCTGTAACGTTGTCGTCGTGATTCGTGTTAGAACCGTCGTTCTTTACCATTTTTGCTTTGACGCATAGGAAGGTATTTCCCGAGCCTTGATGGTCTTTAACGGCTCCAGAAATGCTGAATTCATAAGGTCCGCCATCATTTACTGCAGTTACCAATCCTATCTGATACCTATAGCCGTTTTTTACACTGGTTTGAGTGGCAGGTAAAACAGATCCAATTCTGATTTCGTGCATTCGCACGAATTAGAATGAACTAAAGACATTTTATTTTCAAATTTATATCAAATTTGCTGCAAGTCGTTGGTGAAGAAAATCATTACCCCTCCACCAGTAACATCTTACCAACAAGAACGCAAGGTTGTGACTAAAGCATACCGATCTTCGTCCGAAATATGAAATTAAAGTGAAGACAAATCATTTTTAAGTCAATTGAATTAAAATTGCAGAGTAATTGTCCGTCGTTTGACTCATGAGATTTTAATGTTAACTCGTGTTAATTTATTAGGATTTTTTTACGGAAATGAGATTCGCTTCGATATCACTAGCAGACAAAATGGCCCTGGTTCGTGCTTAGTTGGCTAGTAAAGCTAAGGAAGCCTTGCCTCTCCTTATTACATACATCCATTGTTTCTCTTAAACTGTTCATTCACATTTTAAGAAAAAACTGATTAAGCACGGTAAATACATTTAATATGTATTTAGGAGTTTCTAATTTTCGGCATGTTTTCCCGTCAAATATTTGTTTTTGTGACCATTAATGGTCTAAAATTTCAACAACTGAATTTGGTAATTTGCCATCTCTGATGGTTCTTCTTTTGTTTTGAACTTGCGAATTTCCAGGGACGTATTAGATATGTATTGTACGTCCCTGTCTCAGGTTAAAACTTCACTGAATATAGATACTGTGTCTTTTATAACAGCTATACTATAGTAATAGCAGACCCTATTTCTGTCTCTTTCTATACTTAACAAGAAGAACAAAACTGGTCCCAAAAGATCGTATTCCACTTTGAGTAATGCTCAGCTGAACCACGTCCGTCCACCTCCTCCTCCTTCTAAAATTCGCTCAACTGAACTTTACTATGGGAACACTGTGTCAATTTATAGGTCAAAATATTGGAACTCCGCTGGATCACATCTAGATAGATTGGGATATCCGCGAAAGTTGAAAAACATATTGGCCTTTTTGTTGTTGTTTTGTTTTATTTCCATTTTCCGATCCAAAATGATGTGCTGATACAACTTTTAATTCTCTAAATGTTTCATGTATTCCACAACAGACCTGTTATTTCCGGCAGCTGTCATTTAATCATAGTGATGGAATGAGATGTTCAGTCACAACTTGTTTAAAGTTTACTTTGGTAAAAAGTATATCAAATATTATATAAAAAAAAAGAAAACCATTTTTAAGATATGTAATACAGTATTTTTTTTTCTAGTTTTCTTCACATAAACTTGTTTTTATTTCAAATACTCTACTTTTTTTCAGATACTTTTCTCTTTATTTCAAAGTTTTGTTGGTGTGTTTTAATGTGAAATGTATGGTAATTAAGTTAAATATTGTACATTATCTATGACAGATTACTTAGATCAAAATAGTTTTGTTAAAGGTACGTTTCCCTTCACATTATAATGATTTTAGAAATATGTTAAGAGGTAGTGCTAAATCCTCCAAAATATTGAATTATGTATGTGTTGGTGGTGAATGTTACATCAAATAAAATTTATATATTTAGTTTAATATCTCAATCACATGAAGATAGGTTGTGAGAAACAGGATTCACAAAATGAATCGTCAAAATGTTTATGAAATAGAAATGACAGAAAGTGACAAGGTAAAAATTACAAAATATACAAATATCCATTTTGGAGATAATTCGCCATTTTAGTACTGAAATGTATCCCTGACCTTTCACCTTTGTAGCTTACATCCATGCTTACAATATTCTTTTGTCCATATGTATATAAAATCTTTATAAAGGACCTCTTTTGATTAAACAAAATACCTAGAATCCTGGTATTTTTCTGCTAAGTGTTTTATTTTTCATTATCTATTTTTCAGAATATTATACAGCTATCTCTGGATTTTCTGGTCACAGAACCCTGATATTTTTCTGGTAAGTGATTTATTTTTCATTATCTATTTTGCAGAATATTATACAGCTATCTCTGGATTTTCTGGTTATAGAATCCTGTTATTTTTCTGGTAAGTGATTTATTTTTCATTATCAATTTTTTTTTATATCATTATGCAGCTATTTTAGATTTTCTGGTCATATTAGACATGCTGGTAGAGGCAACATATGGAAGTTTTTCCTTGTCTATTCAGGCTATCACAGGGATGTATAATATATGTAGTAGCTTGACGTGCAGCTAACCCATATCTGATGTATTTAAGTGGGAGGTGTAATTCGCTACACTAAAATTTAAGATGCAGTGAATTGTAAATAATAGGAAGAAGGAAGGAGGATATTCTCCTTTAAGGACCTGAAGCAAGTAAAATACCACCATTGCTTGGTAAGATCTTGTTCATTAACTTAAAGACTTGATAATCATTACATCTTCATTATATAGAATTTTATTACGAAGGTGGTTTTGGCTCCAGTATGCAAAGAACAACATAATATATTGTTGCAAGAAATCATATCTTTTTATTTATAATAAATTCATATAGGTACAGCATACTATACGCAAAACAGCAAGGGAATTCAAAGTTTTTTTCATTTCACAAAACAAATCTTGATATTGCACAATCAAATCTCTTCCACTGTCATTACAAGTACTCTCAGATTCATAAATTAAACTCTTTCAAAAAAAACAAAAAAACAAAAAATATAGGAATGAAATGATCTGCAGGATCCTTGAGCTCCTTACCCTGAAGACACATTCACCTCACCCAGTCACCTGTATCAGCACAGCATCTTAACAAATTATGGCTTAGATGTGAAGAATGGGAGATTCAGAGACGTTAAAGACCACTTGAGCACCTTTAAAATGGCTGTAATGAAACAATTTATTAACATACAAGAATACTCATCCTTTACACATGACTAGACACATCCTTTACACAAGACTTGACATTATGATACCCTGTCACTGCCAACAACACTGACAACTGGAACTGTCACTTAGGGGATAGCCAATACCCCATCATGTGCTGGCTGCTAACTGCCCCTAATGAGGCTGAGACAGTCAGTAGAAATATGGAAAATATCAAGGGAAATAACTCTGGTAAAAAAAAAAAGAGTTGAACTTGTGTTAGCAAATGTAAATGGTTGTAGTAATGTAAGAAAATATTTTGTGCAATGTATGCAAAATATTTAATCAATATCAGGAATGTCCGTCACTGAAGAATGCACTCATGACATTTGACCTTTGACCAAATGACACTCAGAACTTTGTAATTGTTCAACTTTCATCAGTACTTACAATACTCTAATGTATATTTTCACTTAAAAAAACTGTCTCTTTCAAGAGCATACATGACCTTTGACCATAAACATATACTTTGGAATCTCTCAAACAAAGAGTAGTTTGTATCAATGCTAGCAGTACTCTAGTGTGAGACAATACCTATCGTTTCTGAGATAATTGGCCATTTTAGAACTGGTTGCATCAATGACCTTTGACCTTTGACCTGATGTCCTGGAAAAGACATGAAATTTTTAAATGTATATTTGTATAGAAATTATCAATAATTTCTGAGATAATTAGCCATATCATGACTCTCTTGCATCTGTGACCTTTAAATCCATAATCGTGACAATCTTCACATTGTGTAGCTTGCACCAATGCTTATAATTCTCTGGTGCATATCTGTATACCTCTATAGTGTCAGAAGTGTTGCTTACATCCAACTTACAGCACTTTAATGTGTATCCATTCTGAGATAACTCAACCTTTTCATGAAACACTTCAACGACACAAACATGAATACAAATGCAGCATTATTTAACAGAGAGTAACAATCTATAGAAATCTTCTACCATGTTGTGATAGTCGGATGGATCAAAGCAACTCTTTATAAAAGATTTCTATAGATGTCCAGAAAATTGCACATGGGACAAAATGCATGAAGTTCAAAGATTTTTTAAAATGGAACAAGAGGCCTAGCGGCCTTGACGGTCACCCGGGATGAGCAATATTGAATATGAAGGTTAAAGGGTAGTTATCAAGTGTCATTAGACAGAAATTGTGACACTTAATTTAGTAAGCCAGTGCCAATACATGTATACCATCAAAACTGTCATCCTATACTGATATTTTTTACATAGTTGTTTTTAGTGGGAGATAACCAACATTAAGCTCAAAAATGCAATTTTTTTATGAAATTACAGTAAAGTTTTAAAAACTTCCTCTCCAGGAAGAAATGTGAGACCCACTTTTGGCAATTAAAGCACCTTCCATGCTTTCATTCATACAGAGCATTTGACTTTACCATACTGCAGTGTTGAGAAGAAGATTTTTGAATTAAAGTCAATTTGACCCCTTTAGGCCCTGCCCATCAGTCCCTGGGGGTCAGTCATGATCAATCTGGACATACCTTCAAGCCATCATCCTTCACTCATAATTTTGAAATATTTCCATTGGAAATCAAACAAATTATGCTAAAAAATCTAGTTTCTCTATATCAACTATAGTAAACTTTACCCCCTCCCCATGGTGAAATGCGAGACCCTGGGGCCATGAAATTCACAATTTTGGTAAAGCACTTTAAGATGCTCCCATTCATGATGAGAATTTGATTCTACCATAGCTGGTGTTGATAAGAAAAGTTTTGAAATCTGAGTCAATTTGATCCCTTTTCCCCCATCCCTCCGGCCCCTATGGGGTGGGGACTGTATAATTCACAAATTTGGTTATCTTAGGCAAAGGAAAGTTTCTGCAAAATTTCAATAAAATTGGACCAGGAGTTTAATTTCAATCAGGAAATGGTATATTATAGATCAAGTTGGATTTTACTTTTGCTCAAGGGAACACCAGTCCAATGATAGCACTAACAAGAACTGTACCAACTACAGGCTAACTTTTTGATATAAAGAAATTATAGAATAGGACCCTGATGAAATTTCCTATGTGGAAAATTAATCCCAAGCACACACCTGCCTAAGTTGAGATTATGTGTAACAAGTGTCATAAAATTTGTTGACAGTAAAGAGTATCATAATCCAGGAAAAATCTTTCAACAGCTTAATTGGGGTCTAAATCTGCGAGAGATAGACAATGAAATGGGTGGGAACATATACAATCACAACATTGTTTGCCCTTAATATTTTTTGGTAAAAACTTTACCATAAAAGAATACATTTTAATTACAAAGGTTTCCTTATTTGGTAAAAAGGAAAAATAAATAAAGGGGTATATTCACATTACAACATATAAAACTACCAATTACCTATTCCTAAAACATTTGACCTACTTCTTGCCCTTTTCGTTTCGTCAGACTTATCATCCTAAATCACAAAGTTTTGAATCCACATAAATTAAAAGTGGATCTGCGATTAAATGAAGCAATTTTCTAAGAAAATTTTGTTTTGTATTTATTGTCTTTAAGACAAGTGATTCAAATGTTAACATCAAGTAATATGTACTTTATGCAGATGATATAAACCGTTCTTCAATATTCAACACCATGCTGTTTTTCTTCAATATTCAACACCATGTTGTTTTTCTTGTCTCAAAATGAATCTGTTTATCATGTTACTCAATTAAATATTATCGTCAGTAAAAGAGTTTCAATGGCATGTTAAATTAGATATCCATGTTTTCATGACCGAATGAATCAATGGTACTGTTGATGGTATGAGTGCTATTTGTTTGCACAGATGAAGGTACAGTAATACTCGGTAACGGAGTCGTACCAGGTTCAATAGGAAACATGTACTTCACAAGTGTCTCGGTTATTAAGTTATCTGTTTGACCCTCACTCAACACATTTCCATATTGTTGTTCTTGTTGCGATTCGAATGATGACTGACTACACGACACTGATACAAGGTCCACAGACGTCTGTTGAGATTTTTCAGATGAAGAGTTTGATAAAAGACTTTTTGATCCTTTAAGTTGTAAAATATTGTTATCTTCAATGAAGTGATTCAACTGCTGAACTACCAAATCTGGCTGTGGCATTTCCTTTAACCTCCGTCTATCTTCAGCTAAAGAACTCTCAACTGATTTGGGTGATATGCAGTACTTCACTTTTGTATAAAGATTCACTATGGCATTTGTGATCCATGGTGGACCATCTTTTTTTGAGTCTGCAAAATGAAACGGCACAGGAGCAAAAAACTTTTGAAACCTGGAATCCATAATTTTCAAAGGACTTTCAGGTGCCCTTGATGTAAAAGTCTTTACTGTACAGCCAACATCTGATTCGTCAGATTCTTTGAGGGAACTATCGGCTTCCTCAACACTTCGTTCATCACTCGGTGTCATGTCACTACACTTTGAACAACAGGAATCATCGTCAATTAAAGATTCCCTATCAGACACTCTTTGGGAATCTTCTTCATTCCTGGAAAAAGATTCTTCCAACTTTTGATCCTTTTCTTGGATATTTTCATCCATCTTAGGGTCACGTTCTGTAATTGGTGTGCTTTGATCTGCACTTTCTGGGGTTATAGTTTTTGATTTGCTAGAGCTATCATCACTTGGATCCTCAAAATTTCCTAGCATCTGGTCATCTAATTCTGTATCTGGAGACATCAAGAATGTGTCATCCTGTAAATAAGAAATTATCATATAAAACACAAGACTATAAACTTCCTGATCCCAAGACTAATGAGATATCATAGATGAGACACATTTCAGAGGGATTAATCTCAAGTGAGAAGAGATTACCATTACATTCAACTTGTCCAACAGCCAATGAGTCAAAAAGAAATTGTGAGCTTGTGATTAATGCTGAAGATGAAATTTGTATTTCTATGTATTTTGGGATGGAAAAAGAAAAGAAAAGTTTGATGTCTGACTGAGAAAAAAAAAAACTGGGAAAATGTTTCCCTGCATAGAGTACATTACTTAAAATCTATGTCATGAGAGTGAAAAGTGCTGCAGACTAAGATGCATATGTATATGAATTTTCGTGAAGTCAGCTGAACACGTTTTTCCTCAATGACTGATGTAATGAGATCTCACCTTCAACCCAACTTTAACCTAACTTCAATCCTAATTTATTCACACAATGTTTAGTCCTTACCTCTGTTTTAACCTAACTTCAATCCTAATTTATTCACACAAATTCTCAGTCTTTTGCTCTGTAATACCTATATTTAAATGTATGTATATTAATATTATCTTGCCTTGCTGCACCCACCGCCTCAATTTATTTCATTCAAGTTTGAAGAAAAATCTGGCAGCAACAAAATTTTAAATCATTTCACATCCTACTTACCTGAAACATGTCAAGCAGAGGAGTCACCTGGTCCAACTCCTCCTCAAACATAGTCATCTGATTGAAAACAAGATCTGGCTGATTTAATTTACTCAAAGCCTCTCGATCTTCCTGCAATGTTTTAGCCAGCTTCTTTTTTGGTATGTTGTATCGCATACGAACTGGAGAGGACCAATGGATTCCATTGAGCCAAGGCGGCGCCTCCATCCTTTTAGGTCTGTCAGCATCCTTCAATTTAACAAGACAAAGATTCAAATACTGTCACACAAAGAAAACAAGCTTTGTTTAAACAGAACTAATATGTTCCTTACATTGAACACTTCTTGGTGACAATATAGAATTAAATCTGCATGAACAGTGGGCTAAAAATTGTAGCCAATACATACCTCTAAGCTTGTGAAGCTTTGGTTGGGACTACCATACTCCAACATGTACAAGAGTGATGAGCTTGTCTCCTCCATAGAGGAAGAATGAGTGGATGATAAACTACTTCTAACTGCATCTGTTGGTGCATTTGTGTAGACTTGTGGCTAGAAAAATAAAAATCAAACTTAATATACATTTCACAATATAAATCGAAAGTAGAGAAATATTTAGACAAAATATCACCATGATAAACTAAAGGTGTGATTATAAAGTCACAATGACAAAGGTGAAATATAGGGGTTATAGCTTAACAATGATAAGGGTGTAATGTAGGGGTTAAATAGTAACAATGACAAGGGTGAAATGAAAGGATTATATAGTGACAATGACAAGGGTGAAATGTAAGGATTATATAGTGACAATGACAAGGGTGAAATGTAAGGATTATATAGTAACAATGACAAGGGTGAAATGTAAGGATTATATAGTGACAATGACAAGGGTGAAATGTAAGGATTATATAGTAACAATGATCAAGGAGAAATGTAAGGATCATAAAGTCACAAAATAAGGGTGAAATGTAAGGATTATATAGCGACAATGACAAGGGTGAAATGTAAGGATTATATAGTGACAATGACAAGGGTGAAATGTAAGGATTTTATAGTGACAATGACAAGGGTGAAATGTAAGGATTATATAGTGACAATGACAAGGGAGAAATGTAAGGATTATATAGTGACAATGACAAGGGTGAAATGTAAGGATTATATAGTGACAATGACAAGGGTGAAATGTAAGGATTATATAGTGACAATGACAAGGGTGAAATGTAGGGGTTGAAATATTTGTCAGTTCTACACCATCAAACACCATGTTATACATATGCACAATGATTAAATTAAAAGGAAATATCAAAATAAATCACTCCCAAATATTTGTTTGTTTACAGTATCTGTTATACACATGTATACATTATTATGGATTTTATACATATCTGGTAAGTACTGAGTAGGTAGATAAACACAATACCTGCTGGAGACTAAATCTCTTCTTTGGTACTGGGACATGAATCATAGACTGAGACAGACCAACAGACGGTATACTTGGCACCGAATGTGGTACATTTTTCGACAGTGACACAGGTACATTTTGTTTGCTGATTGGTTGGAAAGCTCCAGTCCCTGGCTGATAAAACCCTTCCATGACTTGGGGAATGAAAGAAACGCCTGGAAAACAAAAATCAACATTATAGAATTCTTAGTAAGCTGTGATTTTAGGGACTTAAGTATTTGAATGGTGAACTCATGATTTTCCTGTGGGACTCGCTCAAATTCTGAGGATCATTATGTCTCTTAGTTATGTGACGTTTAAAAATTTTGGACATGGTGTTCTAGACTCATTCCAAAACGTCCTAAAAAGGTCACTGAAGTAAGTATTATGCAACTTATTGTTGAATCGCTCATTTCAGCTTAGAAGAACTTAAAGAAAATCTTGATTTAATGAAGAATAATTTAGTCATAATCAATTTTATTTTGGCAACAAGCATACTGACTTTGATTCACAAACTAAGGTTATGAGAGTAAAATAAAATAATCTATACCATATCAGAATGTTGCTGAATGGATGTAAAAACATGTTCAATGTAATGATTCTAATTTCTCATTTCCAATTCTGGCAAATATCAGTATGTAGGGATAAACAATGTTTTTATTGTGTTTACAGTGGTATGAATACAATGGAATACACATATATGCTAATAGGCTACATTTGGAATATGACTGGTGTTTCATATTTAAGAAAAATTATATTTGTACCTTTGAATGCATAAATGCTTAATTCTAGACACTGTCCTTAATTTTTGTAATTTATTCTTGTAGACGAACCTTATTAAAGGAATTTCCTTATGGTTTTTTCTGACATTTATGAAACTTGGGCTAAAGTTTATTTCTGTCAAACATCTACTTGACACAAAGACAACAAAATCAAATCAATTCTATCTATGGTTCAGTTTCCTGACTATCATATCTAGGCAAATATCAATACAATTCTATAGATGGTGTCCCTGAAGAAAGCCTTAAGTTATAGGCTGGGATTTATAACTGGAATAGCCCCTTTAAGTAAATGTACCTGACTGTGGGTAGTAAGGCCACTGCATGTTGTTGGATGTTGTACTAGGTGTACTTGTCGCCATGCTTGTTGGAGCACTCATATTCAACTTGAAAGGATTATTGACCGAGTCCATTGGTGCAAATGGCATCCCTTGAGATTGATACACATTCATGGCACTGTTTATAGGCATAAACATAGGGTTTCTGAATGGAACACTAGTTGTTGGTTCCTGGAAACTGCCCTTGTTCTCACTTTCTTTTGGTTTCTCCTCTGGCTGTTTTTTCTGTATTTTGATAGTCTTGATAATGTCCCACTTGTTATCACTGCTAGGGTCCAGAGAATGCAGTCGTTTTCCATTCAGTTTGAATGACATAGAACTGGTATCGTCTTTAGCATTTTCTAAGAACAAAGTCTCCTCCCTGCGTGTGTGTTTCCAGAGCACCTCCTGTGTCAGTGACGTCCGTTGAAACACACCCTTGTCATGCGAAATACCTTTGTCTTGCACTGTGCCCTTGTCTTGTGGCATGCACTTGTCTTGTGGCATGAACTTGTCTTGAAACATACTTTTTTCTTGCGGCATGCTCTTGTCCTGTGGCATGCTCTTGTCTTGTGGCATGCTTTTGTCCTGTGGCATGCTCTTGTCCTGTGGCATGCTCTTGTCCAGTGGCATCAGTTTTGGTTCCATGTCTTTGTTGATGAACAGACTAGGAGAGTTTGGTGTTGAGCTAATTGGTACAGTAGTGATGTTTTTGGGTTGTACAGACATTTCACAGTCCAGCTGATTAGGTAGACTGCTTTCCTCCCGCTCCTGTTCCGACACCAGCACCTGTAACAGTCAGAGTTAATATGTAGTGACCTAGCAATGATTTATCATTATTCTGCCGTTTGACTTTGGGTAGAGTTTTGAGTTTTCGTTTCAAAGGAGAATTTATGTAAAAAGTTGGGAGTAGTTTTAATTTTTGCAAACCTCGACAGGCAATAATTTGAATTTCAAGACAAAGACATTTAAATTTCAAAAAGGTTTTAAAGTGAAAATGACGACAAAATTAAAAGCAGGCAGCCATTTTATTATGCCAGTTTTAATTCATGATGTAACATCATTGTCCATATCATAATAACACAATCAATTTCAGACTGTTTCAGCCAATCAAAAACACTTGAGGGTATATAACACTATATAACAATATGTGCAAAAATCATTTAATCATATTACCTTTCAGAAAAAACAATGGGATATGCCATATCTGTAATTTACAACTGACTCTTGTTATTCTAAGTAGTTCAAATGTTTTTGAAAATAGAGATTTCATAATTTTAGTCATAAATAGTTTAAATGTACAGACAACCAATGCCTGTTAACACTATTCATTAAATTATTAAATGACTATCAAACTATGGGAGAAGTTAACTCAGTGTTAATGGCAGGTGCCTAAAGGAGGAAGCAATTACCTTGGTGCTGCTACCAAAACTGGGAGGCATTGGAATGGTTATGTCCACCTCCAACACAGAGTCACATGACGAAGTCTCCTGTAAGTCCTCCTCTGTTGAGGTAGCACTCTTCTTGTCAGAGAACGGAGAGAAAATCGTGTTTTTCTGACTAAACAGGAATCTGTGAAAATCAAAGACAAACTGATAACTGAAAAGTATTGAAAACATGAAGGGACAATACAAGTACAGCTGTAATGCTGTATAGGTGGAGGATCGGGTGTTGTGTAGGACATGGTGAAGGATTGGGTGTTGTGTAGGATGATGGGAACAGTATCCAGAATAAAAACTCCTCCATTAGTGAAATGCACAAAGAGAACGCTTGTACAAAGTGTACAAAGTTGTAAGTAGTCCTTGAATAATTTTGTTGCCATGCTGTGGAAATCAAGAAATTTAACTGTAATTTTGCCTATCCGTTTCTAATCTGTCTAATTTTGCCTATCTGTCTTTAATCTGTCTAATTTTGCCTATCCGTCTCTAATCTGTCTAATTTTGCCTATCCGTCTCTAATCTGTCTAATTTTGCCTATCCGTTTCTAATCTGTCTAATTTTGCCTATCCGTCTCTAATCTGTCTAATTTTGCCTATCCGTCTCTAATCTGTCTAATTTTGCCTATCTGTCTCTAATCTGTCTAATTTTGCCTATCCGTTTCTAATCTGTCTAATTTTGCCTATCCGTCTCTAATCTGTCTAATTTTGCCTATCCGTCTCTAATCTGTCTAATTTTGCCTATCCGTCTCTAATCTGTCTAATTTTGCCTATCCGTCTCTAATCTGTCTAATTTTGCCTATCCGTCTCTAATCTGTCTAATTTTGCCTATCTGTCTCTAATCTGTCAAATTTTGCCTATCCGTCTCTAATCTGTCTAATTTTGCCTATCCGTCTCTAATCTGTCTAATTTTGCCTATCCGTCTCTAATCTGTCTAATTTTGCCTATCTGTCTCTAATCTGTCTAATTTTGCCTATCCGTCTCTAATCTGTCTAATTTTGCCTATCCGTCTCTAATCTGTCTAATTTTGCCTATCCGTCTCTAACCTGTCTCCAAGGTAGAAAGAAAAAAAGAAATCCCCCATCAAAAAAAGTACCATTAGAGATATAGGATGAGAAGAGGACAGAATTTCAGGTGGTTATCTTGAACAGCTTTGATATTTTCAGGTTTTTATTCATGAAAGAAACTACAGCCTTATTTTGTAGTTAGCTTGTTTTCAGGGTATACAATTTATAATCTACTTACCTCTTGATGTTGCTTGTATAATTCAAATGATCATATGTCAGAGTTTCTCTGTTAGTGGACACAGAACTGCTTGTCTGTAAGAGTTAAAGTAATGAACCTGAAATGCTTGTCTGTTTTCCATACATAGTAAGACTTGATTAGTAATTCTGGTAACTTAAAAGTACATTTCAGAAGAATGCTACTACACAAATACCATAACAAAGGGCCTCAAGATTATTGAAAAAAAAAAGACCTTGAAAGTAAGTCAAGGTCATTCATGTTAACAATGTTGGTAGCCAATCATCGCAGCATTGTTGCCAGCCCATCAATGACCCGTTAAAAGTAATTATTTGATTGAAAAAGTGGATACAGCACCAGGCCATAAGGTCACTTTTGACAGGTGACCTAATAAAATATAACACATCCGAAACATCTGAGCTATCATTCTTTGCTGAAAGTAAGGATTTTGTGACAGTTGAGCACTGTTAATGTTAACTGTACCCAAACATTTTTTCAAGCTTGTAATTTCTGGACTGTTTGTGCTTGGATTGTAGCAAGTCCATTGTTTTCATACACACTTTCTTTAAAAAGGCACATAACTGCATGGGATCAATAAATGTACTTATGTTTCAGTCACTGACAGGAAATAGTGCGATTGTCCTGATACTTACACTTGAATCATTCACATATGAAATGGAGAGCTGGTCTTTGACTGGATCTTCTGTGTCTGTCCACGGAATATCTTCTGAAAACCAGACATGTATGATATGTTAATATTACACAGATGGAAGAAAGCACCCATGGGATTCAAAACTTTTCTATCTGACTGAAAAATAACTGAGAGTGTCGGAGCAAAACAAACGTCCCTAGTGGCAACCAAGATATTGGGAACTTTCTTGTGTTATTTTCTTTGATCATAACTTGTGTAATAAAATTAAAGTCCTGCCTGCAGAGTCTATAGTAAAGAATGTTGAAATATAATTTCAGTTCTGTTTGCAATCTGTCAGCTACTTTCTTTTTCTGATCACTCCCAAAATATACAATGCACAGGTAGTGACTAAAGGAAAACTTACACCTGAAATTTTAGAAAAGTCCATGCAAGACTACTCCAGAAAGAATGATAATAAGAACTGACACAGACAAGGAACTACATACAGTGGTAATTTGAACAGCAGATTCTAGTGATGATGTGCTACAAACTAACCTGCATGCCTATGTTTCTCTACACTTGGGGTGGGTGTGGCAATCTGTACCTGTACCAAAGGCTGAAAACAATAAAATGAAAGGTCAAAATTACATATCAGAAAAAAGATATTAACACAGAACATCACTCTTCTGTAAAATCATTACTCTTTATTTTCCAATGGATACTGTTAATCCACTAATTTACATGTCACTGAAATCTAAATCTGTTTAAACAGGAATATTCAGTACTAGTGGTTCTGTAAGTACTATTCATCTATAAAACCAAGAGCAATTCAAACAGTAATTTTCAGGATGATGAGAAATTTAAGCCCACCAAAAACATCAGATTTTACAGTAAATATCCTACACATTAGTTTATGTTATCTTGGCCAAATCTGCATGAAAAAAGAACGGAAAAAAGATATTTCATATTAACTTTTCCTTACTGAACAAAACTCTGATAGCTAAACAAAAAAAAAAAAAAATTACAAAAAGGAGATACTGATTTACAAGTTTCCTCACCTTAAGTAGCAAGTCTCTGATCCTTTGTTTCAGGGTGGCATCATTATCGGACAAACTGACATTCATTTCATCATTCAGCATTGGACCAAATATGTTTGTTCTGGTCGGTCCCCTAAAAATATCATATACAAGAAGTAATTAATGGTAATGCATATAAGGCCTAAAAATGATATATAAGCATTAGTGATAGGTGAACTATTTGAGCATTTTGGTGTTTATGTTAAAATTAAAACAGATTTTGACAGAACTGAAAAAACTAAGGACATATCATCAGCTCAATCTCAGTATCATTTCATGCTAGTTGTTTGAGCTGAATCCCACCAGTAGTGGAAATTTAAAATAGGTGTTGTTCTTAAATTCCATGATTGGCCAATTGTTGTAATTGACTTGAAGAATCATTTGATGGCAGTATGCTGGTATACTAGCCTGCATGATGAACTTACTTGATAACTGTGTGCTGACCAATGACAAACTCCAATCTATGGGACCAGGGATTCACAAATCTTGACCATTCTGTCTTTACATACACCCAATCTCCATTACGCACCCGGAACCGAAATGGAGGACTTTCAAATGGAAATGGCACGGCCTCTGTGTTGACAACTGTAATATAGAAGAGAAGTCAGTTTTAAGAGATGGTCAGTCACCAGGATTGTTATCAATTTGAAACAAAACAATTAACACACTTGTGATATATCAAGTACAAAATAAAAATTGCACAGAAAAATGCTGCAAACAAAGGAATTTTGCATTTGATAAATCATTTTGGAATATCATACATTTTTTCCAAAACTGTTTATCAAATTGACCGAACCAAAAAAAGAAAAACAGGCTGTATACAAAAAGATTCCACAAAAAGTCCTTCTGAACTGTACAATTTGAATGCATGATAATTTTTGGCAATTTTATTTATCCAGTCTTAAATTTGAACAGGGACAATGGGATCTCATTGTTTTCTGTGAAACTGGACAATACACAGACGACATTCCCTCACTGAAGTGAAGTTATATGCTAAGAATGCACTGCAAGTGAATGCATGCCCCAATTTAGAAGTTTCAGTGACTAGAATTGTAAGAGATTGACCATAGGTCAAAGGTCAAAACGACCTACTTTTGATACATGACACAGCCAACACCAAGGCGGTCCAATGCAGTATTAGGTTTAGGTGACTAGCAGTGTCAATATAGAGTCTTAACAATTCTTTAAAATGTAGGTCAAAGGTAAAAAAATGTAGGTTAGACTGACCTAATTTTTATATCTAACACACCTTTTTTTATGTACCATGCTTTAAATGGCTATAGAAAACAGTATATATCTTTACCTTGTTGGTAGATTCCATACAGCAGTTCTATGTCATCAGGATGATAAAAATCAAATATGGACATGCCAACAACATCCTGGGGGAGAAATCCCAACAGTGGAATAGCCCTGAAAGTTCAAATAAAACATCAGTAAGGGTGTCACTATAGAACAACCAAAGTAGCTTTACCTGGCAATGACAACAAAATAATACAATCTACCCAGGCTATACAAATTTATTTACACACTCTCTCTCACAACACACTAATATATTTATATAGTTCCTGAAAAGCATTTCCATCGAATTCTCTTCAGTAAACTCCTCTGAGGCTGTGTGTGAGACTCAGACCAGCTTTGTGTTAGCTATGTCTTGTCCACTGGACACTTTGTCTTACATGTCATGCACTAAGGTATTGAATCATCTAGAAAGGTGGCACAAATTCTCCGCCAAAGTGGAACGACTGGTCTTACATGGAAGACCATCAACTTAAGTATAAGTTGTTCTCCTGAAGTAAAAAGAAGTCACTGCTGGATATTGAGGGATCTGTGTTTACTGCCACAAAGTAACACTTAAAATGATCATGTCACTGCCATGTCTGTGTATCTTGTGTATCGGCTGGTTTAAACTGTCTTCATCAAATCCACCAATAAAACTGATAAAACAAAGACATCAGGTGTTGAAATTCTGTCAAAATTAATGAATTTCAAACTCTTTTAATAACACATAATTTTCCGTACTTTAAATTTTTTTAATGATTTTTCATATTTAAAAAAAAAATGAAAATATGTAGCATAAAATTGTTATATAGGTCACAAAGTATTTTCTAAATATAGAATAAATTGTTACAGTAAATCACATGTGAATGAAACAGAAATTAAAGTTGACACTATACACACAATTACTGAACATCTATGGGCCTCATACGATTTATACAACCAAGAAATAGTATAAAAAACAGAATGATTACAAGCATTTAGATGATGCATACTTCACAAATGATCAAACAGCTGGTAATTTTCAAATGTCAAAACTTTCACAATTTTTTTGTAAATGATCAAGTCAAATCTTAGTGAATTGAAATTGCACGATTAGAACAAGTGTCTCATTATTTCAGTGACTTCATTCTCATGATTACTTTAATGTTCAGCTACCACGACATTGTGAAAATATAATTCCCATGAATATAAAAGGCTTTACAGTATCTTAATATATATAAAAATACATAATGCTTGTAACATGCCTAAATCATCTACAGGTAATACCGGAGTAGACAGCACTGTAATGCTTAACCTGACTTCATCAGGTGAATATTGAATCAAAATAGACAATAACCATGAACATGCACAGACAGAAGTTGAACACTTACCACAGTCAACTGTTCGCATTTTCATTGAAGGAAGAGCCTGTGGAAAACTCATAAAAATCCGTACTAAATGTGAATTAACGATGGCGGCCATGAGTTCCTTTGAACCTCTTTTCCATACCTGTCTGGCTACATTGTGTAGGTATTGTATAAATCACTAAATAATAACTTAACACAAACAATACATACCAAGCATACAAAATATAAACAACCTCCATAAATATATAAATACATTTTGTATATGAATCTTCATCCTCGAATATTTCATCAGTGTTTTGGTCAAAATCCGAATCAATGATCCACGTGCTAGGCAAGATTCAAAACCTCCATTCTGACTCTCACTCTGCATAATCATTGTACCCAATTTAATAGAAACAATGTCAGTTCAGTCAATAAAAGATCAAAATTTAAAAAAAAAAAAAAAACCCAATAACAAGGATGTAAAAAAAAAATGACCTGAGCAGGTCATCCTGACAGTTTGTGTAAAGTGACAAAAAACCAACATGGCTGATGAACTTACTTGGAGTCAATGTGACTGTAGCTACAGAAGAGACTGTGTCTTGTCGAGAAGGTCATATTCTGTGACTTGTCATCAACTGTAGGAATAACACATGTCATATCTTAAAATAAATATGGTAGTTTACCGTTAAACCTGAAAGGAGGCCAAATTGATGCACCAATTTCCTACACAAAAGGGTTCTGTTTTACATAAAGTCCAACTAACATTTTTGTTTGTTTCTTTATAAGTAGTAAGTGATCCTAGAAAAGCATATTTTATATATTACAAAAAGAAAAAAGAAAAAAGGAAAACTGATTTGTCTCATCACCCCTGATTTTGATTGACTAAAATAATATGCAGTGCTTAAAAATGACAAGATACATGTCATTATTCTAAAAATTGACCTTGAACAATCATAATCACTAATTTTGTCTTGCGTTTGTCAAGGTGAGACAACAATGGCTTGAAAAAAATAATATTCAAATTTAAGCTTCATCTAGGTATTGCTCAACTGTTGTCATAAATTCTCACCTGAGAGTCTAAAAGCAAGTTTTACATATGTTTGAGAGTTACCTTCATATGCTGCTTTCACAGGCACGCATTTCAGTACAATGGATAACTTTTTTTTCTTGCGTAAGGGATCAACTGTGTTTGATTGTTGGACAACTGTTGCCCGAAACGTCTGGAACTCTGTTTCCTTAGCAGAAAGTCTGAATCCACCTGGCAGTGCCTTGTATTTCCTGTTATAAAGACAAGTTATAATGTTCTTACTTCAAAACTCCTCAATTTCACCTATGTCTGATCATAAAAATGATTCAAGTTGGTCCATCTTATGATGAACATTTATTGCCTTATATAACCTTTGCTTGATTTGATGACAAGAAATTTTCCTAACACACGATTTCTAAGCTTAAGTTTACAAGTTCCTGTATATAGACAGCTGGACAAAACATCAACCTGCTGATTCCAATACCCTAGATTTATTGGAGGGTTGCCATGGACATGGTAGGTATAACAAATTTTAATCCTCCAATTCAAGATTGCTGTTTTCAGATTTAAGTCATAAACAATACAAATCCTTTGAGGAATGAAGCTAATAGTAACACATGCATTAATATGACTTATAGTTTACTGTCATCTTTATGTAAAATACTAAAAAGCTATTTCCAACTATACCAGCATGAATGTTGAGAAACAGATAAATGTGTATGTCAAAATTATCTGATGTGTCAAGTGGTTAAGTGGCACAGTGGTGAACCACTGGACTTTTTCATATCCCTTCTGGGTATGAAATGATAAAAGGTCACCTGCCTGACCATGTGGGTTTTTTCTAGATATTCTCGTTATCTCCCACAGTAAAACCACTCGTGCTTTTCCATCCAGACCAACAAGAATAATCAATATAAGCTATTAGCCTGTAATTTTTGTAAAAGTTTTCGTTATTTTTGAAAAACATGTCTTTGTGTGAAGTTCAGTACTTACCTTAGCCTAAAGTAAAACAGTTTTTTCTGAATCTGGAGGCTGCATCTTCCTTCATCTACAAAATCATTAGAGAACAATTACAGTTGGAGATAATACATAACCCCTTAAATACAAACAGACATATTAAGTGGTAGTAAAATAACACTGAATTAATTCGAAGTTGCATTAAATGAAAAGTCTTTTAAGTTTGAATTCTAAAATGAGGTATGAAACAGATTCTAAGAATGCACTCGGCTTTATGATTTGACATTTTGCATTTTCAATTATTTCTTTCAATTTTAACTTGAATTTACAGAGTGAAACACTCGATCAAATCAGCTATCATAGCCCTAAAAATCAACAATCACTGTTACTGATTGGCAGACATTTATACTGATATAAGCCAGTTCTGCTGAAAGCAGTAAGTTGTCACACATTGTAGGTCAGACCAATCAATATATTATCCTGTCATACTTTAAACAAGTAGCAGCATACAGGTTAATAAACTTGATTATCATATTTTTCTTTTCATGATTTTGTTACATCATCAACATGAACAAAATTGTTAACAAAAAGTGATACATCAGTATCATCAGTACCTATGGTCAGAGTAAGTTACCAGTTATTCATGATGACAGACACTAATGTCAGGGACAAAAGGACAGCAATTTTCACTGGGAGAGAGGTGGCTTATTTGCAGTATAACTGGATATAATGATTCTCATCATCATTACAGAATATTTTTTTATTGTAGTTATAAGTCTGTCAGCATGTTTCAACCACAGTCATCACCACTGATAATCTGTAGTGTGTATACTTACTGTCATCACTACTAGGACTGTCCTCGTCTTTAAACTCCTGATGAACAGACATGCTGCTATTCATCGTAACAATGTCTTTCTTGTGGACAAAGTTACAAATATCCCTTCCAAGAAGATAATCTGGCTATAAAATATGAGAAACACCAACGTTTAATAATAAAATAAATAACAATAACATATCTAAGTTTACAATAGGATTTTTTTTCTTGTTCAGATCTATGTGTAAATCTATTTTTCAAAAATCTTTACATATCCATGCTTAATAACCTTTAGTTAAAAGGTTAAAAGTCATTTAAAGACTGACATGAGGAACACTCCAAATCATAGAATTTCAAGCTTTGAATATGAAAATATCTATCAAAAGTATTCCATAAATATTCAAATCAATTAACAAGAATGTTTTCAAAGTTGATATGCTTACCTCAGGATAACCTAATACCTCCACTATGTTTTTGGATACTGCAGTAATGTTAAGGTTTGGGAAGCTCAGATTGAAAAATAATGCTTCCTGCAACAGAAATCCATTAAAATCATAAGCACATGAAACAGATCAACACATCACTCACCCTCTAATGAAATCAGCAAAGATCTACATGTGTATAGCATTGCTGTGTTTCATACACCATATTTCTAATGAAATCAGCAGAGATCTGTAGCATTGCTGTGTTTCATACACCATATTTCTAATGAAATCAGCAAAGATCTACATGTGTATAGCATTGCTGTGTTTCACACACCATATTTCTATAGAAATCAGCAGAGATCTGTAGCATTGCTGTGTTTCATACACCATATTTCTATAGAAATCAGCAGAGATCTGTAGCATTGCTGTGTTTCATACACCATATTTCTATAGAAATCAGCAGAGATCTGTAGCATTGCTGTGTTTCATACACCATATTTCTATAGAAATCAGCAGAGATCTGTAGCATTGCTGTGTTTCACACACCATATTTCTATAGAAATCAGCAGAGATCTGTAGCATTGCTGTGTTTCACACACCATATTTCTATAGAAATCAGCAGAGATCTGTAGCATTGCTGTGTTTCACACACCATATTTCTATAGAAATCAGCAGAGATCTGTAGCATTGCTGTGTTTCACACACCATATTTCTATAGAAATCAGCAGAGATCTGTAGCATTGCTGTGTTTCACACACCATATTTCTATAGAAATCAGCAGAGATCTGTAGCATTGCTGTGTTTCACACACCATATTTCTATAGAAATCAGCAGAGATCTACATGTGTATAGCATTGCTGTGTTTCATACACCATATTTCTATAGAAATCAGCAAAGATCTACATGTGTATAGCATTGCTGTGTTTCATACACCATATTTCTATAGAAATCAGCAAAGATCTACATGTGTATAGCATTGCTGTGTTTCATACACCATATTTCTATAGAAATCAGCAGAGATCTGTAGCATTGCTGTGTTTCACACACCATATTTCTATAGAAATCAGCAGAGATCTGTAGCATTGCTGTGTTTCACACACCATATTTCTATAGAAATCAGCAGAGATCTGTAGCATTGCTGTGTTTCACACACCATATTTCTATAGAAATCAGCAGAGATCTGTAGCATTGCTGTGTTTCACACACCATATTTCTATAGAAATCAGCAGAGATCTGTAGCATTGCTGTGTTTCATACACCATATTTCTATATAATTGGGCCGATTTCTACAGCAAGTTAAGTGGCTTTGATTGATATAAATCAATTGTAGATGTGCTTGAAATACTCTTATAACTGTTTCTGATTTAATTTAATTTTTATTAAACACAATTTTTTATGAACTATACATAGACTTTATATAATTTTTCTTATAAACTTACTAACCAAAAGATTTTTTTCAGAATATGCAGATGTTTTTGGATAGAGTAAAATTTACCTTTTGGTTGAGACACTGTGAGTTCAAATCATCCTGTTCATCGAACGGCAAATTAAACTCATTTTCTTGCTTTGCAAGTTTAGAAGAAGATTCTTTTTCCTCTGAAATGAAAAATAATTTCTTAGGAAACAAATATCATGCATAAAGAAGCATTCAGACGGATGGAAGGACGGAACCTGTTTTAATATCCTCCAAGATTGTTGGACAGGGGGATGATAATTTTGTTGAATTATGTTCCCTCTTAATTGACAAGAACAGATTTCTTATTCATTCTAAAACTTTTACCAGCAAAGAGATCAACAAGAAGTCTTTGATAACTGACTTATTATCTTGACCTATGACAATGTAATATGGCTCCTCATTTCATTCCAATTATTTTTTATTCATTATATCAGAACAAATTCTTGCTAGTTAAGAAAAAGAAGGTTCATACATATCTACTAAACTAGAAAGTATGCCTTATCAAACAACAAACTATACAGGGAATTTTTACCTCTGTTTACTTGTCACACATTTTGTCCATGAACAGGTAGGGCCAACATTTTCTATAAGCCTAAGAGGGTGGAATGAACAAGTGGTAAATTTAACAGAGAGCAGAAATAACCCTTTTTCCTTATTAAGACAATGAAGACTGCTAGGAGTTATGACTGCCTGAAGGTGTTCAGGTTACGACTGCTGTTCCTACCTTTGATTTGTTTGAATGTGTCGACAACTTGTTGGAGAGCAGAAAGCGTCCCAATATTACCCTCAGGCTGAACAACAAGTCCCTTTAACTCTTTCAGGTAGCGCTTCACTTGCTCTTTACGACTTTTCCTCAGTGCCAATCTTTTAGTGTATGGCTGTTCACTACTGCAAATTCACCAAACATAAAAAAGCATTAGTAAAACAGCGATAGAATTTATTCCTATAAAGTTATATATTGTTAATGTGGTAAACTGATATATCCTTTGGTCGTAGCGGAAGACCGGGAGAAGTATAGGGTCTGTTACCATTTAGGTCAAGTCAATCATGACCGGCGTGTAACAGAATAGTGAGAAATGTAGTGAAGTTGTTTGGCTTCATCACTTGCAATGGTAGGAATCTTCTTTCTGGACTGTCCTTGTTCCTCTATATTACTGCTATCAAGTTTCAGAACGATCAGATTTTTCTCTAGCTTCTGACAAAGTTTTCTGACCCTTCATAATCTCACAGTTTGTTGGTAAAGAGTCGGATTCCTATTTTCCTGGGAAATTTCACCTTGTATAGGCCAATGTTTAATTGATTGGCACTAATTCATAACCTTCAATTTGCAACACCGACTTGTTTCATGGTTTGTTCAATAATTCAAGTTTCTCTGTTTTGTGAGTAACCAGAATGTTCATGATAGTTGTATTTATGAATCCTACTGTTGTGTTCATTGTTTGAATCAGTGGATGATTTGACAGGCACTGCTACATGTTGTTAGTATCGAAAACTTGGCCCGTCACTGTGGGTCACCAAATGATTTGACAGGCACTGCTACATGTTGTTAGTATCTAAAACTTGGCCCGTCACTGTGGGTCACCAAATGATTTGACAGGCACTGCTACATGTTGTTAGTATCTAAAACTCAGCCTGTCACTGTGGGTCACCAAATGATTTGACAGGCACTGCTACATGTTGTTAGTATCGAAAACTTGGCCCGTCACTGTGGGTCACCAAATGATTTGAGAGGCACTGCTACATGTTGTAAGTATCTAAAACTCGGCCCGTCACTGTGGGTCACCAAATGATTTGACAGGCACTGCTACATGTTGTTAGTATCGAAAACTTGGCCCGTCACTGTGGGTCACCAAATGATTTGAGAGGCACTGCTACATGTTGTAAGTATCTAAAACTCGGCCCGTCACTGTGGGTCACCAAATGATTTGACAAGCACTGCTACATGTTGTAAGTATCTAAAACTTGGCCCGTCACTGTGGGTCACCAAATGATTTGACAAGCACTGCTACATGTTGTAAGTATCTAAAACTTGGCCCGTCACTGTGGGTCACCAAATGATTTGACAGGCACTGCTACATGTTGTAAGTATCGAAAACTTGGCCCGTCACTGTGGGTCACCAAATGATTTGACAAGCACTTGCTACATGTTGTAAGTATCTAAAACTTGGCCTGTCACTGTGGGTCACCAAATGATTTGACAGGCACTGCTACATGTTGTAAGTATCTAAAACTCGGCCTGTCACTGTGGGTCACCAAATGATTTGACAGGCACTGCTACATGTTGTAAGTATCTAAAACTCGGCCCGTCACTGTGGGTCACCAAATGATTTGACAGGCACTGCTACATGTTGTAAGTATCTAAAACTCGGCCTGTCACTGTGGGTCACCAAATGATTTGACAAGCACTGCTACATGTTGTAAGTATCTAAAACTCGGCCCGTCACTGTGGGTCACCAAATGATTTGACAAGCACTGCTACATGTTGTAAGTATCTAAAACTTGGCCCGTCACTGTGGGTCACCAAATGATTTGACAGGCACTGCTACATGTTGTAAGTATCTAAAACTCGGCCTGTCACTGTGGGTCACCAAATGATTTGACAGGCACTGCTACATGTTGTAAGTATCGAAAACTCGGCCCGTCACTGTGGGTCACCAAATGATTTGACAGGCACTGCTACATGTTGTAAGTATCCAAAACTCGGCCTGTCACTGTGGGTCACCAAATGATTTGACAGGCACTGCTACATGTTGTAAGTATGTGTCACCAAATGATTTGACAGGCACTGCTACATGTTGTAAGTATCCAAAACTCGGCCTGTCACTGTGGGTCACCAAATGATTTGACAGGCACTGCTACATGTTGTAAGTATCCAAAACTCGGCCTGTCACTGTGGGTCACCAAATGATTTGACAGGCACTGCTACATGTTGTAAGTATCCAAAACTTGGCCCGTCACTGTGGGTCACCGCATCTTGTTCAATGCTCCAATGTAATTTCATGATCATTTGAATTTGCACTGAATGAACTAATAAGTGGCTGGAAGACATTTTGTAAGATGTCATTACAATTGTATGAAAGATTGCCAGCTAAAAAATGGACACCATATGCCATTGCTGATAATTTATAAACAATTCTGGAATCAGGTTACTACCATGCCTGACCCATGAATACTGCAATTTTGTATGGATTCTAAAACAAAAGTGTAATATATATGGTCATGTATTTACCTGCATCCACTGGTGGACGGCTGGTCCTCGACTAGATCACTCTCGATTAACGACATGCTGATACTGCTACTGCTACTCTGGACAGTGCTGAAACACAAAGTTATCTTAATACCTTGTTCCAAGTATTTCATATACTTTTCTAGATTAATTGTAATTTTCAAAGCATTTATATCCTTCCTTTCAAAATTATTATTTCGAAAATTGTAAAATTGTTCAAGTCCTAAAAAAGTGAAAAGTAAGGAAACAAAAAAAATTATTGGCAATTATTAGTTTGCATCAAGGACATATATAGTGCCTGAAATATATAATACACTGGTGTACATGTGTAAAACTGGTTCCGTAATAACAAAGAAATACAGAAATATTTATCATCCACAGGGACTATAGTACAGATATACCTCTAAAATAATAGCAGACATTATCAACCAATAATAAAAACTGATTAATCTGATTGGCTGTAGAAATTTCTTAATTACCTTAAACAATATGAGCCATAATTGGAATCCGGTTCACCAGCCATGGTGGTAACACTCTGTGATGGGTTTTTTCTTCAGGTAAAAAATCTAGAAAACAAAATGAAAACCAGCTGTCATTAACAAACAAACAAACATCACTGAAATTAAATCTAATTAGGGAAATCATTTACCACTGTATTTTATTATATAACCTTATACCCATATACAGGATGTCAATTCAAAGCAGTTCAAGAACAAAGGAGTGTCATTTAATTTTGAGGTCTCCATGTATGAGCTGATGGCTACTTGGTGAACGTTGTAATCTAATTTGTAATTTCAATGAGAAAACTTGGAAACATCAAGACCTCAAATCATTCATGGTGAGTTAATTGAGGTTATCATGTTTCTTGGCTATATATAGTTGATGACACGATATTTCTACCTGAACAAACACAACAAAACAAGTTTAAATGAAAAGATATATTTGTACCTTTAATCAAAGCGTTTTCATTCATGAAGATATCAAATCAAAAACTTTATATAGAAATCAATGAGAAATCCATAATACATGCTTACGTTCACATTCGTGCCTTCATGTCATACAGTATATGTCGTGTATCAATCAATTCTAAATGAAACAACGCGCAACATTAAAGTGGTCTTCAATTGTTACAGTATTTATTTCAAGACTGATACATTAATGTTATGGCACTAATGAATTTAAAAGAAATCAAATTTTATGATGTATTCTGTCCTGAACATACGCACTAAAATCGAATATCTATCATGTCATGTATTTGTACCTGTATCAGCCCATGTGATATTGTCAGTGCACATGTTCATCCTTGTATTCTGTAACTGGGAGTACAGTCAACCCCTAACAATGTATTCATGTACACTGTAGGAGAGTCCTTGAAAACTGGGAATACAATTCTAGAATTTCACAAATTTAGTTTTTTTTTTGTACCTTAACTCTGAGGTTATGGGGAACACTGTATTGTATGTGACATGTATCCAGTAATCAGGGACATAACCTTTTTATATTTTACATCTTGGCAAAAAACAGAAATAAAATCATGTATAAAAAATGTAATTTTATAGTACGTGTAACAGAGGTCATTTTCATCTCAATGCCTCCGCTAGGAATCGAACCCAGGACCCCTGGCTTACTAGTCTGACGCTCAACCAATCGAGCTAAAGAGAAGTTCTCTCTAGCCGAGTGGTATATTGCGGCTAGTATTTTACCAGGGTTACATACTCCCCCTCCAGGAAATAACTCGTCCTCGAGTTTCCAGGGGTTACAGCGATGCCGATGGGGCATGGCTAAGTAGTAATCCCGGGTCCCTACATGGGCGCCAATATAACAGAGGTCATTTTTCATCTCAATGCCTCCGCTAGGAATCGAACCCGGGACCCCTGGCTTACTAGTCTGACGCTCAACCAATCGAGCTAAAGAGAAGTTCTCTCTAGCCGAGTGGTATATTGCGGCTAGTATTTTACCAGGGTTACATACGTAATTCATGTCAATAAATGTAATATTACATGTAATATTTATCAAGAAATGTAATATCAGTGTATGTATTTCATGTCGATAAAAGTCTTATAAAAAGTAAATCAAGATTTGAGTGATGTGTTAAATAAATATTCAGCTGAACAAATAGGAAAATCAATTAAGGCATTAGGGGTGTAACTACCGGTAATAACTATATTATTTATTACACATCCTCTTTATACAGGGATTATTTTCCTAAGAAGACGATTTGTGAATTTTCACCTGAAAATCAACAGAACTATGATATGGATGTTTCTGATACTTAAACACAAAATGTTCTGAAATGATCAGGAAAATTTGAAAATATATATAGAAACCCTGGGTAATTGGATGAATCAAACAACAGTGTCACAGAACAAAATATTGGATAAGAGGGAATAAACAATAAACTGTACATTTTGAGTGAGGTAGATTTAAGATGTAGGATACTACCTACACAAAGCTTTTTCATCCACTAAGTAATTAAAGAATTCCTTTTAAGGAATAATTTACTTGACTTTCATTTTGTGATTTAGGATTGTAGCTCCTGGAGATAACATATGTTTTGCAATCTTATTACAAGAATTTAAAAATAAAACATATTAAATTAAATTTGTCTTCTACATCAAATGAATTACAAGTAAGACAATATCTGTATCAATATTTTTTTATCGGATTCAATGGCTATGTGCAGAATTTAAAACATGTAATTTCAATATCATTAATCTTTTCTGTTTATGTCAAGATTTGGTTAAATAGAATTGCAGTGCATTTTAATCCACTATGTTCCGATAAAGATTGCAATTACTTGTGACATGAAACATATTGTCTGGGTGACTGCCTCACCCAAACAAATCCAAAACCCAGCTCAAATAGCTTTGGCTTTACATATAGAAGCCATGTGTGCTTTGGGTTTTCTTTCTTCATTTCCACATAAAGGAAATCATACGCCACTTCTAAAAATACAATCCTTACTTGATCAGCTATGTGCTTGATCATACAGCTTAATTTTAAATTTGTTGTTAACCTGAAAGGGAATACTTAAGTAGCAAAACTAGTCAAAATCATAATACTTTCCACAGACTCATTTTCTTTTATATCACTGCCTTTATGAAGAACAAAAATTTTGTTTTTTTCCCCATATTAACTGTCAGTTTCCATTTATCAACTGCCAATTCATCTTTCCTAAAAAGGAAAAATTAGGTTAAGATTGACGAAATCATCATCAGAAGCACGACTTTCACGTACCTTAATAAGCTTTTCTCAAAGTCATTTATATACAAAGAAAAGGTAATTAAATTTTCCCTTGCATTAATTTGACCTTGTTTGGAAAAAAATCTAAATTCTGTCCATTTACTGAATTTATATATTTATTCAACTGTTCATAAAAATTTCCAGTCCACAGCACCATTTCCCAAATTTTGATGAGTTCAGTTATGAAGAGATATAATGGGTTCTAAAAATTTTAATGAGTCTCAATAGAATAGAAGTTCTTATGACACAACCAGCGGAAGATTAGAGTGTGACATTTAGATAACTACACGGTCACCTTCTTCAGACAAATGGCCAGTGTAGAGGAAACCAGCACTAATCTACATAGTGCACAAGATGGTATGGAATCGACCAAATTTCTCGGCTGTACTAAAATCCTAAGTACGATAAGATCGTAAATACTATGACAAGATGGTAAATGGATTACAGACAAAAAAAAAATACACAAGATGGTAAAAATGCACTATCAGAGTATTGGTCTCTGGTCAGATGCAAGAACTGGAATGCATCAAATATCAGAGAAACAGACTGGAGATTCAGGGTCTGACTCAAAGAGCATCAGACAGACATGGAATCCCAAGAAGGCAAAAAATTCACTAGATCAGAGCGAAAACATTCAAAGTCCTACATCAATAAATCTGCACTCAAAGATAATTTCACACAGCAAAATCATATCATTGACTGGGAAAATTCCAAAATAGATGACAGGGAAAGCAACTTTTTAAAGCGGTTGGTTGAGGAAGCCATCTAGATATGCTGCAGTGGGTCAGTACTTAATAGGGATGAGGGGGGCCACAGATTCTCGCATATCTATAAATTAAGTATTTAACAAAGTGTAGCCGAATTGACTACTGTACATTGTTACCATCTTATGTATTTATTTGTCTTTAATCTGTTTACCATCTCGTCACACTATTTACAACCTTAGTGTACATAGGATTTTAGTACAGGCAAAAAAGTTTGTCAATTCTGTATCATCTCGTACACTATAAACACCAGTACCAGTACTGTTATGCTCCACACTGGTCATTTGTCTGATGAAGGTGGCTGTGTAGTCATCGAAATGTCACATTCTGCTCGAAATGTCCTTGAGTGAAAGGGCCTGCAGAGATATATAATTATGACTATATTAACTTATAATGATTATTCTATATTATAATTATTTCTAAAATATGATGATATTCATGCACAATAAAAACTTGCATTTCAGCTTTTTGCTTTGTATTGTTCTAATTACATTTTAAATGTTCCATGTTAACGTATTATACCCATGGCATTTACAACAAATCATCATTGCCCTATCACCTGTCATCGTACTGTATCTTGCAAAATATGGAAACCATCTCCTTGTGAAGGGACAAAGTGTCAGACAAAATAATCTTCCATTAATAGGTGTGTTATCGGCCACTGTATCTTGTTTTGATCACCTGTTGAACAATATCAGCCTCGTGTGAAAACAAAAACAAGTCGGTCAACAGAGGGCCTTTTTAATATATATATTATTTGCATTGAAGTAAAAATAAAAATTCTCATGTGCATCTCATATACACTCGTAAAACCAAAATTTGAATAATATGGAATTAAAATGTAATTAGCCCTCATTAATATACATATGATTTGGCCCATACTTACAGATATTGCAGCAGCAATGAACAAGGACCATAATTCTTCTTGTGTGCAACGGCAACGTACATAAATGGGCATTAAGACCAACCCAAAACAACTTTCACAGAACTGTCACCGATGTCACCCGGTCCATAAGAGTCTTTTCAATGGTATCTGGAAATTCGTTCATAATTATTTACATTTCACAATATTGTATCGAACTTAGAATCTGCAAAATGTCCATTTCAATAGAGACGTAGTTCTGAACACATATACATTGATAACAACACAGTCCCGTTGCTTAAAACGTGTAAGCGTGTTTGGCCACGTGAACCTTTCGGAACAGCTCATTTCTCTTTCGGGATGTCTCGTGAATTGCCTATGTTAATACTGTTTGTTACGCGTTTGAAGACAAGCGGGGTATTTCCAAAAATAGATTCATTCGGCTTACTGCATAATGTACAGCACCGCAATGCACTCTGGGATATAATGTTATTGTCGTCACCATTGTATGTATTTTAACAAGATATGATAATGTTACCATATAGGAAATTTTCCTGAGATGAATACCCACGAAACTGGCAATTTCCACGGACCATACCAGTTGAAATATACAAAGTAGTTTAATAAAATGGATGGTTTCAGTATAATTGGATGATAATGACAACGTCGGTACATTCGGTGTATAAAGGGAGGTAATTCGTATAAGGGAATAGTATTTGGGTCATTTGTGACAATATTGGTCAATATTCTACTCCCAATCTAAGAAATTTAAGTTAAGATGTTTGATTATCTGCAACTATTAGTTTATTTCAAAATATACTGAAGTAGTATTTGGGTTAGTATTAGGTGTTATTGTGTGGTATTGGGTTAGTATTAGGTTATATTGGGTTAGTATTGTGTGGTATTGGGTTAATATTGTGTGGTATTGGGTTAGTATTGGGTGGTATTGGGTTATCATTATGTGGTATTGGGTTAATATTGGGTGGCATTTGGGTAGTATTGGCTGTTATTGTGTGGTATTGGGTTAGTATTAGGTTATATTGGGTTAGTGTTGTGTGGTATTGGGTTGGTATTGGGCAGTATTGGGTTGGTATTGGGTTAATATTGAGTGGTATTGGGTTGGTATTGGGTTAATATTGTGTGGTATTGGGTGTTAGTATTGGGTGGTATTGGGTTAGTATTGGGTGTTAGTATTGGGTTAGTATTGGTTTTGTATTGGGTTAATATTGAGTGGTATTGGGTTAGTATTAGGTTAGTATTGAGTGGTATTGGGTTGGTATTGGGTTAGTATTGAGTGGTATTGGGTTAGTATTGGGTTGGTATTGGGCGGTATTGGGTTAGTATTGTGTGGTATTGGGTTAATATTGAGTGGTATTGGGTTGGTATTGGGTTAATATTGTGTGGTATTGGGTGTTAGTATTGGGTTAGTATTGGTTTTGTATTGGGTTAATATTGAGTGGTATTAGGTTGGTATTGGGTTAGTATTGAGTGGTATTGGGTTGGTATTGGGTTAGTATTGAGTGGTATTGGGTTGGTATTGGGTTAGTATTGAGTGGTATTGGGTTGGTATTGGGTAAGTATTGGTTAGTATTGGGTTGGTATTTTGTTAGTATTGAGTGGTATTGGGTTGGTATTGGGTTAGTATTGAGTGGTATTGAGTTTGTACTCCGATGTTTTCAGACTGGGGTTCCATGTGCGACACCTTGTGAACAAGGTGAAAAGACCTAGTTTGATCCTTTCATGTACATCAAACGAATTTAGGTGAGGTCGCATAACGGTATATTCTGATGGCTTTGAAGTGCGTGTCGCTCGTTTGTAATCTTCAAATGGAGCATATCAGCCTGCGATTGGTCATTTTTTCTTTCTCCTGGAACCAATCGAATTACTTCGTTTGTGCCTATTGTGCATATTCCAGTGGTGTAGATCGCGAAATTGATCGTAACCCCTGGAATATCGACGATGCCATGGAACATGCCAGGACAACATTCCCTACAAAAATGATATTTTCCAAAGCTAAATGGGATGAATTCAAATGGCTCCGTAATAATATCTCCATAAACAACATACAAGACACAGACATAGACAAGTACACAGAAAACCTAATACAAATTTTAATTGCTTCCAATTCTGGATCTTCTTGCAGTTTTATTTGTTCAACCAAATCCACAAGTGTCTTTATTATACGCCCTGAAAAACTTATCTCTGTCATACTCCTATGGGTGGTAGTACTGGCCCTATGGACCTTTTGATTTTTAAAAAATCTTATTTCATGGGTTGTCACTCAATGTGCTACAAATATTACCCTCTTTTATTGAATTTGGAGCGTGGGCAAAACTCCACTGTTCTTAAAATATATAATTTTAAGCAAATTAAGCAATCACGTTTGATACATTGCACATCTAATCTAATGTGCTCAAATTTCCCACCATTTTTCCACACATGTTCATTAACAAGCCACACATCTGTAAAGCCGTTTATCACCACTGCTTTGTATCGAGACCTTGAGAGGAATGGCCACCTACTGTATCATTCTACATTATACAACTGGAGACCTAGCGACAAGATCTTTGCTTTGCTTTCTCAGCAAAAACCCTCACGTCTCATTGCTGACTGATTGCAGAATCTTGGGTATAACAGAATGGTATTTTATACCCGTATCTTATTGTATCCAAAATAAAATCCTTACAAGGTCATATCTCCCAAAATGAGATATAATTTCGTAGCCTAATGTTAACTTTGATATAACCTTGCCTCTGCTTATAATTCATAACAAGAGGTCCATTGGGCATGTATCGTCTGGCTTTGGTTGGTTGACATTGCTTGATCAATACTAGTAAAGGGAAAGGAATTCTAATTATCCAACACAACATGTCTATTTTCCCTTTGGATCCCAAACCACCGTTTATATAAAATTGGCTTCTTTTCCCCCTCTTCTGAAGAAATTTGGTCAAAATCTGTTTTGTCGTTTATGAGCTTTTTTCTTTTTTTTTACGAACTACGGACGACGGACCAGGACATCATCACTTAAATATTTGATAAAGTCCACCTTTGCCAATCAGACGACTAGATTCGACTTGACATGGGCAGGTCGTTTCACTGTAGTTCGCTGCACATGTGGAGGCATGTGTTTTTGCCTGGGTGGCGTCAATGCCTGCTTCTCAAGGAAAAGCTGACCACCCAAGTCCATGTTCATTTTCATGTTGGCAACCCCTTGCTGTCGATGGTGCCGTATTTCTGCACAAGTCACATTTATCTTTTCTAGCGAGTTTCTCGTCTGTCGCATGCACACTAATGTAAGAGCAGAGGCCTAAACTAGCTTAAGCTCTATTGGCGCTAACATTTGTCCGAGTTGGTTAATAGTACTACTCCCAGTGATACATTGTATGTGAATGTTATACGGATAAATTTAGAAACTAAATAGCATCAAGGACTCAATTTATCGATTACATTGTCCTGATTTGTAAGCAAATAATCCTGTACTGATAAACAAACAGCAAATTATTTGTTATTTATCGTTTTGATGTTTTAATCAACACAATCAGTTTATGTTTATTTTCATGAATACACACACAAAGACAATTTAAGTTGATCTTTTATATCAAAATGAATGATGGCTACAAACACATAAGGAAACAATTTAGAAAATATTACGATCCACTTAAAGACGTACGTAATGTGTAAACTCGTACCGGCCATATTCAAGATGTTTTCTGAGATGTATATAACCATAAACTTGGATATATCCGTTGAACGTCGACCAGATTGCATTTATTGTCAATATGAATGAAACTTAGGTGACAGATGTATAGAACGACGTCCTTCAGGTTAAATATATGTCCGTGATATAACGTATAATATATGGGCTACATACGTTTCTGTCATAGGCGATGGGGAAAATCAGAGCCGTTGTTAGAGAACAGGCTGTTGAAAGCATCATTTCAATATGGATACCAGTTGATATTAAACGATGATCGATGTATGGCCGATCCAAATTTTAAGACTCGCCTACACTTGGTGATTTGCCTCTCGGACTGGCAAAGTAATAATGAGAAAGTCAAGAAAACTGCGACAGATTTGGAAAAAGGTGACGGAGGCATTTCTCGATACGATCTGCAGAAAAACTAAAGAAGTTTAAATAACAATAATCATCAAAATTTCAACTTTAGGGGAAAAAAGAGAAAAAAGCAAGCTAGTTCGAAGAAAAAACGAAGGACCGAAATACATCGGCTAGTTCACTCTGATAACTGAATCTATTTTATACAACAGCAAAACTGTGACCGACGGAAAGTTTAAGTCTAAAAACATGTCTCCGTTAATTCTTAATTCTAACTTTTGACCAAATATCGTCATCCAGTATATCGAATCGTATACTAGACCATTCAGTCACAACTCGAACAAAAACCGAGAAAATTAAAAAGGAAATTAACCCTGGGAGATCAGAAAGTACCTGATAGGGTGAAACGAAGGGCGATAACTCTGGAGATCAAAACGGCAAATGTGAATTTCCTGTATATAATTTATGTTCAACGCACAATCCTCTTAATAAAGTGATATCTACCTAAACGACGTTCCCTATCAATACAGTCTACATAACAAGTACCATACACCCAAGGAGGTTCTCTAGAATAATATATCTTAAAATGAAATAGTATTTGATGCTTAGATACGATTGGTGGTCTAGTTTGTGTTGCAAACAATCAGTGATGACTTGCGGACTCGCGCAAGTCTTATATAAACAGTATCCGGCCAGTTTAACCGATAACGTGATTACGCCGGTGTTATGTTATTTCCAGTGATGTCATTTAGACGTACTTGTATTTTCGTTTGTCATCAGCAACCAGCTTCCAGTCTTTGAAACTGGACGGGTTATGTGACGGAATATTACAATCTGTAGCATTGATAGCCACTGCAGTAGTAAGTATTTGTAACAACCATATCTAGGTTGTTGTTATACGACAATATGTATTATTTTAGCAGGGACGTCCCCGATTTTAATATTGTCATACATGCTAAAGACGGTAAACATTGCCTTGCTAATTAAACAGACAACTCGCCCTATTTACAATTCTACCGTGTAATCGTAAATAATTTGTTTGGAAGAAAAGTGGGTACATTTTACTAAATTGATAACTAAAGTTGTTGTGCTGTAGAAATAAGAAAGAGGTACACACTGATGAAAATGCTAGCGGATATAAGCCAATTTGGAGTCGATTGTATAAAAAAAAATCGGCTAATTGTATTTGCTTATTTTAGTACTTTAAACTGGTAGTTAATATAGTGACACATAGCCCTATCTTTATATAAAGTCTGAAAGGTTCACACTTTCTATCCGTGATATTTTGTTGTTGTAACCAATACAGTTAAAAAAATAAACGGAACTAGCCATGTGTATTGATGTATTCTTAGTGTTTAGCTAAACTGACTAAATATATTAAATATACACTTCAATGACAAAGGTAAAGCAGTGTGAAAAATATGTATATAGCAACAAGTGAAAGAACTGCAAATGTTTATATTAAGCACTGCAAAGTACAAGTGGTCATAATATTCCAATTTGCATAAGAATTGTCAGAGTCGAGTGACTATGACTCGTAAGTTATTGGCATTCAGCTGCAGTCTCTAATATGAATTCAGTCAAGAGAAAGCTGATAGATTTAGGGATGTGGGAGTTAGGAACAGTTGGCTAAGCGGTGTAAACTTCCTTGTGTCAGTGTGAATAATTTCAAAAACAAATGCGACAAGCTCTGGATATGCCGAAATCTGAAGTTCGTAGCCAGCCATATGCTATATTGTTTACAGCATCGTGATAGTTATAAATCTTAGATCTGTAGAAAATGAGAGTATAGGTCACCTTACTAGTCTGAGCTAGTGGGAATTTCCCTAAGTCGAGCAGTAGAGTGTCTGGCTGAAGACTGTTGGGTTGTTAGTCCTAACCCAGCTGGGAGCAGGGTGTTTTTCATTACTGCATCCTATTACAGATTTGGTGCCATTCAACAATAGATGCTGTAGGAAATTGAGATGTTTCCTTGGGGATATTGAACCTGGGTTGTTTTTGTCTTTGAGGCAGAAGACTTTGTGAAGGAGAGAGTAGTGTACAAGTTGAGAGTACAGGTCGCCTTACTAGCCTCGGCTAGTGGGAATTTTCCATGAGTATAGAGGTAGAGCATCTGGTTTGGGGCAGAAATGTTGCTAGTTCGACCCCAGTCAGGGGCAGGGTGGTTTTTATTACTCCTTCCTATTACACATGGATGGAAAGATAAAACATTTTTCTACTAACTTGCATTTGTGTCAAAACAATTTCCAACATATCTACAATGCACTCATAATGCAGAATCTCTCTAGACGTGTGTGTAAACCTACCATTCCCACCTCAGGTGATGATGTGGCAGCAGTTACTATGTAGAATACACACCATGTCTGGCAGTCTGCTGATACAACAAATTTCTTAACATGGTTATAAAAAATGTCTGGACAATTGTGGGAATATTACTATGAAAAGTCCATTCTGTTCCCAAAAAGTTTTTTGGAATTCAGGGTTTTCCATAAAAGCCGGTTGCCGGCCAATTTGACCGGCTACTTTGATCATTTGGCCGCCTACACCAATCCAGTCTCGTAATAATGTTCCGTACACGACTACACATACACGGCAGGACAGCCTCCTACTTTCACTACAGAGCCTACTACTAACAAAATTATGGAAAACCCTGGAATTGATGAGTACAATCAACATTACAGAAATCTGTTCCCGAACATTTCTATCTAGATTGAGAGTTTTCTAGACTATCAGTGTTGGGATGGTCTTGGGTCCACTGTATATCAATATACACTGAAAGTACAATGTTTATTTTAGTTCTTAATATAATTTATCAAAGCATGCCTAAGAAGTGGTGGGTCAATTCCTACCATTGACTTTTATAACTAAATGAACTTTATGAATTGTCAGTAAAGCAATCAGATATAATGAGCCTGAATGGAATGGATTACAGAAAGATAAGACAATGGTAAAGTGAGATAAGTGTTTCAGAAACCTGTAAACAACTGACCAACATATCTCCATCGACTAAGGTCCCCTTTCGTCCTATCCAGTACTTATCTTCTGCGTTGTATCAAGATAGCTTCCTTGACCTGCAACTTGAAACGGTTTTTTTTTATATTTGCTAAATTGGATTGTCTCAGCCTGAATGTTTTTGTTATTTGAGTCATCTGCTAGTCTTGGATTGTTGATTTGGGACGGAGAATATTTTTTGCTTTGATCTGTGAATTTCTTGTCTATTTTCTGGTACATTTGTATTCATAGATCTGGCATCTGAGCTTGTACACTTCCACATCCATGGTTCATTTACGTGTTTTATCCTAAGGACAAGAACAGAGCTTCTTATGATGTTTCCTGGTTCTTCCAGAGATGTATATATCATCTCTGGTACTTCCGAGATAAATATGATGCAGAGTTATAGCTGGAATCCCAAATCTGTATAACATTTATCAGATAAATACAGTAGTGTTGTCTGTGTGTCCATCTGTCCTGTGGTGTAAAATTTCATTTTCTGGAGACATCTTTTTGACAGTTTCAAGTTTTGTCCATGGACTATATTTTATTGTAGATTTTCTCTTCAGTGTCAGCTTAACTAGTTTTCATTAAAACTTGTGTGGTATAATTATGTTTTATAACTCAGTGACATACAGTTATTTACAATGATTTCATTGAGAAGAATACTTTGTTTGTTACAATGATTATGAATACACATATTTTACTTCATTGCAAGGATCTCCAGTGAATACATGTGGTATTTATTCAGGAATATTGCTGCTTTCTTCAAGTTTAAGGGTGTTGTTTCTCCCAGTACATAACATTTCTCAATGTTTATGAGTAGATGTACCATAATTATCATGCAATGAGCACAACAAACACCATACAAATTTTCAGATCAAATTCAAAGGATGCGCATTTCGCAAAACAGTAAAAGTATTTAGATATTAATGTCATTTTACTGGACAACAGTAGGTATTGGCAGGATTATTATCAGGCGTGGAATTTTTGGCTGAATAAAGGTCCTATTGATTTTTATAATAGAATAAACGTTTGCTTTGAATTCATATGTGTACCAATTGTAAATTAAAAAGGACGAGGTTTATAATATTCTGTCAATTAGTAACTCTTACATCATATATACAGGTGTACTATTTTTTCCTGTACTTTTTTTTTAACTTATGCTTTAATTTATCATATCCGTGTCATTAATATACATGAACTTGAAATAAAGGAAACCTTGAACTACTAATGCATGGTATACAGTGTTTGTATATTAGTTTTTTTATATATATATATACAGCTCTCGGGTAAAGTGAAAACACATAAAGAAATGATCAATATTGTCTGTTGATAAATATTTAATTAAAATAATTACACTTTGGGATTCAAAATCAATAAACTGTATACAATAACAATTGCAAGGCTGACTATGAATTTTTCAGAAGCTTTAGATATGAATACGTAATTACTGGTAGAAAACTTAGGTAGCTATTAGGCTTGGTATATTACATTCAGAACATCAATATGTTCAAGAGAGCATGATTCTGCGGGTATTTGTGTAGATTCTCTCATCAGGTCTCAGAGAATGGAACTGACTATACATCAGAATGGATATGTTGTATTTAGTGAGCCACTTTGAGAACTGTAGACTCATTTGTTTGTGATGTCACTTTGAGATCTGTAACTTTACACTCATATATTTATTGCGTCACTTTGTGGTCTGTCTTAAGACTCGTATATTTAAAATGTCACCTTGAGATCTGTAAATTTAGACTCATATATTTTTATGGGTCACTTTTATGTTTGCATTTTGACCCGTATATTTAACAAGTCTCTTTGAGACTGTAGCTTTAGACACATATATTTTATGAGTCACTTTGAGATTGTAACTTTAAACTGGTATATTTTATGTGTCACTTTGAGACCTGTAACTTTAGACTCATATTTATAATATGTCATTTTGAAGTCTTTAATTGCAGACTATTATGAACATAGTGAAACTGACAAATGAAAAGACAATGTATTTTTAACTTTATACTTCAAGGAAATTTCTACTGTAATTATTTTTAACTTTAAAAAAATATAACTTTGTTTTTTTTATGTTTACAGGTAAAGCAATGGACCTGAACAGTATACCTTGATACAGTCACTGGTTATCAAAGGAACTCGTATCAAAATCATTATCTGTGTGTTTTCCGGAGACGAATATTGATCAATGCAAAACAACTTCATTCAAAGGCTAGCCTTCGGAAAGCTGATGGATTTAAATTTTTCATGAACTTGTTGATAATAGAAGTAATATGTACTGTACATGAAGCACCGATGTAACAAGTATGCCTAAAGTCCTTGCTAAGCCAGTTTCTGCTCGGACTCGTGCACTGCGCCTACTAGCCGAGAAGCACTCCAGCACAGAACTTGTCACCCCTTGTCGCCTGTTCCTGGTTTTGATTGTTTCTTCCATCATGATAGCAGGTGAGTGTCCAATAGATGACCTCAGAGAAAATTCATTTATATTGATGTAACCCTGGTAAAATACTAGTCACAATATACCACTCGGCTAGAGAGAACTTCTCTTTAGCTTGATTGGTTGAGCATCAGACTAGTAAACCAAGGGTTCCGGGTTCGATTCCTAGCGAAGGCATTGAAATAAATAACGACATATGTTACATTGATATTCTGCAGGGAGAAAATGAAATGTTCCAGTATTTCTCAGAAGTATCTGGCTTTGAAACATTGTAGGCTGACCTCATTTATTTACAACAACATACTGAAGGGTCCATCGGAAATGACAAGTAGTTGTGTTTCACACTGTTAGCTATTGCTATATAATGTATCTTACTTTGATTTGGGACTGGAACTTATGTAAATTGTGCATGAAGTGTTACAAACATGCTCTCTGTGGTGATAATGAAACACTTTTGATCAAATAGGTTGTTTTTCCCTACCAAACATAGAAATACATCTGGGAACTGGAGGAGTCTTATTTACCCTGTACAAGCTCCCTTTGATTACTAATTCTATCTTTAATGTGCTTTTATATCCCGTGGGAATAATGGTGAAGAGAGCAATTAGCTCTATACAACATTCATTTTTACAATAAAGTGCATGCTAAAATGTTACACATGTAATATACTATATACATTTACTTGTTCAATAAAATATCTCTCAGTTAAAACAGTGTAAATAATGTTTGTTCAATTATCATCTTTCATGTAGATGATGGAATAATTATGCCATTGTGATATCTGTTATAAGTTGTGAACATACTGTGAAATTATATATTTTTGTGGGACTTAAATTTTGTGTGTTTTTTTTTTCTTTAAATAAAAATTTGAGTTTCGTTTCATGGACAAAGTAAAAAAAATTCATAGGTACTAAAATATCATTTCAAGTTTTAATGGTTTATAATTTTTGAAAATTACACTATGAAATTTGTGGATTAAAAATACCCAGGAAATCAATGGAAATTTTGAAATTCATGATATTGATGATTTTTCGTGATAACAGCATGTTAATGATATTGTTTTCAGGTATATCCTTCAGTGTTGTTCCAGAGGATTTCAAAGATAGATCCTGGAATGAGGTGATCAACTTGTCGCATCATCCTTACACATTTAACTACGAAATGGCTTTGAAGGAGCGGGAATACAACTTGGAGTATTACGAAAGACCACAACATAACTGGAAGGTTGATCGAAGGTCGGGATTGTCTGTTGATGAATTCTTTGACACCTACGATGCCAAATGGTAATTAAGTTTATCTATACCTCAATGCCTGGTATAATTAAAAGCATTTTGGAAAGATATAAATAGGATCATATGTGTATTGAAAGCTTCACATACAATATGCTTAATTAGGTCAAGCTGCTTCTGTTTATGTAAAAAAGAATAGTTAAGAAAAGTGCCATAACATAATCAAAGAATAAATATGTAAATCTACTCTGTCTTTGCTGTAAGAAATTTGTACAATTATTTGTTAGCACAACACAATGGTTAGACAGGCAAATTACTTACAGTATACCGTAAATATTCGCGTATAGTGCGAACTTTTTTAAGCTGAAACTATTGAGTCAAAAAGGGGGTGCGCACTATACGCAGGTACATGCCATTCCTGGGGTTATCATTCCCAAGTTCTGCATCCGCCATATTGGATTACCTCCCTTCACATAGTTATATGTAAAAGTCGTCGGTCTTATATGATAGTTTGGAGATAAAAACATCAAAAAAATCAAATAAAATAAATTTCGAATGTTTTAATCATCTGCCATTCACGCTAGCATTACGGTGAATCTAATTTTTTTTGTTAGTAGTGTCTGAATTTCTGCCTCATTTTGATGATGTATCTGTGGAATTCAATGAATCCGGAAGTTTTTAGGTGATTGTCGTTCTGTTCATATATCGGACAGCCCATCCCACCGATGCCCAAATATAACATATAGCCAGTTATTTTTGCGAGGATGATATTTTGGCTATTTCGTGGTACATTAACATGACCACAAAAATTTTATCCGTGAAGTAATGGGACTGGTGTATTAGATGTCATTTTTATGTACACATCGTGGCATGTTAATTCATTAAAATATCATCCATTTATTATAAAAGAAAATCATCAAAACTTTGAAGATTACTGACTGTATGATGTTCAGGTATATAAGATAAGTAAATAAAAAAAACCAAAATGCCTTTATGACATTGAATGAAAGTGTATATCACAAATTTTCAATATTTTTTAAAAAAGATAAAAAAAAACGTCATTTTTTTATTTTCAAGTTTTTCTCAAATTGTACTTCAATATTTCTGATAATCTGACCTATTTTCCCATTCACTGCCATTAATTCTGCAACATGTAAACTACATGTATATGTTTTGAATAAGAAGTTTTTTTCCTGCAGGCCGGTTGTACTAATGGATGTGGTTAAGAAATGGCCAGCCATGAATTGGACAAAAGAAATTTTCCTTCAGAAATACGGAAAGGAACGTGTGATGATGAAAGCTGTAGTTGTACGTATCTTTATACAGGACTGTGTGATTTCTAAGATATTTCAGAATGCCTCTGTTATTCTCTGATCTCCTTTGTACTGTTTTATCATCTCCTAGAATATCAGTGACATTGATGTGTAACTGTAAATCATGTTACAATAAAATTGTATTTAATAACTAGAAAAAGATGTTGTAATTACATAGTTTTTAATTCTGAGTATGAAACATGGGGAGAGAAAATAGTGTTCAGATAATGCAGCTGGATGTATTTTAGGGAGAATGAATTATTTTAGTTGACCTGACCCAAAGGACTTAGTGAGCTAACAAAGATGTGTGGTGTCACTTGTGTCGCCACAAGTTTTTTTAGGTCATCTGACTGAAGGGTCTGATGGTCTATTACCTTTTGTCCGGAGTCGTCCGTCATAAAAATTTTCGACTTCTTCTGAAGTTCTACATGTCTCATTGAGCTGAAACTTACCTGAAATGATCGTGACATGATCCTGACCAAAGTTTGTTAATTTCGGGTTGGTCCAAAATCCAACATGGCCGCCATCTTGAAAAAACATTTTCGACTTCTTCTCAAGTTCAAAATTTGAAATCTTGTATTTTATGTCAGATGACCGTTAAGGCACATGGGCCTCTTGTTTGAGACACGTCTGTTGTATCAATGTTTGTGTAGATGGTGTTGAATGGTTCATTTTGAGGACTTTTTCTTCATTAAATATAGTTGTTAGATCACTTAACAAATCCCTCCTATTTGTATTTACATTTGACTCTAACTTAGGATACTCACGATCACTCACCTTATGTGTCATGCCCATATTTTGTTTGTATTCTACTGATCTAGAAAGTGAAAACTTTTGAATAATATCTATGATAAAAGATTAAGGTGATTGTAACATCACACATATATTATTGCCAAAAATATATAATCTTAAATAGTCCTATGATAATATTTTTCACATGCATTGAAAGTTTCTGGCTTCTGCATGCTGTCTACTCTTCATAAAATTTGAGTGAAAAACAAGAAAATGTTATTTCAAGGGAGGTAAACTGATTTTATGTTTGATGAAAAGCTGGATATTTGTTAGGGGTGGGGGGGTGGTAATTGGTTTTTATGTTTGATGTAGAATTTTGATATTTATTAGGGAGGACTGCAGCATGCGACCGGACATGCTTTGCCCTTAGAGGTTTTCATTGACCACCTAAACGAAGCTAGTTTTGACACCTGGACATACCTGGAGGATGAACTCTTTCTCGTCATGCGACCAGAACTGAAAAAAGATATTGGCCAAAATGTACGTTCCTGGTCTTCAATTTTACATTGTCAGTAATAGCTATTTAAGGATATATTAATCTTATTGGAGAAGGTCATTAGTTGTGACATACAATGTCCAATAAAAGATTTAATAGTACATTTAGATTATCATAATCTTATCATGGTTAGCTTGAAGGACATCCTCTAGGAAGCCAATGATTCTTACTCTACAGAAACACCTGGTCTTATTCTCTTTATACTTTTTCAAAGGTGTCCATACTAGTCATTTGTTTATTCATATTTTACCTTTAGTAAATTTGTTTTTGAAATTGAAAGAAGATTCTGTTGACATGTGAGTATTTTCAAGTTGTATTAGTAATGTAATGCCAACTAGTTAAAATCAGGTTTGTTATAAATTTGTGGAAGTGTGTGGAAATTATTTCTTCGATAGGTCCTCTGTGAATTATCATATTTCACTGTAGACAACTCCATACTTAGGTCCCTTGAAATTTGCTGTAAACATGTAGTATCATGTAGAACTAATTGTTTAAGTCCCTTGAGGTTCATTATAAATATGTTTTACTGTAGAGAATTCCTTACTTAGGTCCCTTGAGGTTCCTTATCAGTATGTTTTACTGTAGAGAATTGCTTACTTAGGACCCTTGAGGTTCCCTATAAATATGTTTTACTGTAGAGAACTAATTACGAAGTTCTCTTGAAGATTTTTATTTACATATTACTGTAGAGACCAGATTACTTATTCCACACAGGTTTTGATATAAATCTGCTTCAGAGAACTGCTTTCTCAGGTCCAGGCCAGGGGTTAAGATAGCTATCATAGATTTAGCATTTCTTTATTCCGTTTGTTATATGCCATTAACCTATTTCATCATATCTATGCAGGATTATGGTGAGGAAAATTTCTTCAACCTTTTTCCTGAGTCAATACGTCCGTGGGATTGTATGATGTTGTGGGGAACAGCCCACTCTCGCTCTACACTACACATGGATCCCTATAACTGGACTGGCATTAGTGCAGTTCTACAGGGACACAAAAAGTGGAAGGTAAAGTTGATTGAAGAATTAGGGAAGCAGTCTACGAAACAGTTATGGATACCATGCTGAACTTTATCCTTTAATAGAATCACACGAAGAGACACTTATACCTTATGTTTATCCCCTAGCAATAAATATTAGGGATGTGGATATAGGAATATTTCTGTACGTAATATCTGTAAGTATTAAACTTTCACTGTATCCTGTCAGGGCTTGAGCAGCTCCATTCCTTGGAGGATTTTTAGCCCACCATCATCAGATGGTGGGGTATTCAAATCGCCCTGCGTCCGTGGTCCGTCTGTCTGTCCGTAAACAATTCTTGTTACCGCTATTTCTGGAAAAGTACTGGATGGATCTTTCTCAAATTTCATATGCAGGTTCCCCTTGGTCCCTAGTTGTGCATTGTACCTTTTTTGGATTGATTCGAATTCAAGATGGTCGACAGGTGGCCTTTTTTGATGTAAAAGTTTGTTACTGCTATTTCTTGGAAAGTACTTGATGGATCTTTTCAAAGATGTTCCATGTTGTGCACTGTACCAGGTGGCCATCTTGGATTTTGAGAGTAAAAGTTTGTTACTGCTATTTCTGAGAAAGTACTGGATGGATCTTTCTCAAATTTCATATGCAGTTTCCCCTTGGTCCCTAGTTGAGCATTGTTCCTTTTTTGGACTGATTCGAATTCAAGATGGCCGACAGGTGGCCATCTTGGATTTTGGATGTAAAAGTTTGTTACCGCTATTTCTTGGAAAGTACTTGATGGATCTTTCTCAAATTTCATATGCAGGTTCCCCTTGGTCCCTAGTTGAGCATTGTTCCTTTTTTGGACTGATTCGAATTCAAGATGGCCGACAGGTGGCCATCTTGGATTTTGGATGTAAAAGTTTGTTACCGCTATTTCTTGGAAAGTACTTGATGGATCTTTCTCAAATTTCATATGCAGGTTCCCCTTGGTCCCTAGTTGTGCATTGTACCTTTTTTGGACTGATTCGAATTCAAGATGGCCGACAGGTGGCCATCTTGGATTTTGGATGTAAAAGTTTGTTACTGCTATTTCTTGGAAAGTACTTGATGGATCTTTCTCAAATTTCATATGCAGGTTCCCTTTGGTTCCATGTTGTGCACTGTACCTTTTTTGACTGATCCGCAACCATCTTGGATTTTGAGAGTAAAATCTTGTTACTGCTATATCTGAGGAAGTACTGGATGGATCCTTCTGATATTTCATAGATATTGGTTTCCCTTGGTCCCTAGTTGTGCATTGTACCTTTTTTGGACTGATTTGAAATTAAGGTGGCCCACAGGCTGCCATCTTGGATGTCGACAGTAATACAGCACAAACATATTGTCCATTATCCACCTGTAACTGACTGCTATCTAATAATACTTTGGGATCTTTTTCAAATGATATTTGCTAATAAGTGCTTAATAAAAATATCTTGTGCCATCATTGAGTACATTCAATGAAGACCAGTTCATGAACATTTACAACACCTGTAACAAACAAAAAAAAATAAACAAATCTTCAAGAACTGAAAATAGATCCTCAAATGGTGGGTGCCAAGATCCCTCTGGGATCTCTTGTAATCAAACTTCAGTCACTATGGTAACACAGGACCATCATACCTCAGATAAATGCAAATGTTCGGGGTTTAGTATCAAAGTCAAGGTCACTGTTACGTTTTTTTTTAAAATCCTGGGTCATCTTGATTATTGTGCTTAAGTCAAGATGGAACTGGGAGGATATTTGTTTCGTTTTGAATACCTTGATACTGTATCAATTTTCTGTATTTCATCAGGTTATGTACTATTCAATATCTTTGCATCCATGACATTTTGTCCGTCTGTCCATAGTCAGAACTTTATCACTATTTCTTCAGAAGTACTGTCATCTATGTCAAGTTTCATAAATAGGTTCCTTGTGGTCCCTAGTTTTGCTTTTTTTTTTGATTTCGTGACTGATTAGAAAAACAAAACAGCTGACAAATCTTTGATTTTTGTAAGGGAAGATTGCTTTTGCTATTTATGGAGAAGTACTAGATGGATCTTTCTCAGATTTCATACATAGGTTCTCTGCAGTCCTTAGCTGTGCTTTTTTGATTTTGAGACTGATCAGAAAAACAAAATGGTGGACAAATCTTTGATTTGCTATTTATTGAGATGTACTAGATGGGTCTTTCTCATATTTCATACATAGGTTATCTGCAGTCCCTGGTTGTGTGCTTTTGATTTTAGGACTGATCAGAAAAACAAAATGGCTGACAGGCAGCTGTCTTTTACTTTGATGATGAAAGTTTGTTTTCGCTGTTTCTGGAGAAGTGATTGATAAATCTTTCTCCCCTAGTTATGTGCTTTTGATTTTGGGACTGATCAGATAAACAAAATGGCAGACAGATAGACAGAGAGATGGACATCTTTAATTTTGACAATTGAAGGTTGTTAATGCTATATCTTTAGAACTACTTGATTGATCATTCTCGAATTTCATATATATTAACATATATTAATTTCTTAATTACTTTATTTTTCGGTATTTGCTGTCATTTTACAGTATTTAAAAGTGTTGCGAATGTAAACCCTGTATTAACAGCCTTTAATTGATTGGAAAGTGTACAAGGGTGAAAACCCTATGTGATACAAGTGTACATGTGATATGTATATTTTTTCAGCTGGTGCCACCCGGCCAGGACCATCTGTTGTATGTAGAACCTGACGTACTATGTGGATTCCCACTGGAGTGTCGCAAGTACAATAGGTGAGATTTTAAAATATCCTATGTTCCTAAGTATGAAATTAACATGCATGAATGCACAATAGTTTTGTTATTGACTTGAATTAAAGTGCTTAACTGTTTGTTAAAACATTTTTGACACCATTGTTCACTTTCAGTCCAATTGATGCTTTCGATGCAGATACCAAGAAATACCCACGCTTTAAACGTGTGCAATATCTTGAAGTGGATGTTTTTCCAGGTGAAATGCTTATCATACCAACAGGATGGTATCACCAGGTAAGCAGTATGTCTTGTTTATAAATCAACACAATATGTATTTCACCACGTTTGGTTTCAAACTTTATGAACATCTCTGCTGAACCCTTAGCAGATTTTTTTTATATTTTCATAAAGACAGGTGACTATTTGTGAGAGTGATAAATGTATTGTTATTTCTGCAGGCCTTTAACGTAGAACAGACAATGGCCCTGTCTCTACAGATGATGAACAGAAACAACTACCTGGTCATACTGGAGGAAATCATCAAGGCTGGAAATCTCAAACGCAAGAAATTACCAGCTTACTTTAGTACACTTCTACCACCTGACCAGGTGAGAAACTAAGTCATTTACGAGTCTTATCTTTATCAAAGAAGGACAACATTGTAGTTCTCCTGAGTATAGTTGTATCACCACTAGAGAAGGACAACATTCCCCTGGGTATGTTCTTATATCTATATTCTATTATACTCATGAAATATGCATGAAATTCAATGGGAAACCATTAAATATCTTCTGTCCTATCTAAAAATGTAGTAATGTCCAGTTCCCACTGAATTAGCATATGTAAAATTGTTTCATGAAATTTCCTTCCAGGTGAAAGTATTCATGTCACTTCTTCCGAAAAAACTGCTTCGTCGTGGTGAAGAAGTCACAAAGAGCATTCAGGAACAAATGAGAAAAACTAAAGACAGGCAGGACAAAATTAAGTCAGGACTAGAAGATAACTCGGAAAATATAACGATATTGGTGTGAAACTTGGTCAGGATTGGAACTTGGTCAGGATTGGACGATGGTCCTGGAAAAGTATCTTTACATCAGATCTACAGGAAAGTCCAGGAACTAATTCTGTACAAAAATCCATTATGTTTATAATGATTCATTATCATGTATATTACATACCGGTATAAGGAAACATTCCCCATGGTATTTTTCATCCTCGCATGAAATGTTTAATTTTCTTCCAAGTTCAATTCACTCTAGAAAATTTAATAACATATATTTTATTTGTAATGCGCAACTTTAGCCCAATTTTTGTCTTTGCCTTGTTGATTTGTTGAAATGGGTAAAAACATAGAAAAGTTAAACTATGATAAAAGTTTCCTTATATACAGTATAATTATTGTTATTGTGACATTCTTAACGGCCGGTCAATACATAAAAGGTCATTAGGGTCATCGATCGGTGTTATATACAGTAATCAGAACTTTCCGAGAGTGGATTATTTTCAGGTTGTTTTGTTTGAGAAACCTTGAATTTTATACAAACTTGCTCAGAGTCCCTCACCATTTTTGGTTTGTCAACTCTTTCTTTAAAACATTAATCCTCCAGAACAGATGTTTAGAATTTAACCAAACTTGCTATGTAGCATGCTTGAGATCAGACAATTAAGTGTATACATTGTACAGTGATTTATGTACGTTGTAAAACATTAGTACAGTTTACACTAGAAAACAACCACAAAATGAAACATTCTGTATACTGTATAACATGCATGTTTTCAGGTAGTTTCTTTTGTGGTTGAAGTCTAATGCAACCGTCGGAGGTTAAAAACTTTCATGGATGTCACATGACTATACAAATAATTCTTTAATCTGAAGTCTTATTTGTTGTATTTTATTTTCATAGTTTGTTTGGAGCCACGAAAACAGGGATTGTTTTTCAACACAACAAACATTTCATGTTACACGCTATGTAACATGTTAAACTGACCTATTCTAATTGGATATTTTAGAAAGGTATATGTTATTTAAACTGGAGATTAGTCAGTGATTGCATAAGGAAGAGTTGAATCTATTTCTGAGTTGAGGGTGATGGGACAATGGCAGGTAGTTGTGGTTTTCACTTCTATAATGAATCCTTTACCTGAAGTGCTAGGGGATGAAATTCTTTTGTGGAAAGGCATTTTACATTTTTACTTGCTAGGACAAAGATATCAGTCACTGTACAGATTTAATTTCAGAGTCCCTTAGGTCCAGCTTTTTGGATCATAGTAAAGTTCTGGTCCTAATCTTAGGAATTAAGTTGAAATTTAGAAAAAAATGAAAGGATACTGATCCTAACAACTTTTCTATTGATAGATAAAAATGAAATATTATTGGTGTAGGTCCAAGAGGGGATATACCTGTACAATATTAGACCTTTTTAGGAAGTGTTTAGTTAATCTTTAAAACTATTTGATTTGGAAATAGACCAGTCATTAATAACTGTGATCTTCTACATCAACTTTGACAATTGTTTTTAAGTTCATTCTTAAAACCTCACACTAATTTATGTAGTAGACAATTAAAAAAAGAAAACAAAAGACAAAGAACATAAAAAATACAACTTTCACTCAATTATTGAGTATGTACGGCTTTTAACATAAAAATAGTCGTTTTACACCCACTAATTTTGACCCCAAATTTTCTAAATAGTTTTCCTGCAAAAATTAGTGTCACCACTAAATGGGCATAGAAGGCCCAAAGTTGCACTTAGATGTGATGTCCCCTTGGCCTTTAGTGAGGTAATCTCATTCGATTAAACAAGATCAAGTTGTGAGAAATCGTGATAATTTTGAATTTGGGTTTTTGGAGAAACAGAATATGCGACTTTTCATGATGAGTGGCATAACCATTTCAGCAGGTTAATTCTCAGTTTGTCTTGTTGTTTTGGTCATTTGACCCGAAGGGTCATACTGACCTATAGCCATCATGCTTCGTCCATTGTTGTCTGCCGTGCGCTGTCCGCTATGCGTAAACATTTGACGTTTCAAAATTTTCCTCAATTTCTACCAGTGGGAATGAGCTCAGACTTGCATGAAATGATCCTAAGATGGACCTGACCAGGTCTTGTTATATATTGGCTGCCATGGTCGCCATCTTGAAAAACACATTTTAAACTTCTTTTCCGGTGCCATAGAGCTAAAAATTGGTGGGAATGTAAAGGAAAGGTAGCCAACTAAGTGTTATTTTCCAATCTTGGTAAAACTTTGATATGGCAGCCAGGGAGGCCATTTTGTAATATGATTGCATAATCATGGTTTTCAAGTGCAACACCTATTTCAAACTTCTTCTCAAGTTTCACCAGTTGGATTGAGGTCCAAATTCACTGTCAAAAATAGGTGACACTTGTTACAGTTATGTACTCCTCACCAAAACTACCATCTGCATCATGGAAAACAGCTTCTTAGTGAGATTGCATTCAAAGCAGAAAAAATAACCCTTTCCCTGCTGGAAGTATTTGTAGCCAGATGACCGTTAAGGCCCATGGGCCTCTTCTTTTGTTTATAGTTATTTGTTTAGAATCTGCAAAACAGATAAAGGTATTTATTGTAATAGATGATTTTGTAGTAAATATATGAGAGGTTTGTCCACACTCTTGTGTAGTTATCCGTCCACAGTGGGTGTGTCCTATTGTTGAAATGGTTGAAGTTTATATCACATTCCTAATACTGTCTGATTGAACCTTAATGTTAATTTTATAGTGAGATGTTATATTTATTGTCATTATGTGTACATGTATAGATATTAAGTGACATTTGTAGTTCATGGCAAATCAACGTACGTAAATCTAGTTATTCCTGACTAAGATGTGTTGGTCATGACACAATAACTGTTGCAATGTAAAATTATTATCCATTAAGGGTCATTTATAATCCTCTATACTGGGCTTGAAATATACAGTCACTTTAAACCAATACGATTGTTAAAGCACTGACACTTTTCAAACAGCTAAATAGATTTTCCTGATAACACGTTTGCAGTATTGTTGATTTAGCTTTTATAGTGTCCTCTGTTCCTTACAAAAGCCGGTTGGGCTTAAGTTCATAATTTTTTTTCCCATGATTACATGAAACTTACTATTTATTGTTTATAACACGAAGCTTTTGTGTTATAACACAAAAGTAACAAATTCGTTAATTTATGAAAATTTCAAGTAGTTATGTAAAATTGAATCACAATAATGTGAAACTTTGGCATTGATATGTGAAACTAATGTGTTATTAAGTGAAAATATTGCATTATAATATAAAAATAGTTATAAAAGAGGAAGTAACAGTTAGGAATTGATGGAGAGAATGTTTTCCTTGTTAAGTACAATGTTTCAAACATGGTTTATGTGTTGATTGGCCTAGGTGTAACCTGTTTACAACTAAAAAACTAAAAATTGCTATGAAACAGCTGCACGATGCTGTTTGATTCATTAATTTATCACTATGGTAACTAATTCTACATTTTTAAGTAAAAGGTACTATTGGCTTGTGTGTCTTTTGTATTGTCTCTAGCAGGTGATAGACCCTGCAGGTGGGCTTGCAGTCCTGGAGCTTTGCCATTACCAGCAACATTTTAATTTGTTCAAATTGTAGATGTTCAGAATATAAATATGTATTTCTTCTAAAATCGCCAGATACTGTAAAATTATATATTTTTGTGTCGCTCAATTTTCATAGTTTTTCAAAAAATACTACAGTGGGTATTTTGTGGACACCTGATTTCGTAGATTAATGATGTTAGCGCAATAAATTTACTTACGCTAAGTTTAACAGTTTGATGATATATGAATTTGTAGATTAGGAATACTCATGAATTCAATCAAAATAAATCATCCATGAAAATTAATGATTTTACATGATATGAAAATGATGAAATTTATTGAAATTTATGTAATTATGGGGCTGCTGCACCTTCCCATCCATATTTTGACTTTTCTTTCAATCACTTTTGATTTTCCAAGTTGCCTCCTAAGTTTCATAATTTAAGCCCTTAGCATTACAGGTAGTCCTAAAGCTTATATAGATGAAACAGCTCTTTGTGTCTTAAAATAAATTTGTATTATAAGGTGCTATTTCCCAGTATCTTTTTTGACGGTTTTTATGTTGGCACATTTCTTAAGTAGCTGAGTGCTTGTATTTATTGTATAGTTTCACATAATAATGCAAAGTTTTCGCTTTATGACTTTTTATTTTGGTGATAGGACATAATCACTTTGCTGAATAATGCAGTAGATTTTTTAATGACAGGATAGATTTACGTAATAACAAAATGAAAATTCTCCTCAGAAAGTGAGCCCAACCAACTTTCATGCTGTAATTCCTAGTCTGGGATTTGTCATTTCATAATTTGATTAAAAAAAAACCCTGCTGCCTTACTTTCACTAATGCCATATGCTTTTTGAAGACCTGTATTATACCCCCTGTGATACACCTGTAGCCTACGAAGTCTATCTGTATATGATAGATGACTGAATCACCTCTATCGTATCAATGTTTAATTCTACAAAGATGCCATGCCATATTTACATACTCAAGGTAGACTAGTGATTTATACAGTAAAAAGAAGTGGTGTTCATTTAAAAAAAATGAAAAACTTTCTTAGTACCACGTTAACTTAGATACTGATTTGCATGTTTGTCAAAAGTGAGAGATTGATCAAAATTTTTTGTAGTTCACAGGCTAGTAACCGATGTTTATGGTTATATACATTACAAATACATATGATAATTGTCCCAACACCTTTAGTGTACAGTGATATGTTTTTAATACACATATGTAATAGAGGTAGGTCATTTTATTTTCATTGCCTCAGCTAGGATTTGAACCCTAGACCTCTGGTTTACTAGTCTGATGCTCAACTGATCGGGCTAAAGAGCAGTTCTCGCTCGCCAAATGGTATAATGTGGCAGGTATTTACCAGGGTTATATAATCACCCTCCAGGAAAGAACTTGTCCTTTAGTTTTCAGGGGTTATAATGATGCTTTTGAAAGTAAGGAAAAG